CCAGCAGGAACGCATAAGTGCGGATTTCAGGTTTTCTTCAAGCGATTGTATTATACAACACACTGCATTTGTATTTTACAACACACTGCATTGACTCTCTTGTCCCTTACCCTCTCCCCTCTCTGCTTCCCTCTCTCCACCTCCCTCTGCCTCCCCTCCCCCCAGCTACATCCTGCACTGGACGGTCAACAAGGACAGCACAGTTCAACTTGAACATGCCCTTGACTCTCTCTTCTCCCAATCCTCCCCCCTCCGCCTCCTTCCTCCCATCCTCCCACCAGCTACATCTTGCACTGGGTGGCACAGTGAGCATGGCAGCACAAGTGGCTGCATACACTCCTTCACTTGCTCTCAAATCCTACCTTGTCTTCTCCGTCCCCCACCCCCTTTCCTCCTAAGCACCAGCTACATCCTGCACTGGGCGGTCAACAAGGACAGCACAACCAGTTCTTGAATCGCCTTGAATCTCTCGTCCCGACCCTCTCCCCTCTCTCTCCTTCTTCCTCCCCTTCTGCCTCCCCTCAGCTACATCCTGCACTGGGCGGTCAACAAGGACAGCACAGTGAGCATGGCAGCACAGGTGGCCACCACAGGCTACATCGGGGTCGGCTTTTCAAAGGATGGCAAGATGACCAACTCTGACGCGGCCATTGGGAACGTGCCACCTGGCACGCTGGCCAATGGGGCGGCGGTGGGGCCATACTACATGAGCGGGCATGACCTGCAGTCCGTGACGCCTACAGCCATGTGGAGCGTTACGAATACGTCGGTTACCACTGCAAATGGATACACTATAATGAAGTGAGTACGCATTATAGGTACACAGTACACTACACATGAGAGGGCATGATCTGCAAGGTGCAGCCTACCTACAGCCTTGTGAATTGTTACAAACACGTTGCTTACCAGTCAAAACTGTTACACCATTGTGAGGCAACTGCGCAACTGCGCATGCGCATGAGTATACGTATGGGTCATACGCATCTGTAGATCGAGCGCTCACTTTTGAGACGTCTCAAAAGTCGCAACTGCGCATGCGTATGAGTAAGTGGGTCGAGCGCTCAACTACCAGTCAAACGATGCTGAAAATTGTGTTAGAAATCTTGTCCAGGTGGTAGCCTGCTTCTCATTGCCATCCCTCATGTGCCAGCCTGCTTCTCATTGCCATCCCTCATGTGCCAGCCCGCTTCTCATTGCCATCCATCATGTGTCAGCCTGCTTCTCATTGCCATCCATCATGTGTCAGCCTGCTTCTCATTGCCATCCCTCATGTGCCAGCCTGCTTCTCATTGCCATCCCTCATGTGCCAGCCTGCTTCTCATTGCCATCCCTCATGTGCCAGCCTGCTTCTCATTGCCATCCCTCATGTGTCAGCCTGCTTCTCATTGCCATCCATCATGTGCCAGCCTGCTTCTCATTGCCATCCGTCATGTGCCAGCCTGCTTCTCATTGCCATCCCTCATGTGCCAGCCCGCTTCTCATTGCCATCCATCATGTGTCAGCCTGCTTCTCATTGCCATCCATCATGTGTCAGCCTGCTTCTCATTGCCATCCATCATGTGCCAGCCTGCTTCTCATTGCCATCCATCATGTGTCAGCCTGCTTCTCATTGCCATCCCTCATGTGCCAGCCTGCTTCTCATTGCCATCCCTCATGTGTCAGCCTGCTTCTCATTGCCATCCCTCATGTGCCAGCCTGCTTCTCATTGCCATCCCTCATGTGCCAGCCTGCTTCTCATTGCCATCCCTCATGTGTCAGCCTGCTTCTCATTGCCATCTCTCTCCCGCTCCCCACAGGTTCACGTGCACCATGGGCACGGGGTATGTGCCCATCAATGCATTCCTGTTCTCACCCCCGCTGCCCCTTCCCCCCACCGCTCTCCTGCTACCTTCCCCCTGCTCCAGGTTCACGCGCACCATGGGCACGGGGTATGTGCCCATCAATGCATTCGGCCCCACCACCATCATCTGGGCCTACTCGCCTGATGGCTCCACCACCCTCGCTGACCACCGCAGCAATTAGTGAGTCTCAAGTCCTTCCCACTGCATGGCTGGTGACATGCCATCACGTGGCATGGCATGGCTGGTGACATGCCATCACGTGGCATGGCTCGTGACATGCCATCACGTGGCATGGCATGGGGTTGGATGGCGTCGTGTGGCATTGTGGGTCGTTGCATGGCGTGGTGTGGCATACAATAGGACCCGGTCATGGCATTGCATGGCACAATGCCATGGCATGGTATGGCATACAATAAGACCCGGTCATGCCATTGCATCTTGAACCACCATGGCATCTTGAGTTACTGATCTTCCCCTTCCCCAGTCACCCTCCCTCCCCCCTCACCCTTCCCCTCCTCTTCTTTCCATCCTTCCCCCCACCACAGTGGCTCAGCCTCAATTGATTTTGTGAAAGGCACGGTATCCGGCGGGCACGGCAGCAGCACAGCAGCCTACATCGCCCACGGGGCACTCCTCTCAATCGCCTTCGCCCTCCTCATGCCCCTCGCCATCCTCCTCGCCCGCCTCCTCCTCGCCGACCGCCCCGACTCCGCCCCCCTCAACCTCAACCGCTCCTCCTACATTCCCACCGACGCCAACGGGAACGCATCACCCCAGCAGCAGCCCGGAAAGAACCTCCGGCCGATGGGGTTCCAGCTGCACCGGGGCATTCAGGTGTTTGCGCTGGTGGTGGCGGTGGCAGGGATGATTGTGATTATCGTGCAGGCGGGGTCGAAAGGGTTCAACTGGACGCATGGGCAGGTGGGGTTGGCGGCGGTGATTCTCGCGCTGGTGCAGGCGATTGTGGGGTTTGTGCGACCGGATAAAACCGCCTCGAACCGCTTCATGTGGCTGGTGGCGCACTGCTTGATTGGGGCTACTACCATTGCGCTTGCGTGGGCAGCCATGTTCCTGGGTATCGACCTATACCACACCAAGTTCATGGAAAACGTTACGGTGAGCGTTTGGAGAACTGTGTATGTATTCCCTCTGTTATTGTTGTTGTTATAAATGCCATTACTATTACTGTATTATCATTATTGTTGTTGTGGTTATTTTATCGTCATCATGATCATAATCTTTGTGATCTCATCTAAAGTACTCCAATTTTTGTGCATCCTTCCTCCCTTCGCCCCTGCAGTGGTGCTACTGGGTCTGCGGCGTCTGTGTCGGCGTTTTTGGCGCGGCATACCTGATCTTGGTCATTCCGGACAGCATTCTTTCATTGAAAGGGAAGGATCACAGAGATGCTGAAAAGGGCACACCTGCTGCTTGAATAGACGGGGTCCACGACTAAAATGCTTTGTTTGTGTGCGGAAGTAGTTTGACGCTGGTCGATCCTAATAAAATAGAGATGAAACTCTCATCCCTTTAATTATTGCAGTGCTGTTTGTGTTGTAAAGCACGTCGTTTTCAATGACGAAAGTGACACGCACAACCCTAATGTGCCTTAGATCAACTGTATGAGTGAATTTTCACAATGCTTGCTGCTGCTCGCTAATCATATTATTAGGGCTTGTAAAGTGGAATGACAAGGGCTGTGCACAAAATGTCGATTCCGTAGAATCATATTTATCTTGATGTGCTGTCAATTTTTTTGAAGAATAATTGTGCTCTTTCCAGTTTGTGCATGTCCGATTTTCAGTTGTCCACTTTGCTCTTTTTGAACCTCATCCAGCCCATTCAGAAGCTATCCGTTACTGCATGGCGCGATATTCTGGTTCTAAGATTTATTCCACCTATACGACGAATTGACGATACCACCTCCGTGCCGCGCGCAACTCATAATGTGGGATGTATGTCGCATCCGATCCCATATCTAAACTCTCATCAACGTAAAGAGGTGTAATGTGGCCGCTCTCAGATGCACTACATCGCATAAAACCGCAATCGAGCGAACTTCTATGACACGACACGACATGCCCCCGTTCACCTCCCTTGAATTCCAGTGCCTAGGGATCGGGTCCTCTCTTCCCTCAGCAGTTCCCCACGCACACACGATTATTGACGCTACTAGCAGCAAGAGACTTTTCATTGGCCTGTACAAGCCATGACGTCCTACAGTTTTCGCGACGACTCTTATCCTTTTCGCTTGCATTGCGAAGCAGCAGTACGGCGTCCATTCTTCCGGGGAGTATTTCATAAGCGAACGAGAACAATACGAAGTTCAGCGGCTTTGCCTACGGGACTAGCCTTTCCTTCATTAGACTTTGATTTACTCATCAATTACTGCCGAAGGCGAAAGACTCCGCGTTCTAACCAATTCGTTTCATTTTAGCCGTATGTCGACTCAGCGAATGACGCCAACACGGCTTAACCAACTGCTAGCCGTCCTCCTGTCTGCGTGTCTTGTGACGCTGCCTCCTTTCGCAGCTTTCGTCGCCGCTCAGGGCGATAGCGGTGCGACGTGCGACTCGTCGTCTCTGCCGGAATACAAATACTCCGTCAAATTGAAGGACGGAAGGTAATGAACTCATGGCTTGTCGTCTCTCCCTGAATTAGTACTCCGTCAAATTGAACTTTTCCGTCCGTCCACGGACCGTCAATGAGACGGTGACCGTCACCACCTCACCCTCAATTGGCAGTTGAGTCCGTATCTATCCGTCGCAGAATTCGCAAATGTTTTTTTTCTAAATCATACACGGCGGGACATGACGTCATATGCTATCTAACTGTTTTTCTGCTACTTTCCAAAGGCTCCTCAAAACTTGGTTAGACTGGACGGCACATGATTCCCGCCAGTTGTTTTGCATTTTTTCTTCACACGATTTTGGAGGAGTCAGTCCCTCTTTCCTCTCCTCTCGTCCTCCCGTCCCCTCCGTCTCTCCGTGCGTCAGTCTCATACTGCACTGGAAGACCGTCAATTCCACGACCGTCAATTTCGCCGCGCAAGCACTTGCCGGGCCGGTTGCAGCCGGCTGGTTCGCCGTCGGATGGTCGGGTTCGTTCGGCGGGATGATGCCGGGGGATGCGGTGATTGGCAATTTGCCAGGCGGGAAAATGGACGCATATTACCTGAGAGACCCGGTACTGGATCAGGTGCTTCCAACCAAGAAATTCAGCACTGGGAACGAGGCCGCGTTGACTACGAGCGCCGATAACTCGCTCATCATAAAGTGAGTGAGCTTCTCAACACATCTGAGGTGTTTTTGTTTCCGTTTTTTTATTTCTTGATTGGGCCATGCTATTGTAGGTCAGTGCTTGCAGCGAAACTGAGCTTTGAGAAGCGTGGTTATATGATCGTCTCTAGCTGTTCCGTCCTGAATTTGAGCACCTTTTTCCACGCCAGTCACAGTAGCCTAAATAACCAAACACTGGTTTGTAATCAATTCATTCATCACACTATGTGTTCCTTCCTGTATTTACATACATAATCTCAGTAACCCCCTCAGGTGTACTCAGTTCTCACCAATCCATGCACATGATGATATACCCCTTATTGCACTTGCCGGTTGCAGGTTCTCGCGGTCAGTGAACGACGGCACTGTGAAGGTGCTGCTCAAGGGAGTCAACTACATGATCTGGGCCTACTCGGACGGCTCTCAGACCCTCGCCCAGCACCCTATGAGTAACATGTACGCACCTTGCGGAACCCACCAGGGTCCCCGAGAACCTCCCAGCATCTCCCAGAACCCTTGATTTATATACATACACATATATATATTGCCGTGTTCTCCATGCTTGTGTACCCAACTATATAAACCCTTGTGTACGCTTCCATACGCTCGCAAACCTTTCCATACCCCTCTATACCCGTCTAATCCTCCTATACCCATCTACACCCTTCTCTTCGTGTTTTTTCCTCCACACAGGGGATCCCAGGCGATAGACTATAGCTGCCCTTCTTCCACCAGCAGCAGCGGCGGCAACAGCACGGGAAGCAACGGCAGCACCGGCAACACAGGCAGCACCGGCGGCACTGGCAGCACCGGCGGCACTGGCAGCACCGGCGGCACTGGCAGCACGGGCAACACTGGCAATACGGGCAACACTGGCAGCACGGGGAGCAGCAGCAGCAGCGGCAGCAGCGGCAGCAGCAGCAGTGGGTCGTCCTCCCAGTCGCAGGGGCCAGCGTGCCATCCGTCCTCCCTCCCGGGATACATCTGCTCCACCCAGCTCAGGCAAAACGCGTGAGTGTGGAGTATCTGCAAATGGCCCGCTCAGCTCAGCTCAGCTCAGCTCACCTCAGCTCAGCTCAGCTCACCTCTGTGCTGTTTCAGGTGCAGCACAGCGAGCATGGCAGCGCAGGTGCCTGCATTCACTTGCGCCCTCGCTTCTCTCCTTGTCCTGAACCTCCCTTGTCGCCCGTTCTGATCCAGCTACATCCCGCACTGGGTGGCAACAAGGACAGCACAGTGAGTCGTGACTCCTCTCCTTGTCCCCAACCTCTCCTTGTCCCCAACCTCTCCTTGTCCCCAACCTCTCCTTGTCCCCAACCTCTCCTTGTCCCCAACCTCTCCTTGTCCCCAACCTCTCCTTGTCCCCAACCTCTCCTTGTCCCCAACCTCTCCTTGTCCCCAACCTCTCCTTGTCCCCAACCTCTCCTTGTCCCCAACCTCTCCTTGTCCCCAACCTCTCCTTGTCCCCAACCTCTCCTTGTCCCCAACCTCTCCTTGTCCCCAACCTCTCCTTGTCCCCAACCTCTCCTTGTCCCCAACCTCTCCTTGTCCCCAACCTCTCCTTGTCCCCAACCTCTCCTTGTCCCCGACCTCTCCTCGTCCCTATCCTCTCCCTGTCCCCATCCTCTCCTTGTCCCCAACCTCTCCTTGTCCCCAACCTCTCCTTGTCCCCAACCTCTCCTCGTCCCTATCCTCTCCCTGTCCCCATCCTCTCCCGCCTCTGCCTTTCCTCCCCTACCCTCCTCTTCCCCCCCAGCTACATCCCGCACTGGCCAGTCAACAAGGACAGCACAGTGAGCATTTGCTCGCGTTGAAACTCTCTTGTCCTCATCCCTCTCCCTCTCTGCCTCCTCTCTCTCCCCGCCGTGTCTGATTCAGCTACATCCTGCACTGGGCGGTCAAGAGGGACAACACAGTGAGCCTTCACTCATGCTTTCCCCTCTGCGCTTTCTTCCTCCCCTCCCCTTTCCCCAGCTACATCCTGCACTGGGCGGTCAACAAGGACAGCACAGTGAGCATGGCAGCACAGGTGGCCACCACAGGCTACATCGGCGTTGGTTTCTCTAAGGACGGCCAGATGATCAACTCTGACGCAGCCATTGGGAACGTGCCACCTGGCACGCTGGCCAATGGGGCGGCGGTGGGGCCGTATTACATGAGTGGGCGTGATGTGGCGTCGGTGCAGCAAACTGACACGTGGAGTGTAACCAACACATCAGTTACCAGTGCCAATGGATACACGATAATCAAGTGAGTGAGTAAGCACAGTATCGAATGAGCGGGCATGATTTGCAGTCGGTGCAGCGAACTGGCATGTGGAGTGAAGCATTGAGTACCAGCCCAGCAGAACGGTTACACCTTTATCAGGTAAGTATACTGAGATGTGGGAACGTGTTTGTAGGCCACTTCTGATACTTTTGGCAAAGAACCAGCCAAAACGGTTACACGATTATCAGGTAAGCATACTGAGACTCACACCCTATTTCTGGACGATGTGACACGCGGAGTATTACCAACGCGGCCGTATCTCTCCCTCTTCCCGGCCCTCCCAGGTTCACGCGCACCATGGGCACGGGGAATGTGCCCATCAACCCATCGGGCCCCACCACCATCATCTGGGCCTACTCGCCTGATGGCTCCACCACCCTCGCCTTCCACGCCAGCAACTAGTGAGTCACGAGCGATTGCACTGCATGGCATGGCATGGCATGGCATGGCATCGGGCCCCACCACCATCATCTGGGCCTACCGTCGCCTTGCACGCCAGCAACTAGTGAGTCGCATGTCATTGCAGTGCATGGCATGGCCTTTTTACACTATGGTGTGCCATGATGTAGCCTGGCGTGGCATGTCATTGCAGTGCATGGCATGGCCTATGGGTCCATGGTGTGGGAGTGGCATGCATGCAGCCACCACCACCATCATCTGGGCCTACTCGCCTGATGGCTCTACCTCCCTCGCTTTCCACGCCAGCAACTTGTGAGCGTCACGGTGGCATGGCTTGGCATGGCAAGTCAAGCATTCTCCACTCTTCCTGCCCAGGCCCCATTCCCCTCCTTCCCCCCCGTTTACCCCCCGCCCTCCACCCCCCCAAACTGCCAACTCCCCCTTCCTCCTTGCCACTCTCACCCGTGCCCATCGGTCTGCTTTATATTTGTCAACGCACTTATCCCCCCTGCCCCTCCCAACCCCTGTCCCGAATATACCCCCTGCTCTACCCCCCAGTGGATCAGCCTCAATAGATTTTATCAAGGGCACAACCACAGCAGGCGAGGGCAGCAGCACAGCGGCGTATATGTGACGTCCCGCCCCTCCCCCGCTCTTCCCCCGTGTATCCCTCCCTCCCACCCCAGCGGGTCAGCCTCCATAGATTTCATCAAGGGGAAAACCACAGCAGGCGAGGGCAGCAGCACAGCAGCCTACATCGCCCACGGGGCGCTCCTCTCCATCGCCTTCGCCCTCCTCATGCCCCTCGCCATCCTCCTCGCCCGCCTCCTCCTCGCCGACCGCCCCGACTCCGCCCCCCTCAACCTCAACCGCGCTTCACACACCGCCGCTGCTGATGCCTATGGGAATGGGAATGGGAGTGGAAAGGGATCGGCAGGTCAGCAGCATCACCCGGCGAAGAGCTATCGGCCACTAGGGTTCCAGCTGCATCGGGGCATTCAGCTCTTTGCACTCGTGGTCGCACTATCGGGGACGGTTGTGATATTTGTGCAATCGGGCTCCAAGGGGTTGAGCTGGACGCATGGGCAGGTGGGGTTGGCGGCGGTGATTCTGGCGCTGGTGCAGGCTGTGGTGGGGTTTGTGCGACCGGATAAGACCGCTCCGAACCGGTTCAAGTGGCTTGTGGTGCACTGCTTGGTTGGTGCTACTACCATTGGGCTTGCATGGGCGGCCATGTTCCTGGGCATCGACCTCTACCACACCAAGTTCATGCAAAATGTTACGGTGAGTCTTTGGGACGCGTTACGTGCTGTTTTTACTTTTATAATTATTTACAAGAGCTGGTGAGAGAGGAAGGGCCTGAATGGGTGGGGTGGGGGAGAAGGTTGGAAAGGAAGGGAAGGAAGGGGCTGAGTTGGGTGTTTCCGTGCTCTGTTTCTTCTTTCTCCCCTGCCTTTGCTCCTGCAGTGGTGCTACTGGGTCTGCGGCGCGTGTGTGGGCAATTTTGGCGTGGCATACCTGATTCTGGTCATTCCAGACAGCATTCTTTCATTGAAGGCGCCTAAGGGTCGAAGTGATGCTGGAAAGGGCACACCTGCTGCTTTCTGAATGGACGGGAGTCGCAGCTACGTTGGGAAGCCAAGCCACCCGGAAAGTTGAATAAGATAGAGAGGCGCATTCCTCGTCTCTAAGATATTGCAGTGCATGAGAGGATGGTGTACAGTACTAATAATGGACGGTTTGCGCTTCTTGTGTTGGTAGTGTCTGAGACGAGTTGCGCTTCTCGTAGCCAGAGACCCATGTGCAGGCTGATTTGTTTGCCTGATATACCCGATTCCATTATTACCAAGGACAACGATGTGCGCCTGCTGATCACCATATTGCAACCTGGCAAGCGATTTAGAGCGTGTAACCTTTTCTCTTTCTGACCGTCCGGACGGCCCACCGTCCGGACTTTTTTAGGGTTACCGACTTCGGCAAAATCCGTCGACGAATCAAAGACAAAGCGAACAGTCACGATATCAGTAACCCTACAAAAGTACGGACGATGGGCCGTCCGGACGGGCAGAATTGGAAGAATGTACAAGCAAAACACTACAGTCGTAACTGACTATCAAAACTCTTCGTCGCGATACAGCCCAACACCAGCAGGGATCAGCTGTGCGAGTGTGACTGGCTGGCGGCATTCCCAAGGCTCATCCACTCGCAAGAGCTGTCTGAATGGGCATCAAAATCGGAATTCACCTCCAGTTAGTTTGCAGGTGATAAAAGTACTATACCGTGTGACTGATAGACTTTGTTGGTCGCCGAAACTTTTGCCATGGCTCTGGCTGCCGCACCTTCCGCTGCGTGGCGGCTCGCCGTCTCCAGCGCGCTGACCTCGGGAGTCACCGCCGGATCGAGCGCCGAGAACTCGCGTTGCTGCGCCAATGTATGTGGATCTTCGTTTTGACGCGCCTATGACATTGTCGTTTTGTCGCGCCTTAACAATCCTCTAGGCTTCCTTGAGGCTTGGATTGAGTGCGACAAAATGCGTTGCTGTGGCCACGCATATCTGTGGTGGGTCTGCACAAGATCATCGTTGTTTGTTCTTTCTTTCTTTCTTTCTCTTCTATCCCCAAAAAGTGCTCACCCATTTCTGTGGATCCTCACAACATTCTCGGTTGATTAGAACTGTTTGTGTTCTAGGGTTTCGCAAGAGTTACGTTACCGATCCTTACCTTAAATCTCTATTATCCGTGCCTTTCCTCCTTTCCTGGAGTTTCAGGATGCTTCATTCGCTGCTCCGCGAAGTCTATCCGCCACGCCCCGCGGGTCCCGCCTAGTTGCGCGCGCCAAGTTTCAGGGCTTCAACCAGTCGGTGGGGGAGGCGCAGGAGGCGGACGGCGCAGCCGTTGCGCCGGCGAGCGCGGAAGAGAACGGCGCAGCCGTTGCGGCCGCCGCGGAGGGAGCCGCAGAGGAGCGGGACGCGGGAGGACGCGACGACGAGTGAGTCACTTCTCCCGAACCTGGCCGCGTTCCGTTGGATATTCAGACACTCATGCTTTCATGCATTCATAATGCAATCGTATCTGGTTGTTATCTTCTTATCGCCTTCTGGGTCGGTGTTCGCCTTGCTTTCGCCGTACTCGTTTTCCCCCTCCTCTGCCTCCTCGTCTGCCTCGCAGCGTGCTCCCAACGGACCTGGACGGCGCTGTGCGCCAAGCAGGGCAGTCAGCGTGTTGACTTTTGAGAGTGCCCGGGTGCACAGTCGATTCAAAAGTCAATTCGCCTCGCCTTCCCCTTCTTGTGCCTCGCAGCGTGCTCCCAACGGACCTGGACGGCATACATTGATGCATTGGCTTCAATTTTTCTCTGTTGTGGCCTTCTTGTCGTCTTCTGGGTGCACTTTACCCCCCTCGTCTGCCTCGCAGCGTGCTCCCCACGGACCTGGACGGCGCTGTGCGCCAAGCAGGGGAATCTGCCGCGTACTTCTGCAACGGAGGCGGCACCCGCGCTATTGTGAGTGCGCTGCTGCTGAAAGCTGCTGTGCAGCACAAGCGTCATTTTCAGTGCGCTGCTGCACTGCACCCGCGCCATTGTGAGTGCGAACGCATCTTCAAATCCAGCTGAAACTCTCACAAGATGAATATATGCCATTTAATCGAAATCAGAAAGCGAAAGCAATATTCTTGAGCCACTTGGGTTTACTGTCTCGTCCGTGAGATGAGACACAGTCAGGCCCTCAATTGTCGTCACAAGACGAGACGAGTGAGAGCCGCGGGATTGGCCGAGCGACCCCCACAAAGTCTCATTGGGGAGAGCGCAAGAATTGGGGAGGAAGGAAGCTTCCTCTCCATCCCGCGGACATAGAGGCCCTCTTTCCTCCTCGTCTTCTTGTCTCTCCTCGGAGTGACAGAAAGGTGGGGAGGAGTGGGCCGGGGGAGGTATAACCAGCCCTGGGCGAGCTCAAGACATGCTGCACAGGTTGAAGCCTCCCCCACATGCGCCTGTGCACGATCAGGCTGGCACACACGCCTTAAACGTATCGCATTTCGCTCATTTCGCACAGACCTGAGTCCCAGTTCGGTGCTGATGCTCTTCCAATTGGAGGGTGATGTGGTGCTCTGCTCTGTCCTTCCCTCGTCCCTTGTTCCCATGCCTGCTGGCAGGTGGAGCTGCTGGTATCAGATCTGGAGATCAAATCAGAGCGGTGCAGTGCGGTTATCTGTTCCCATTCCTCCCATCCCTCCTCCCATTTCTCCCATTCCTCCCATTCCTCCCATTTCTCAAATTCCTCCCATTCCTCCCATTCCTCCCATTCCTCCCATTCCTCCCATTCCTCCCATTCCTCCCATTCCTCCCATTCATCCCTCCCTGCTGCCAGGTGGAGCTGCTGATATCAGATCTGCAGATCAAATTAGAGCGGTGCGGTGCAGTGCTCTGTTCCCATTCCTCCCATCCCTCCTCCCAATCCTCTCACTCTTCCCATGTATCCCTGCTGACAGGTGGAGCTGCTAGTACCTGATTTGGAGATCAAATCGGACGAAGGCGCGCAGCAACTGCTCTGGGATACCAGCCGCACCTTCCTTGACTCCCTCAAGGGCCACCTGGACTTTGAGGTGAGACGTGGTGCAGTTCAGTACAGTGCGGTGCAGTGTGGTGCAGTGCGGTGAAGCCAGATGAACCCAGGTGAGGTGCAGCAGCTGCTCTGGGATACCAGCCGCACCTTCCTTGACTCCCTCAAGGGCCACCTGGACTTTGAGGTGAGCCGTGGTGCAGTTCGGTACAGTGTGGTGCAGTGTGGTGCAGTGCGGTGAAGCCAGATGAACCCAGGTGAGGTGCAGCAGCTGCTCTGGGATACCAGCTGCACCTTCCTTGACTCCCTCAAGGGCCACCTCGACTTTGAGGTGAGCCGTGGTGCAGTTCGGTACAGTGCGGTGCAGTGTGGTGCAGTGCGGTGAAGCCAGATGAACCCAGGTGAGGTGCAGCCGCTGCTCTGGGATACCAGCCGCACCTTCCTTGACTCCCTCAACGGCCTCCTGGATTTTGAGGTCACGCGCGGTGCAGTGCGGTGCAAAGCGATGCAGCATGTGCAGTGCAGTGCAGCCAGGTTATCTGTAGCAAAAGCCAGCAACTTAGCATCATGGTGCAGTGCGGTGAAGTCAGGTCAGCTGCGGTGGAAGCGGATCTCGCTGCATCTGTGAACCTGTCCTTTCTCTCCGAACTTTCTCCCCTCTCTCCCCGCACTCCCTCGCCCCCAACCCCTCTCCCCCCTCCCTGTTTCTCAACAGAACGTGAGGGCCATCTTCCCGGATGCAGGCTCGGCAGCACTCCTCAAGAACCAGTGGCCCGACGCACCCTTTGCCTTCTCCAGCCTCATGGACCGCAAGCCAGTGCAGGAGCAGGACGACGTGGTCGTGCTCATCACCCCCGAGTACCAGCAGCTCAGCGTGGTCGAGTCCATAGGAGGCATGCTAGCCACAGAGGATGGCTTGACTCGCCCGCTGATTATGTATAACCCGAGGCTGGTCAGCGGGGATGTGGGCGTGGGGCTGAACGTGCGCCGGCTGAGGGAGCGATTCCTGTCGACGTTTACGACCGCGTTCTGCCTGCGGCCGCTGCCGGTGGGAGCGATCTACCGGCGGTACCCCAAGTGAGTTGGATTGGAAGTTCCTTTCATTGTGTGGACTGTGATGACCGTGTTGACTGCTCGGTGGAAGTTCGTTTTATCGTCCACCCTTAAATCATTTTCTTGCTCTCCGTTTGATTTGTTTGGTTTGTTTTCTGTTGCATCGAAGCTCTGGTAAGCGTTGCCAGTAGCAGTTCATTCACCCCTTTTGTTGCAATTTGAAATTGATAAAACATATTGCTCTTCTGCTTGCTCTCCTCGTAGCCCCTGGCAGTTGTATTTGGATGATCCTAACGAGCCAGGCCGATACATTTTGTTGCGGCAACAAGGGTCCAAACCTAACATCGATGATATCGAGGTGAGCTTTGTAACGATATACTAGCCTTGTATGTGGTATTTCTCTTACCACCTGTTATCATATGCTCACTGTTTTTTATTTCCATGTGGGCAGGAAATGTACATGGCTGCATCGGGAGGGGGTGAGCCTGGAGCAGAAGAGCCATCGTTCATCGAGCAGGCGTTTGGAGTTATTTCATCATTCAACAGGTTCATGCAATCTCTTTCCAAGTAAAGGACGGATCTGTATATACTCTAGTTCCACTAGTTCACTTGCCTGGATGGATGTCTGGAAAATGAATTTCTATAACACCCTTGCTTTATATAATGTGTGCACCTGGAATGGAATAGCCGAATCGGCTCACCTTCCGTCGCTGCAACATGCACTGGCGTGTCTGTTTGCTGGTTCGATACGCTCATCAGCTATTTTCCAGACATCTGGGAGCATGCATCCACTAGGTGTCCGTGAGCTGCTGCCACGCGTTCAGGGATGGTACGGCAATTTCAAGGGCTCGCGCCGGGGAAGCCAATCACAACCAAGGACACAAAAATCCGGTCCGCCAATCAGGCCCGCAAACCTCCAGCATAGACTTCTGCACCTTGCTCGCCTCCAGGCGACCTGCACAAAGTGAGGGGTGATAAACGGTTTTGGAGTAACATTGCAGGATTCGGTTCCTTTCTGTGTGGTGGTGAGGGATTCTGAATCTTGAGTTTCTGTGACAATCTGGGATAACGACTAGAGTTCAAGCTACACGTCCATGGTGTATGGGATTAGGAAGCTTTCTAACAGCAGTCTCTGCCGCACAGTATTGGTTTATAGAACTTAATCGGCCACGGTGGTAGTCGGGTCGGGACTTTTGGGCTTAGCCGCGCTTCACCTATACAGGCCCAGGCCTAGTCTGGACAAAAAGTGATTCCTCCACAACTACTCGTTCATTCCTCTAGCGTCCGTTGTTTTTGTCCCAATACTCAACTACAGGATCCTACCATACTGCGTTACACATCCAAAATACCACTTACGTATTACAGAAAACTACAGCGAGCCATGAGTGCGACGACAGCTGGCTTGGCCACGGCGGGATGGATTCCATCCACGTCCATTCACACACATACGCCACCAGAGGCGAGCTACCGATCTAATAATTCAGCACAGCACAGAACAAACCTGAGAACATCAGCACAGCCACCACGCTCATCGCATTCACCTCGTTCAGCTCATCCGAGGGCTTTATTACGTACGGGTACCGCCTGCAGAACCGCTAGCCGACAAGCAGATCTGGGCTCGGCGGTCGGCCGCTCGAATCTCGGAAGCCGGCGACGTGATTCGCGAAGCAGGCTCACCTCGCGCAGGCTCGTGCAGGTAGTGCTTTTCGTCGGGTTGCAGTCTCTATGGCTGCCTGCATTTTGATAAGTGAGCTCGGGGCTCTAATCTGTTATCGTTGGTAGGTGATTCGTCTGGTCTTTGGCGGGAATGCAGATGTCTCGGCTACAGATACGCCTCGTTATGCGAAACACGAGTATCAAAAAGCTCTAAATCTCCACTCCATTGAACCCTACTACACTGCATGTCGCCCCGTACCCCGATCCTCCTATCCCCATATGCTCCAATGCACCTATGCTTGTCCTCTCTCCAGACCAACGCCAGCCAAACCTCCGGCGCCGACGGCGACGGTAGCAGCAGCAGCGGCGGCGGCGGGAAGGGCGACGACGACGCAATGTCGCTGGCGGCGGAGGCAGGCGGGATGGACTGGCGGACGTTCCGCGCGAAGCTGGTTGCCGGCCACGAGGCCACGCGGAGCGTCTCCGCGCCCTCCCCCGCGCAGGAGGCGGTGGGGCTCGAGATCTGGCAGGTGCGGTGGACTGCTTGTGATGATACAGCTGTGTGGCCTCCTATGGAATGGCACCATCCCGCGCAGGAGGCGGTGGGGCTCGAGATCTGGCAGGTGCGGTGGTAATGTTGGGATTGGCATCCGCGTGTGATGATACGACCATTAAGCCTAATACAGAGTTGCGTCATTCCGCGCAGGAGGCAGCGGGTTCAGAATCTAGCAGGTACAGGGGTACAGGTAGGGGTGACTCTTATTCGGGGCCTAAGAAACTGGCTCGGGATTTGACAGGTGCGGTGCTGTGAGTGGGTTCAATTGCTCTAGGCGCCTAAAGAACGTGCTTTAGGTCTGGTCCCTGCGTTGGTGCAGGTGGGGTTGAGACCCTGACAGAAATCCGATGCTCGGTGGGAGGCTTGGTGCACAGTAACTTGAGAAGAAAAACTCGCAGATTTCAACCCTCGTTTCTTCTGCCCGCCCCCCCTTCACCGTACCATCGCCATCATCGGGACCGCATGAACCTCGAGAACTGGCCACTGCTGGCGCCGCAGAACCCGGCCAACAGGTCCTCTTTCCCCTGTCTACTATCCCTGGCCAGTATTGATCAAGTTCCTCCTATCTCCCCCATCACCATCATCATCAGGACCGCATGAGCCTCGAGAACTGGGCGCTGCTGGCCTCGCAGAACCCGCGCCTGGCGAAAGAGGTCCCCTGGGTGCACTCCACGGGGGGCGCGGAGGCGGGGGGCGTGCTGCTCGCCGCGCCCTTCCCCCAGATTCCCGGGCAGGGGGAAGCGGAGGGCGGAGATGGAGGGCGCGGAGCGGGCGCGGGCGGGCTGGACAGGCGGTTGTGGCAGGCGGCTGTGTTTCTGGTGGAGCATGGAGGGGCGGGCAGGGAGTCGTGGGGACTGCTGCTGAACCGACCGTCGGGATTCACGATTCAGATGGTGAGGGAGAGCACTGGGCATGAAGAGGGCTTTGAATGTGGACCGTGAGAGCGTTAAGAAACGGCTTTTGAGGCTGCTCAGAGGTAGTTCTGGTGGAGCACGGGGGGGCGGGCAGGGAGTCGTGGGGGCTGGCTGCTGCTGAACCGGCCGTCGGGATTCACGATTCAGATGGTGAGAGTGAGCATTCGGCATGTGGGAGGGCTTTGAATGTGGACTGTGCGAGCGTGAAGAAACGACGTTTGAGGCTGCTCAGAGGTAGTTCTGGTGGGCGCATTCCGAATTTGAGAGGGTTCAGAACGGAAGAGCATTTGGAATTTGAGAGGTTTCGGAAGGTGAGAGGATTCGGAATTTGAGAGGGTTCAGAAGGTGAGAGAGTTCGAAATTTGAGAGGTTTCAGAAGGTGAGAGCATTTGGAATTCGAGAGGTTTCAGAAGGTGAGAGCATTCGGAATTCGAGAGGTTTCCGAAGGTGAGAGCATTCGGAATTCGAGAGGTTTCAGAAGGAAAGACAGGGTGGAGGATGTGTTGCTGGCTGTGTTTTCCCATTGTCCCTTCCTTCCATTTGCCCCGTTCTTCCCCTTCCCAGGCGCTAGCGAAGGTGAACAGAGTGGAAGAGGCATCACTGGCAGTGTTTGCACGCAACGCCATCTACATCTACTTCCCCTTAACTTCCCCCTTCTTCCCCCTCCTCCCCTCCTCGTCTCCTTCCACTAGGCGCTAGCGAAGGTGAACAGGGTGGAGGAGGCATCGCTGGCAGTGTTTGCACGCAACGCCATCTACATCGGTGGGTTCAAGTCTGACGGCAGCACTCTATACTTCCTGCACGGCCACGACCTGCCCGGAGCCAAGGAGGTGCGCTCTAGGGCTCTACACCTTTTTCCCTGCCCATGCGTCTCTGCCCCTCCCTGCTTTTGTCCCGTACTCTCTACTCCCTGGACGGCCACGACCTCCCAGGGGCCGTCCAAGGGTCGTGATAGGAAATGGCGCTGCCTCTTGATCCACCACTTATGACAGTCAATCGAGTGTGGGCGAAGCTGGATGAGTACGGCCCATAGCCGTGCAAGGTTATCTCTTTCAAGGAGTCTCGGTAGGAAAACAGGGAAGGGGAATGACCACACGTGGATGTGCTACCGTTCACCCTGGAGGTGAGATGAGAGAGAAGGGTTAACGGTAGCACATCATCTCCTTTCTCGCCTCCTTCTCAAACTTCTTCACAATCATCTCACCTCCAAGGTTAACGGTAGCACATCCACGTGTGGTCCTTCCCTTCCCAGTTTTCCTCCCAAGGCTCCTTGAAAGAGATAATCCTTCCCAATTTTCCTCCCAAGGCCATGCTTGTCTTGCTGAAATCCTCACCCGTCCGTCAGGTCATGCCTGGGGTGTTCCTCGGAGGGCTGGATGCAGCAGCGGAGCAGGTGCTCCTCTTCCTCATGCCCTTCGCCACTTCAGTGTGCCTGCATCTGTTTCACCTTTGCTATCCCCTTCTCTTCATGCCCATCATCCCTTCGGGTCATGCCTGGCGTGTACATGGGAGGGCTGGAGGCAGAGCCGGCGCTTCTTTGAAGGTCCCTCCCTCCCCATCAACATGCCTTCATACAACATGCCTTGATGTGTCTGCCCTTCATGTCACTCTCTTCCTCGTGCCCGTGGCCCCCGTCAGGTCATGCCTGGCGTCTACATGGGAGGGCTGGAGGCAGCAGCGGAGCAGGTGCTTCTGGGCAAGATGCCACCGAGTGACTTCAGATTCTTTGTCGGGTATGGCTGGAACTTCCTGAATATTAGGACTGGTAAAGTTGATGCGAAATCATCCAACCTGGTATCAGTTACCTCCCCTCCAGCCTTTTGGACCGGTTGAGTTGGTGCAACAAAATCCCACCTGGTATCAGCCACCTCGTCTCCATACCTTCTTGTTATCACTGCTTCTCGTTGCAACATTCTCCACCTTGCACCAGTCTCATTGTTCACATGACTGGACCTATTATTGTTTTTGTTATTAACTGCAATTGTCTTTGTTCTTACCCATTGTTCTCATCCCATGGGGGTGATTCCAGGCAAGTGGAGTGGCAGCCGGGCAAGCTCCAGGAGGAGGTGGATGCGGGCCTGTGGTACACAGCAGCGTGTGCCAGAAGCCTTGTGCTCAAACAGTGCTTGCAGCTGCCCAAACCCCTCTGGTAAGCTCGCCCCGACCTATCCCTGAGCCATGCGTGCATGTATTGTGTGCATTGTGTGCTTTGCGGTGCGCTGAGCTGGGCCGTGAGGGAAGTTGAAGACTTGGTGGATGACATGTGCCGTGTGGTGCCTCGGTGAAATGCAGGCGGGAAATGCTGGAGCTGATGGGAGGAGAGTATGCTGAGACAGCGAGGAAGGAATTTGGAGAGAGATCTTGAGACCACTTACTGGAAATCGACTGCTCCCACCGGTTCACTTGCTGGAAATCAGCTGCTCCTGCTGGTTTTGTATAGGAATACCACAACACGTGTTAAGTTACCGTGATGCATAGATCCTTTGTGGGTCAATTCATGTCACACATATTGGGATAAAAACGAGACCAAAAGCAGGGGTGGTCGTCTAAAAAACAATTTCAGCCTATGTCTTATGTGGCCTTCAAAATTAGCGTGATGTAGCCCTTGAGTTGTCTAGTTGCGGGTTTCATAGAGCATGGTTCTCATGCTATATGTTCCCACTAACTAAGTAGTCCAACCGACGTATGCGTATATCGCGCTTAACGAGGTGGTTGCGTATGCGTACGGCTTCCCCCCCAGCAGCCATGGAGCCTGCAGCACCTCAAGATATTTGGGGCCAACATCACAGGCATGCAAAATAGTATGGTAACCCTATTCGATTGTATGCAAAACCGTCGATACCTCGGTTTCGGAGTTATTGACATATTGACCTAGAATTGCGGTTCTATTTACTTTAAAATCAGATCTTTACCACGCTTTGTTGTCCTATAAAACTCGATTCATTCGGGCGACTGTTCTGCCATATGAGCAGCACTGTTCGCTACACCTGCAGAAAAAATAAAACCCAACCGGAAAGGGATGCGACTCGGGAGGCATCAACCCTAAAAACAATGCCCTTTCCCGTGTTTAGGGTTGATCCCTCCCTGAAATGAGTCCGGGTCCCTAGGGGTTTTATTTTTTTCTTGCCTGCCCTAACAGAACCCGGTAGCAATATATATTACTTTCATTCCAACGAATTTTCCGGTCGAAATTATCGTGCACATTCAACAGAAAATTGTTGCCTGTAGGAATCGTTGTCAGGCGCCAAACAAGGCGCGGTAAGAATAGAAAGAAAAGAAATCGAAAGCGGATTCGATTGTTGCACGTATTGCTTTCTTTTTTGTGCTGCGTCAGCTGTTACACAGTGTTTTGAGTGGCGGTACCAGACAGATTTGCGCAGTGGAACTGGGGTATCGACGGTTTTGCATACAATCGAATAGGGTTACCAGACTGTTTTGCATGCCTGTGATGTTGGCCCAGATATTTGCACCCCGCCGCCTTTCCATAACCCAGGTCTGTTGTGTTGGGCGGGCCAACAGATCATCAGGGGTCACTTGACTGGGACAGTCTGGGTTTGACGGTTTGGTTCGGCTCTTATCTGGTTGGGCTCGAGCAAGGAGGTTTGTGGTGGAAGAGGTCGGGTTCCAAGACTTTCTATTGGTTGGTATCATATATTCTGGTTCGGTTAGTCCGGTATGGGCAGCTGCTGGTTGGTCTATTCGATGGTGGTTGGTGCTCTTATGCCATGCCCTTATCTCCTGCCTGAATAATCTGATGACTGGGCGGATCATGTCGTTTACTCGGATACACAATGGTCGAATGCGGTGAAAAACAGAAGTCGTTTACAACCATTTGTAACGCATTGCACCGCGCGAAACCAGCATTGAACGAAGAAACCACCCACACAAAATGCCCATGTTGCACCGCGCGTGGGTCTCTCTACCAATGTTTGTTCCGCCGATATTTTTTCCCTGGAAACTAGAATTGTCGCCTAGTAGTTAGGTCTTGTAGTTGTGAATGAAGTCCTGTCATTGTTAGGAGGAAGCACCAGTCTGGTGGTTTAGTCAATGGAAATGCAGGTGTCAATGTGGTGTCTTTGTAGTGTTGGATCGTTCTGACAAGCCATAATCTCTGACGCTGTCCTATTTATCACAGTACGTCTCAGCTTTACGATTTGTTTTCGCTCGGAATGTCGTCACAGGCTCACACACGAGCGGCTAAGCCGAGCGGCGGCGTCGCTCTCGGGAGTCGCACACGCGAGGCCAAAGTCAATCGCGGACGACGCATGCGACATCAAGACGCGGAGGATCCCGGATCTCCGTCAATCTACGCCACTCGTTCAGCCGGAAGCAGACCCATCCTTTCCACCACCCAATGGTGCTCCATATTCGTTATCATCATCTTCGCTTTCGTTTCCGGCGCAGTGATTGTCCTCCAGTTAACGGAGCATCGCAGCGTGTCTTCCGCACTCGCGAAGCTCCAGCAAACTGGAACCGGCATTGGAAACCACGCGTTGATCGCGCTGAATCTTCGCCTCCCGGGGAAGAAAGTGGGGAGTTTAACGGCGGGCACGCATCATCACGTGAAGCATTTGTTCGAACAGCGGTTCCTGTACTACGGAGACATGATCGACTCCACAACTACCGACTGCGGTAGCGTCAACGAACAGGTACTTGCTTTTTTGTCTTCTTCTTTGTATTCAGGAATCTGTCTACTTGAATGCTGTTTTTGTAGTACGGGATATCTTGGACGTTCCAGATTCATCGCATTCGGGCTAAATCTGCGTTGTGCTTATCCGCCTCCCTCTTCGCTTGTTTCTCCCACGTCTCTCCTCTCGCTCCGCATGCTGCGCTGCACTTCGTCTCGCTTCCTCTCGCTTCTCTCCTCGCCTTTCCCTTCCGCGATATTGTTGTTCGAGTGGTAAGGTAATCTCTCTCAAGAATGCAGTGCAAATTCCAAGACTGATTGACTCGTTGTTCTCGCTTGCCCTCGTCTGCGTATGCAGCTTTCCAGCCTGCGGTGTGCTATGGAGGAGGCACTTCTGACCAATAGGTACGGTGCTGACCAACAGGTACGGTGCTGGCCAACAGGTACGGTGCTGGCCGACAGGTACGGCGCTGGCCGACAGGTACGGTACTGCGTTAGGCAGCAGCAGAAATTAGAGGATTGAATGCAGCCGAATGGGGTGAGTTTAGATAAAAACCTGAAAGCATCAAAGTAGTTGGGTGAGCTAACCCACCCACCCAGCCTAGCATGCAGCTCCCTATAACCATGCGATGTAGGTTGATTGATACACATCGACAGTACAGAGGATTGAATTCAATGGAGAGTAATGGGAGAAATTGCGGTACGGGTTTTCACTTCTGATTGGAGAACGTAGCACATTGTGGGGTAGAATAACTTACAGTCCAGATTGAAGCTACCAACTATGCGTTTGTAGGTTCTTACCATGCACTTGAGAGGTTTCCAAGTCGTACATATCAAAAGTACAACGCTCAAAGTTTTCTTCCACTTCCTCTCACTCCTTGCCTTGCCCCTCATCCACGTCTACATAATGCTCCTCTCGGTGTCATCTCGGTGTTGGTGTCAACCAGAACGTTCGTGCTGCCTCGCCACATCTGCATCCGCCCAGCCTTCAACATCGACGCTGCTAGGATGTGAGCGCCTCCTTGCTTCCTGCACCGCATTCCACCCCTTTGGTTTCCAGTCATGCATATTTCCCTCCACTAACACACACCATATCAGTGCCTCTTCCACCGTTTCATGTTTCTCCCATCCTCACATTCTGTCCTCAAACCCCCTCCACCCTTACCTCCCCCTCGACCCCCTCCCTCTCCCTGCCGTCCGCTCTCCTCCCCTCCCTTCCCCAACTCTTCCTCCTTCGATACGCCAATTCTCATGTGCTTCATCTCCCCTGTCTGTCCCTTCGTTCAGCAAGCCTTCGCCTCGCCTCAGCCATCCCATCGTCCCTCAACCAGCAATCACCCTCAACCTTTGATTTCCCATACCCATACCCATACCTATGCACGCACACACGAATTTCCCCCATTCCCCTTACTCCCTCTCTCTGCATCACTCCATCAGAGTGAACACATCCTAAACGGAGATGCTTCTAGAGGACTTCTTGGACCTCAAAGCCATTTCCATAGCCCTGGTCTGGTCATGTCACTGACTGACCCACGATGCTCATGCATGCGCACACCTATGGCCCCAACTCCCTTTACCCTCTCTCACTGCATCACGCCAGTGATTACATCCCAAACCGAGATGCTTCTAGAGGTCCCTGTTGACTTCGAAGCCATCTCCAAAGCTCTCTTCACTTCCTTGGCCTACCATGCCCATGCATGCATACATACACCAACTGGGCCCACCCACTCCCCTGTGATCCCCATTCCCCGCCTCTCTTCCTCAGAGTGAACACATCCCAAACGGAGATGCTTTTAGAGGATCTCTTCGACCTTAAAGCCATCGCCAAGGCTTTGCCTAAGGGCATCGTCTTTGCTGACTCAGACGACTGGAAACAGACGCTTGTTGCCGCCCAAGACGCGCAGACCCTGGCAGATGCTCGAAAGAAAAAAACTTTTGAGGAAGAGGGAGGAGAGGGTGGAGGAGCGAAAGAGGAGGAGGAGGACGAGACTCTGGCACAGTATTTGGTGGTGGAGGATGGGAGTGTGAGTTGGAGGGAGCTTCGGGACGTGCCTGATTATGCCGAGGCTAAGATTGTGCATCGGAAAGATGGCCGGCCGTGGTGAGTGGAGCTTAAGGGGGTTGTGGGAGGGGAGGAGAGGGAGGGGGAGGGGGGCGGGAGAGAGGAACGCAGAGCACGATACTGGTGGCTGGAATGGTGGGTGGGGTAGAGTTCTGGGGAGATGGGTGGATGGGGGAACCGGGATGGCTGAGGCAGAGGGTTAAGGGAGGAGAGAGAATCGTCAGTGGAGGGATGGTGGGGAGGGTTGATGAAAAAACTTCAAATTTTGGAACATACAGCACCTTACCTCTCTCTTCGCTCTCTTTCTTCCCCCTACCTCCCGCCACCCCTCCCCCTCTTCCCCCCTACATGCACACACACACTCACACACCCACATTCCCACACACACTCAAACGCACTCGCATGCTCGCTTACTCGCGGCAGGAGGAGGGTGTGTGAGACGCGGTTCAACGGCACGGCAGTGATCTACCACGGCCCGCCCTTTGCCAAATACATCCGCGACCTTGCCATGCAGGTGAGCTGAGTTGAGAGGCTCCCCCTAACCTATGCAGACCCTGCCATGCAGGTGAGTGGGTGGATAAGACCTTGATATGCAGGTGGGTGGGTGATGCACGTGAAAAGCAGGGGCATTTCATGTTCCTGTGCTTCCGCAACACAGGCATTATGCAGAACCGCCCTTTCTCTTCCTCCCAGCCCCCCCTGTGTTCCTGCTCTCTTCCTCCCAACCCCATCAGTTATCCAAGAAACTGGGCTTTGTCTTTCTGCACATGCGCTGCCTGCCACAACACAGACATATCGAGAGATGATGCATCACACCTGTGCTACACCTAGACTCATCCAACCACATTGCACCGACAACCCAGGCCTCCAGACCCACTCTTTTCCTACCTTCCCAATGCAGCCCTCCAAGAAGCTGGGCCGTTTCGTTTTTCTGCACATGCTCTGCCACAATTCCAACATCATGCAAAACCACCAGTTCTCTTCCTCCCTTGCCACCCCTTGTTCCTTCTCCCTTCACCTGGCCCTCAGCTATCGGAGAAGCTGGGCCACTTTGTCTTCCTGCACGTGCGCCGGCACAACACGGACATCATGAGGGACGATGCCTCCTACCTGCGCTGCCGGCACCTGGACCGCGACACGCGCGTGCCGGCCATCCGAAGGCACATCTGGCGGCTCATCCCGGAGAACAGCACTCTCTACATCGCTACAGATGAAGTCAACCAGGGGTTCTTCTCAGGCCTCAAGCAGTGGTGAGTCCTGCAGCTGTCACATGATTGTTTTGAGACGTCTGAGCGCTAGACCAGATGTGTATGAGCATATGCTGGAGAGAGATGCTGCAAATTTGGATGTCTGAGCTGGGCCCTAGGAGCGCAGCACACATGTGTGCCGGCACATCTGGCGGCTCATCCCGGAGAACACCACTCTCTACATCGCCACGGATGAAGTAAACCAGGGGTTCTTCTCGGGCCTCAGGCAGTGGTGAGTCTACTTTGGGGCCCCAGTGCTTTACGAAGGAGAGGTATTGAAACCAGCCCTCTTTAAATTGCCAAACGAGGGTTCTTCTCAGGCCTCAGGCAGTGGTAAGTTTTGCTGTCACGTGTTTTTTTTAGATGTCTTGGGGACCCGACGTGTAGGGGTATGTGTTTTTCGTGAGACGTGTCAGAAGTAGACGTCTGGGTACCTGCGCTGCCGGCACCTCGATCGCGACACGCGTGTGCCGGCCATCTGGCGGCTCATCCCCGAGAACAGCACCCTGTACATCGCCACGGATGAAGTCAACCAGGGGTTCTTCTAAGGCCTCAGGCAGTGGTGAGTCTACTTTGGGTCCCCAGTGCTTTAAAAAGGAGAGGTATTGAAACCAGCACTCTTTAAATTGCCACGGATGAAGTCAACCGAGGGTTCTTCTCAGGCCTCATGCAGTGGTGAGTCTACGCGGGGTTCGCAGTGCTTGAGCTTCAAGAAGGAAACATCTTGAAAGCAGCACTCTCCACATTGCCTACGAAAGGGATTAAGGGCTCAAGCAGTCGGAAGTCCCGAGGCTTTTAGAGGCACATGTATGTAGGCTGACACATCTGGTGGCTCATTCCTGGAAACAACGCGCTTGAAATCACCGTAGGGTGAAGTCTACCAAAGGTGGCTGTTTTCGGAAGGTATTTTCCCCAACTCATCTCAGGCTGTGACCAATGGTGAGTCTACTTGGGGGTTAACCTTTTGTAGACCTCCCAAGGTAACTATCACCGAGATTTCCAAACCCTGTCTTTTGTCCCATCATTATACCAGGTATGACATTCGCCTTGCTCGGAGCTTTGACCATATCCTCAAAGACAAGGTCACCAACAACTACCAGGTCTTTGCAATCGAGAAGCACCTCTCCAAGTTTGCATCGTTCTTTGTAGCCACGTTCTGTGACGAGGCCGACTCCTATGGTTGGCTTGGCCTCCATGCTTTCTACTGCCTATGCCAAGACTACCAAGAAGGTAGACGTGCTCAAACAATCAAGGACACGTCAGCTGGGTGATAGCAACTATTTAGAATCCAACTAAACTAGAATAGTGTGCACATTTTCTTATCTGCCTGAGTTATGGATTTGTAAGCTGTACAACTAATACAAGAGTAGAGTTCAGTTCTGCCCAGGTTCACTGTTTCTCGCATTTCAGCGGGATAAGGTCAAACAGCGAGGTGAGAGCAGTGGTTGGTGCGCAAGTGCGGCAAGCATCCGTCCAAAGCTGCGACAAGCCCACCAGCGGCTGGGGAAATATTCGCCTAGTTGGCACATGCGGATTCGTCTATCTGTTCCCACGTCACCAGCACCAATTTGGGCTCCATTCATTTGGCCAAAGGGCGCCGCCTTCGACATTCGCGTCCCTTCGCATCAATCAGCAGCCGCTAAGCATTGATTGGCTGACACATGTTTTCAGCTCCTTCAGGCTCGGCATCGAACGCGAGCGCAGGCGAGGCGAGGTGAGGCGAGGCCAAGGGTGCACGAGCCTGATGGTGGTTTGGACAACTAGGTGTGGACGTAAACGAATCTTTTTTGTTCAGGTGTGATCGTCGCAGGGCATAACATTCCATCGCACCTCCTAATTATCAGGTCAGCGGACCCAACAACCTCAATCTCGTCGCACAAAACTGCTCGAACGTCGTTAGGCACGCCATCGCTCCATCCTCACCGTACCTTCCATCCGACGACGACCGGGTAATAGTTACGTCGTCGTCGCTGAACGATGGCTCTCCAGCCACAGGAATTGCCAAAACATTGTCAGCGAGCCCCTGCGTTTACCTGCCTTGTTTCACCAGCCTTCCCTAAACTCAAATTCCTCGATTCTTCCGTTCCATGGCTCTTTCCTCTTCCTTTCTCTTCAAGAGCTGCTGATTCCAGCACAGCACAGCGCAGCAGCAAGCCAGTCCCTGCCAGGTAGACCAAACCACATAAAGCTCCCGTGGCTCCACCACGACGCAACTGTCCCTGACTGTACTGGTTGAAGTGCTGTGTGCTAAGTGCTGCCTTGCGATCACTTACTGATACACTGTAAAATGGCGGGAGCTGTTCAAGGTGCTGCCGTATTCAGCTTTCCTTCACACGTGCACCGCTCTTCCTCTCGCAAACCGACTGGTTTACCAAAACCATTTCAAGCTGCAGACTTCCCACGGCTGATCAAGCTTTCACAGCAATATTACCATCAACAGCAGCAGCACCGATCATCAATCTCCTGCCGAACCACCATTTCTCAGGACCCGGCAACTCTCTCCTCAACACGGGACGCCGTTAACGGTAACGTTAACGTTAATGCGGAAACCGTCTCCGTTCCGTCGTCTCCCCTCAGCTACGACTCCTCGCCTACCGCTCAAACCGGCAACGGCGCGCCCCCGGAGTTCCCGCAACCTGTGTCCGGTTTGTCTTTTTCTGAGCGCAAATTCGGACCGTTGGCGGAGGTGCCTCCGGAGGAGTATGATCTGGCGGTGGCGGAGCGCGCGGTGCAGCTATCGTGCCGGCTGACGCAGCGCGTGCAGGATCAGCTGCGACAAGCGGAAGACGTCGCGCGGTCGAAGAAGGACAAGTCGTTCGTCACCGTCGCAGGTGCGTGCGACGATTGACGAGCGGCGAGCGTCGAGAAGTTTGGGAAACAAGCAAGCAAGAAAGAAAGAAAGAAAAAAGTGTCAGTCTCTATAATGGCAAGTGCAAAGTGCGCGAATGGCGAGTGCTTGAGTGAGAGGGTCCAGGCGCATGTGCCTCGATGCCTTGTTTTGTCGAAATTTGTTGGTGAGAACATCGAAACGAAATCCTAGGGCAGGACTCAGCCGTGTTTGGCGAGTATCAGTGTCGAGGTCTCCGATACAGTAATTGTTACTGTCTCCGTCATAGCCGCACACACCAATTAGCTGCGGCTGATAGATAATGACCCTGTCAACGCCTTACGTCCACTACCTTCCTCCAATCCCCTGCCTCCAGTCCAATCCCAACAGTGACACTACTACACTGGGAGCGCTCCACTCCCTATCTCCCACCTCCAATCCACTCCCAAATCTCTGTGTGTAGCTAAGTTACCATTCTCGCTCCCCGTCTCCGTTCCCCGCGTCGCTCCCCTCGCCGCTCCCCTCTCCCCCTCCCCATCGTCCTACCAGACTGGGGAGTGCAGGCGGTGGTGAGCTGGGTGCTGAAGCAAGCCTACCCCGACGAGCCCATCTCCATGGTCGCCGAGGAGGACACTAAAGAGCTCACCGGCCAGGCCGGGGTTGCCGTCCTGCAGCGCCTCGTGCAAACCGTCAACGAATGCCTCGCGGAGGCCGCACTAGTCGGCATCCCCCCGCCGGAAGCGCCGCTCACGGCGGTGCAGGTGCTGCAGGCGATCAGCCGCGGGGGGTCGGAGGGCGGCGCGGAGGGGCGGCACTGGGTGCTGGATCCGGTAGACGGGACGTTAGGGTTTGTGCGGGATGACCAGTATGCTGTCGCGCTCGCGTTGCTGCAGGACGGGCAGCTGACAGTCGGCGCGCTGGGCTGCCCGAATTTCCCGGTCAGGTCGGGGTGGCTCCGGCACCCGCACCGGTTCCACCGGCTGACCGCGAAATACTTTCCGCCGACCAAGTGGCATAAGGGGTTTGTGCTGAAGGCGAAGAGAGGAGGGGGCACGTGGATGGAGTCGCTGGTGGAGATTGGGAGGGATGGAGGGGCGTTGAGAGCGGTTCCGATGCCGGTTAGGGTCTCGCCGGTGCAGGATGCTGCGCTGGCGACGTTCTGCGAGCCCGTGGAGAAGGCGAACTCGAACCAGTCGTTCACTGCTGAGCTGGCAGACACTCTCGGCATCAGGTGAGGCTCGGCACGGGGGGTGTTGGGAGGGGATGACTTTTGAGTCGACTCAAAAAGTGAGGCTCGGAATGGGGAGTGTTGGGAGGGTGGGGAAGGGAGGAAGAGTGAAGGGGTGGGGGAGGGAGGAGGGGGTTTGAGGGTTGCTGCGTCCTGTCCAGTTGTTATCAAGGACAGAAGTCAGAAGGAGAACGACATGTGTGCTGGAAGTTCTTGGGCAAACATGACGTGAGATACACACAGATTGATTTCTATAGATGCCTTCGGTTTCCAAGGGGAGTAGAGTAAATACAGAAACAAAATTGCAATTTAACCTGTTCCCTGTTCCCCTTCCACTCCCCCACCTCCCTGCACCTCTCCCTCTTCCCCTGCACCTCCCCCTTTCCGCCCCACTTTCCCCCGTTCCCTCTTCCTATGTCCCCTCTTTCCTTCCTCCTCCCTTCTTCCACCCTTTCCCTGTTTCCAACTCCCCATACGCTCCGGGCAGCACGGAGCCTCTCCGTGTGTACAGCATGGCCAAGTATGCCGCCATTGCAGGGGGCGATGCTGAGATCTTTATGAAGCAAAAAAGCGCAATGTCACCAGTTCTCTGCCTCTATTTCCCCCCCTCCCTCCTGGCAGCACGGAGCCTCTCCGTGTCTACAGCATGGCAAAGTATGCTGCCATTGCACGGGGCGACGCCGAGATCTTCATGAAATTCGCACACGGCAGCTACAAGGAGAAGATCTGGGACCATGCAGCAGGCGTGATTATAGTGGAGGAGGCGGGCGGCGTTGTGACCGACGCGGGTGGCAACCCCTTGGATTTTAGCAAGGGGAGGTTTCTCCTGGGGCTGGACAGAGGGATCGTGGCGACCAATGGCCCGGATATGCATGAGCAACTGCTGAGCACTGTAGATGCCAGCTGGAGTGCTTCTCGGCTGTAACTTTCTCATACAGAAACACACAATGTGTGTCGTTGCAGAGATTCGCCTGCTACTACTTTGTCCTGGCCCTCTGGTGGGTGATTTGTGTTCTGCCTTTACCAAGTCTTGTTGGGTTAGCTGAAGGTGGAGAACTGTGCTCCACAAGCTTGTTGTTTTCAGTGAGAAAAAATGAATTGGTAAACGTTTCCTATAAACTGGTTTTCTGGCACTTATGATGGGGAAACGTTGAGGCACTGAATTTGTAAGAGAGTTTGTGATCTGTGCAGAGGTTGAATTAGGGCGTGTAAAATTGTAACGACCAAACGCTATGGTCGATTATTTGGGCGTTTCTGGCGATTGCGAGGAATTAGGGTTACGCTGATGGGAGTAGTCACCCCGGTCTGACTCATTTTCAGTGGTAATTTTGGACCAGAGGTTTTCGAACCGCAATTTGGGACATGATTAAACTGATGCTCAGCGGAGAGATATGTTTTTTCCGTTTACCTAAACCCACTGCTTTGGTAAACACTCTAATCTAGGCTTCAGATCCCCCGTATTCCACACCCCTTTCGAATGTAGTAAGGAATCGAAACATTTCCTTTTTAATTAAGGGGGTGGTTTGGGGTGCTGCTCCACATATTTCGCACTCGCCAGCAACGCCCAAATGATCGACCATAGCGTTTGGTCGTTACAATTTTACACGCCCTTACCCTGATTTTGTTGTTTGTTGTTTATACAATTAAAACGCATCTCGGTTCTTATAGGTGTGCTGCCTTTCAGAGCGGTATGCGCGTTATCAGTGCAACTTCCAGAACAACACGCGGCCCTACCAAACATGTATGAATTCGCGCGAGCGGCGTCTAGGCCGCTGCCCATGGTGGTGTTTCCAGCCTTCAGGTTGTTGGGCTGGAAATCGGAGATTTCAACCTGACCGAGCAGTAGCGATTCGTCAGTGTCATCCCAAGCCACGCTAGCTTCAAGCCTCCACGAACCTTTGCGACTCTATTGTGCGTTGCAATTGGCTCCTTCAAAGCTAAAGCACAGCCGTGGCTATTGTGCGAACAAATCGAGCCTCGGGAAGCAGTTGTAGCGACGTTTTTTCAACGTCGAAGCTGAACATTAGCTTCGGTGACGATTGCGAATGTCGCAAACGTCGCCTCACCAAAGCGAAATCCAAACCTCCACCCAAGGCGGCAACAGGGGAACCCCTTGGCCGCGCCAACAACCGAAGCGCTTGAGGAAAGCACGCGAAACGGGCTCCGCGGTGCGCACAAGTGCTCCGCGCGTGTCTCGTCCCTGTATCTCGCACAAGGCAAATCCCCTGATCATATCGAGCTGTGCCACGTCACCTCCTCCTCTCGCAGCATGACAGCCATTGACGATTGCCGTACCTCGAACCTCACCGAAATTTGAGCCTCGTTGCCGAACCCCTTTCCAGACCTGTGATGTTTCGCTGCCGATGAGGTTCTCATCGGACCGTCCACTCGTAACCTCTCCCATCACCTCCCACTGTCCGATTGAGAATTATGGCCACGGGCAGTATCTCCGCGTTCCACTCGTCCCTATCGGACCGTCCACCACAAACAAACAACACCCGCAAGACGATCCCGAGGCGAAATCTCTGTGCCAACGACCTACCCGAGCCAGCCAACCACCAGCATCCCATACCATCCAACCAAACCAAACAGCCTGCCCAAATCTCCTAAACCAGCTTCGGAGTTGGTTGAATTCATGGTGCGTGTGACCATCCAACAAGGGAGATGAGTGAGGGGGGTTTGGATGTGTGCATTCGGCACCTCCATCCATCCATCCAATTCCGCTCGGGCTTGCGGACGAAGCGGGGACTCGAGGACTTGGGGGAACTCCAAGCGGAGCTGGGGTCCCTTGAGACTTGGGGGCACCCGCGCGCTCGGGGGAAAGGGGAAACGCTCTAGCACCTGCGAGGAAGGGGATAGGGGCTCCCGGAGTCAGGAGGGTTCGGAAAGCCGGAGACCCGGCAAGTTGGGGGAACTCTGGGAGCGAAGACTCGGGGACTTTGGGGGACACTGGGGAAGCCTAGGGATTGCACCACAGCGCATCCCCCCCATCCCATCCCTCGGTTCCTCCATCCACCCGACTCCAGCCCAGCCCGGCTCCACTTGAAAAACCCCAACGAGTCGACTCGACTTCTCACAAAGCGACTCCGAACGCCAACAGCGGCTCGCTTGAGAGAAACGCTCCTCCAACCCCCTCCATCCCTCCCTTACTCTCTGTGGGAAGACCCTTGGCTCCCAGTGGACCCACCGACCCGCGTTATCCGCTGCTTAATCCAACTTCAGAAATTAGGCGGCGCCTCTAATTTGTATGTTTATTTTGTATAATCGATCGCCATGGCGGCTGGCTGTTCTAAGGATCTGTTTATTTTGAATTGCTGGAGCTTTGCCCTTTGAGACCTGAGACCTAGAGCTTTACTAGTTGAAGCATTTGGTCTGCTTGTCTGGTTGCTGGTCAGCCCTTCATTTTTCCCAGGAATGATTTCGCCTGACCATCGTTCATTTTCACCCGTTTTTTTTTCCCTTTCCCTGCAGGTTCTTCGATCGTGGTTTTGTCCCAGATCTTGGTGTTTCCGATACTACTAGAATTATCTCTGTTTAAGAAGTCGTCATCATGTCGGCTCCTGATCAACAAGGGCAAACGGAGGAGTATGCTGGCAATCCCATTCCGATGACGCCGCATCAGATGGCGTTGCTTCTTGAAGAGATTGCCAAGCTCGACACGGAGAGATTGATTCTTGAACCTGGCGTCATGCTAGCCGATACGGGCACTGTTCTTAATCTTAGGTGAGGCTCTGTTCTCGTCGTGAACTGCTTCGGTTTTTTTTTTTTCCTCCTGCGCTAGGCCTGCCCGCCTGATGCCAACATGCCGGCTTTGACGAGGAGTTGAATTTCTTTTTGTTCCAGTTCCTGGTTTGTCCTTCTAGTATATTCTATTCATCGCTACGTCAGATCTTGTTTCTTTCAGCCGTTGTTTTTTCAGCCCATCGCCTCCCGCCGTCCCTATCCTGTATGTGCTCATCGCCTTCCTACGCGTCTGCTTGTGCTTCTTCTGTCCCGTTGCAGTCTGATCCGACAAAAGGCCCTCAGTCCCGCCTACACGCTACCAGAAATGCTAATGGATCTAAATTCCATCTGCGAGCCTTTTCTAAATCAGAGCCCGAGCCACGCGCAATACGCCAAAGGCTTTCTCGAAAACGCAAACGAGGCAATTGTTATCGCGGTCAGAGACGCTCAGGTAAGTTCGGCCGGCTATCCGGCTGATGGAACCGTTCCCGTCGCGAACGGGGATCCGAATCAACAGCAAGGCCACGTGCAATACGCTCAGCCAGGACAACAAGATCCGCAGCAGCAGTATCAGAAGCAGCCGCAATACCAGCAGCAGCCGCCGCAGTATCAACAACAACCACAGCAATACCAGCAGCAGCAGCCGCCGCAGTACCAGCAGCAGCAGCCGCCGCAGTACCAGCAGCAGTACCAACAACAACCGATGCCGCCGCAACAGCAGCAGTACCAGCACCAACCGCCGCCGCCGCAGCAGCAGCAACAGTACGTGCAGCAGGACGGCAGCATGTACGCTCCACCGAACGGAATGGTGAACCAGCAGAACGGACAGGGGATGAACGGGACGGCCGGCAACTCGTGGGTGATGCAAGTCGTCGGTAACGGTCAGATGCAGCCGGGCGGCGTGATGCAGAATCAGCACCAGCAGCAGCAGCAGATGCCACATCAGCATCAACAGCAGGCGGGTTACCACCACCAGCAAAACGGCATGGTGCAGCAAGGGGGGCAGATGGGGGGTTACCAGCAGCAGCACCCGCAGCACCAGCACCAGCCGCCCCACCACGGGGGAATGCCTGGCGGCCCCCCCATGCCTAACGGTCCGGGCGGAATGCCCGAAGCCGTTGGCGACTCGTCGTTCGTCGGTAAGAAACGGCAGCGGATGGATAAACCTGGCGGCCCGGGCGCCCCCGGCGCGCCGCCAATGAAGGCCGCGTCAGGCGCGCCCCGGTCGCGCGTGGAGGGGCGGCGGTGCGAGGTGTGCGCGGTGATTAAAAAGGCCGGGTGCGGCACGGAAAACGCGCACTTTAGGTGCCTGAAGCGGAAGCTTCCGGAAGGCGCGCAGGAGCTGGAGCGGAGAGTGGGAGAGCTGGTGGATGTGGGGAAGGAGGAGCGGGTGACGGTGTGGAATCCCAAGGAGGGGAGGAAGCTGAGCGGACAGGCGGCTCCTATGCTGAAGAACCTGGTCGGGTGGCTGGCGAGTCATCCTGGTTGGGAGGCCCATCCGCGAGGATCCAGCCCTGTTGCAAGGTTAGATTCTGCTGCTGCTCCTGCTGATGTTGTTGCTGCTGCTGCCGCTGCCGCCGCCCGTCTTGTTCCGTCACCTGTGGTCGTTTCCAATGTTGCTTGAGCGTGTTACTTGGCATTTCTGGGTTGTCAATTTTTATCACCTTGAAACTATTGCTCTCCTGAGTGTGAAGTATTGAGCTTTATATAATTGAGCTGAAATTGCTATTTGGTACGCCTTTTTCAACTGCAACAGCAGCCTGCCAGCCAGTGTTCCCACTCAGGGATCATCTACCCTCCTAGTTCCCCCATCACTGCACCTGCTCTGCACTCTCCCTCGCCCTTAAACCAGTTCTCTGTTCCCTGTGCTACCCCCTTTCCCTCCTTCCACATTCCATCATTGCAGGAAGGTGACAAACAACGGATCATCCGCCACTCCCGCGCAAGCCCCAGCAGGTCATCACCTCGCTCCTGCCCCCGCTCCTCCTGCTTCCGTGCCCGTGCACGTGCCCATGCCTGTGCCTGTTTCCCAACAAGACCCCATCCCCTAGCGAACATGAGGTCAACTCACTCTGGCCATCGCAACTCGTGTTGGAGAGACATACACTGGATGCAGTGTGGTTGGAGGCGGTTCTGGGGGTTCTGATTGTTTTATTCGACAGGGTAAGATTTGAAGTGGGTCGACGGGGCACCGTGGAGGATATGAGCATGGAATGATGTGTCATGGTATCATGGTTATCACTGGTGCTGCTGATTGCACTCACTCACTCAAGAATGTCTGGCCCAGAGTCAGCACATTTGTGCATGTAGGGGAAATCTGGAAAGGTGGGATGGGGTGGGTTATGGCTGAATGGAAGGTTCGGTTGGATAGGTCTGGTTGGGAGGTTGGGGTTGGATAGGGTGGGATTGACCCATGCTGGCCGTGGGATGTTGCCTGCCTGGCATGGCTCTGTTTGTAGTGTTTGCATGGCTGTTGTTACATGTTGTAACTGATGTTACACTTGAAAGCTGCTGTGTATGTCTCAGCCAATGTGGTTGGCTAATTAATGTGATGTCATTATCTATATTACACCACTTGAAAGACGACAATAGTAGTGTCACGTCATGTCATCATACCAACCCACAATCAGAAAAGCTCCAGCAAAATGGTATGATAAGAACCTGGTTGTGACTTCACAAGATAAAAAATAAAAGCATGAAAGCACATGGTCCACTAAATAATTAAAAGTCCTCGTCATTGGAAGTAGGCAGGGTAACGGGCACAGCCCATCTTCCCAAGTGAGCAGTGTAGTTAATACACCTCACCACACCCTGCCCCACCACTCCTGCTGCAATCCCCTGCCCTGCTGCTGCTGCTCCTGCTACACTGTCCCCCTTATTGTCAGACTCGCTACTTTCCTTGGGCTCACCAACGCCATCGGGGAAATCGACGACAGTGATGCTCCCAGGGTCGAGGCGGAAGCTTCCCAGAGCATCGTGAGGAAGCTTCAGGCAGGAAGCAAGCATTGCTTGAAACACTGTTTCATGGCCCACCACAATAACAGTTTCGGATCGCTCAATAGGGGGACTTCCTGGCCCTGCTGCTGCCACGTCAGCACCTGCACTTGCTGATGTGGCACGCTCCACTTCTGCCAGGTGGCGGCGAATGACAGTCCATGCCTTCTCAGCGCGGTCCCACAAGGACGGCAAGGATTCTCCTCTGGGCGGCGGGGAAGATTTGATTTGATCCTCCCAGCGTTCGTGTGCTGATACCTCTGCCATCATTGCTCCCTGAAGATAGTGGGTGGTGCAAAGGGGATTGTAAGAACGATGAGTTGTGAGGAGGAAAACCGAATTACTAGAAGAGACATGAAGCAGGCCAGTACAGGAGAGTGATAGATGGTGAGGGACTAAGTAACCACGACACCACATCGACAAACCGTAGCACACAGTCGGCGCCCAGACACTCCGCCGCCTCCTGCTCCTCCACCACCGCCTCGGCCATGCGGAGAGCTCTTGAGTCGACTCAGAAGGGCACAGATCCCGAAAGAGAGCACAGCGCTGCAGCGCGAAGGAGCGGGTGGAAGCAGGCATAGTGCTCACCTGCCATGTGCCGTACTCCAGCTCTCTCAACTCCTCCACATTCACCACTTCCACAAGCCGCGGCACACAGTCAGCGCCCAGGCACTCTGCTGCCTCCTGCACCTCCACCACCGCCTCTGCTGTGCGCACAGCCCTTTGAGCCGACTCAACAGTGCGGGGCAGTGGAGAGCAGCAGGCATAGCGCTCAGCTCACCTGCCATGTGCCGTACTCCAGCTCTCTCAACTCCTCCACATTCACCACTTCCACAAAGCGCGGCACACAGTCGGCGCCCAGGCACTCCGCTGCCTCCTGCACCTCCACCTGCGCCTCGGCCGTGCGCACCGCGCGGGGCAGCGGCGAGCAGAAGATGGTGTCGACGCGCACGTCGAGAAGAAGCTCGGCTGTCTTGCGCGCCTGCACCACGCCTAGCATGCTCAGCAGCTCAAACGGGGACTGGGGGAAGCGGCGCTGCGCCGAGCTGTTGGTGTCGCCGTGGCACACCAGGATCACTCTCGCCTTGGCTTTCCTTCCGCCTGAAGCCCCTCCTGTCATCACGGGCGGTGCGGGCGTCTGGACGGGCGCAGAGGGGTAGGGAGGACAGTAAGGGAGTAAGGGGAGGTGAGGGGAGTGGCGAGCAGAAGACCGTGTCCACTCGCACGTCGAGCAGAAGCTCGGCGGTCTTGCGCGCCTGCACCACCCCCAGCATGCTCAGCGGCTCTGCAGCTGAAGCAGGGAAGCGGCGCTGGGCTGAGCTGCTGGTGTCGCCGTAGCGCAGGAGGATGACTCTCGCCTTGGCCTCTCCTTCCACGCCCCCATCTGCCACTGTAGCAGCAGCGGCAGCATCCACCAGCACGGCGCCAGCCTCGCTGTGAGTGTGAGTGAGCCTGCTGGGGTGGGGCAGCAACGCCAGCTTCTGCTGCACCAGCATCCACCAGCACAGCCCCAGCCTCGTTGTTGAGTGTGACGGTAGTCGTGCACCTTGTATGGAGGGACGGTTTCGTCAGAAGGAGTGTGAGCCTGCTGGCTCTCACTCACCTGGTGGCTCAAGTCCCGAGTAAGAAGACACAGAAGCAAATTCACGCATTACACCTGGTTGACAGATTCGCACCTGGTTGAGCCTGTTAAGGCACACATATGGAAGCAAATACTCCTCTCCCTCCGCCCCTGCTTGTGCTGCAGCAGCAGCATCCACAGGCACGCCCCCCCCAGCCTCGCTGTGAGTGTGACTGTAGTCGTGCGCCTTGTACGGAGGGACGGCTTCGTCAGAAGTGTGACTGTGGGCGTGTGGCTTGTAGTGAGGGACGAAGTCCAGCACGCTGACGCCACAGTTGCTCTGCAGCAAGAGCCGGAAATACTCCGGACCCAGGCCTGGGGGGGGAGGTGTGTGGGGGAGGGGCAGGGGGGAGTGAATGGGGAGAAGAGAGGGGAAAGAAAATTGAGGCGCCTCAAAAATTGTGTCTTCTCATGTGCCTTGTAATAGGGGACGAAGTCCAAGATGCTGACACCACAGTTGCTTTGCAGCAAGAGGCGGAAATACTCCGGACCCAGGCCTGGTGGGGGGGAACGCGGGGGGAGGAGGGCGGGGGAAGGTTACTACTTCAGCAAACGTCTCATCACGTGTGGCTTGTAGTGAGGGACAAATTCCAGCACGCTGACGCCACAGTTGCTCTGCAGTAAGAGTCGAAAATACTCCGGACCCAGGCCTGGAAAAAGTGGGGGGTTGTGTGGATATAGGGAAGGATAAGGGGAGAGCGGAAAAGTCTTAAAGAGTATGAATATTTGCACAGTGAATGCACAATTATGAACATCAATGCGTAATTAGCAAGTTCTTGCACATTCACACACATTCATGCGCAGTCGTGAACATTCGGGCGCGATCATGCACATTTATCCACATTCAGGCATAGGCACATTCATGCACATAGGCACATTCATGCACATAGGCACATTCATGCACATAGGCACATTCATGCACATAGGCACATTCATGCACATAGGCACATTCATGCACATAGGCACATTCATGCACATAGGCACATTCATGCACATAGGCACATTCATGCACATAGGCACATTCATGCACATAGGCACATTCATGCACATAGGCACATTCATGCACATAGGCACATTCATGCACATAGGCACATTCATGCACATAGGCACATTCATGCACATAGGCACATTCATGCACATAGGCACATTCATGCACATAGGCACATTCATGCACATAGGCACATTCATGCACATTTATCCACATTTATCCACATTCAGGCACATTCATGCACCTCAAGACCGAGTTCTGAGGTGCAGTAAAAGTTTTAATTTAAAGCCCACCTGTGGCAGTGGCCACGAGAGCCTGGTTGACAGCATTGTGTGCCACCACCAGCACGGACCGCTGATACCCCATCCCCCATGTGCCCCCACGCACACTCACACGCACATACGCACACTCACATACACCCCCTCTACCTGTGGCAGTGGCTACAAGCGCCTGGTTCACAGCATTGTGCGCCACCACCAGCACGGAGCGCCCCTCGCTCCTCAGGATGGCCTGCCAGCACGCCGCTGCCCTCTCACACACGCACGCACCCACACGCCCACCCACCCACACACCCCACCTGTGGCAGTGGCCACTAGAGCCTGGTTGACGGCGTTGTGTGCCACCACCAGCACCGACCGCCCTTCGCTCCTCAGGATTTCCTGCCAGCACGCCGCTGCGCGCGCCCACAGCTCCCTCACGGGGTAGTGCCCGTCAATCTCGAAATTTGCTGCGTCCTTCTGCCACATGCGGTAGTTCTCACCGAACCGTGCTTTGCCCTCTTCTTTGAATAACCCCTGTGGCGGAGAACGGTTGATAGGGGTGGGGTGGGGTGGAGAACAGTAGCTTGGCTTGGTGGGTAGTGCCCGTCAATCTCAAAGTTAGCCGCGTCCTTCTGCCACATGCGGTAGTTCTCACCGAACCGTGCTTTGCCCTCTTCTTTGAACAGGCCCTGGGGCGGAGAACGGAGGGGGTGGGTGGGGTCGTGAACATTGCATAACCAGTGATCTCGAAGTTAGCCGACCTTTCTGCCACATGCGGTAGTTCTCGCCAAAGCGCGCTTTGCCCTCCTTGAACAGCCCCTGAGGTCGGAAACTTGATAGGGGTGGAGTGGGGTGTGCAGCGGGGTGGGGTAGGGTAGGGTAGGGTAGGGTGGGGTGGGGTGGGGTGGGTTGCGCAATGGGTGCGCAACACGACTGGATATTCCAACAAACAGCGATCGATATCCCCTTTAAGATTCTACCTGTAACGAGTACAGGACAGTCAGTCAGCCTTATCGAGCCCACCTGAAACGAGTACAGATCAATCTCCCTCAGATCGTGCAGCGGGATCATGGGTGCCGTGCGCGCCGCCCAAATAACCTCCGCTGTCCGCGCTGACCGCTGCAACGGGCTGCCCGAAAACAATAACAATGGGAATGGAGGCGGGGAGAGTAGAGGAACGGGGGAAGGAGGAGAAGACGATGCATGAGGCCATGAAGGGAAGCAGAGCAGATGGGGAATTATTGATGTGCGGAAGTGAATGTCAAGGCGAGAATGGGGCTAGTAACCCGCGAAATCAAACGAGCATGGGGCTAGTCACCTATGGAAGCACACATCGAACGAGTCTGCCGCTAGCATCTGCCGGCTCGTCTCCGCTTGGCTCTCGCCCTTCGCGGTCAGCACGGAAAAGTCCGAGCTGCCCTGAATTCTGCCCGTCGCATTCCACGTGCTCTCCCCGTGTCGAACCAGCACCACCCGCTTCGCCTCCTTAATCACGGGAAACTCGAACCCTCCCAGGTTCGGCGCGCTCTGCGGCGCCGAGCCTGCATCTTGAATCTCTGTCGCAGGCTCGGAAACCGTAGACGCCGTCGCACTCGCCGCTACATTGGCTCCGGAGCCTATCGTCCCCGAAGCTCCGGACGAGGCTCGGATAACTGCCTTACGTTGTAGGGTGGGAACCGAACCAGACAGCGGTTTTCTCGGGCCGGCGAAAAGCGTGGTTGTAGCCAAAGTCGCTCGACCAGCGGCGAAATTCGTGCGACTGAATGCGACGGGCGAGGTTGCTCGCGACGGGGTAAGCGGACGCGAGGTACCGAGGAGCGCGCCGCTCGAGTTTGATGGAACACCGGATACCGTAGTTGACGCTACAGGCAACGGGAGAATGGCGGCCTTCAGGCGCAGCAATGTCGCCATTAGAGAGAGGACTCTACAGCACCGAATATGTGTAATTGAAGCGACAAGCCGTGCAAAAGGCAGTTTGCGCGGGTGGTTTAGTTAGCCTCGGCTGCTGTGGAATTGTGGAAGAGTAGCACGCAGCGTAAAAGTAGGCATACGCGCTTCGGTACTGCTGCACCTAATCCTCTACCGTGTGTTAGGTGGCGCTTCTGGTTGGCCAATTGCTGCCATAATCAGGCAGAATTTTTTTTTGTGCTATAGCAGCTACACTATGTTGGAGAATCTTGTTCTTCAACCGTGTACGGTAGCTTTTTGTGCTCCATCAGTTATCCGGTTAATGAAAAAATACCATTCAAGTACCACACTGGAAGTGTGTCTATGTGCACCAGAAAAGCCTTGTCATACCAGCATACGCATGCCATAGCAGCATACATCTCAAAGCAGCACAAGAAGTGCTACATAAATCGGCAAACCCTGATTAGCGATGCACAACTTATAACCAGTCTATCCCATATTATACATGCAGTGCAGTCGCTTCTATCCAGATCCTGTAAATGTCAAATCGGCACACCATGGGCAAAACGGCTTCCAAAACTGCCCCCGCATCTCCCCGCTGGGCTTACTGCTTGACGTAAATACCGCATAATACTCCCAGGGTCTTTTCGTCATCGCGTTAATCGCGGTCTCCATGTCTTGTCCATTAGCAACTGTAATCGATGCTGCATTCGTGATAAACGTATGTATAATCACCTCGTCCTCGTCGCTGTCTATCAGCCACCAAGAGCCAGGGACCTCCATTACAAGCGGCCCCGTTTGCCCGTATTGTGCGTTACGAATCTCCACTTTCTGCACGTTGGGTAAGCATTTGCTGTTCACGTAGAATTTTACGTATGAGACATTCTCGGGAGTCCTGGAGGTGGGGAAACGGGGGAGGCAAAAAACAATATCCTTGAGAGTGTAGCAGGGTAGCGACAAAGCAAAACTGTTGTAAACTGTTTGAAGTGCAGACCGATAGAGAGGGGAAAAGAAGAGTGGCTGGGAGGTGGGGGGGAGGGGAGAGTGGGAGGGAGAACAAACAACGGGGAGGGATAAGGGGAATGGTTGGGGGATTAGGAAGGTTGAGAGATCTGGGGAATGCTGAACAGAATTTGTGTACTTACGTGTATTTGATAATTCGGACGTTTCCAGTGGGCGCGTAACACACGTCGTCATCATCATTATTATCCCTGCCTTCCCTGACGTCCCCATCCCGTTCACTATGATCCTGAATCTGGTACTGGCTCGCGCTCACTTTAGTCACGCTCGCGTCCGGTGCTATAAAGAGCGCCTCACTTGTCCCTCCCAGGGCCTTCTGAACCTTCGGCTGCCTGAAGAATGCGAGAATGGCTTTCAGCTTCCCTCTGGCAGCAGCGCTGGCTGTGTTGTTGCTGCTGAGCCATTGAATGCTGTTTCGAATGCTGCTGAGGCTGTATCCGATAATCCCGTTGCCTTGGAACGATCTAAAAAACTTAGAAGTTGTATATGTTGTTACTGTAGGTGTGCTGGATACTGTAGATCTTGAGGGGGGTCCTGAGGAATGCAGCAGAGGGCGCGAGCTGCTGGTCCGAAAGGAGGTGTAGGAGGAGGACGGGGAGGAAGGGGACGAGGGGGAGGAGGAGGAGGAGGAGGGGGAGGAGGGAGAGGAGGAGGAGGAGGAGGAGAGGGAGGAGGGGTGAAAGGAGGAGGAGGAGGAGGAGGAGGAGGAGGAGGAGGAGGAGGAGGAGGAGGAGGAGGAGGAGGAGGAGGAGGAGGAGGAGGAGGAGGAGGAGGAAGGACGGGAGGTGGCAACTGGAGCAAGCTGGTTAGTGGGGGAGGCGTATTTGGACAGGCTGTTGCTGAGAGCGAGGTTGTACCTGTTGGCCTGGGTGAAGAGAAGGGCTGGAGGGAAGCAAGAAACGGGACGTGGGAAATAGGAGAGGGTGTGAGTGAGTGATTGAGTGATTGGTAGTGAGGTGATGGAGGGAGCACGTGAGTGCGCGAGCGAGTGAGTGAAAGAGTGAGCAAAAACCACTCTTCGTTGAAAGGGAAGATGAGCAGAGAGCAGGGGGTCGGGACACATCTGGACAGGATGTTCCCGCAGGTCTGTGCGAGGCGTGAGGCAGTGCGAGAGTACTCACAGTCTATCTTCCCCACGGGAATCGAGCCGTTCAGAATGCCTTGTATGTAATCCACAAACGGATCGTAGGGGGCCGATTGAGCGCTCGTGAGCGTGGAGCACACAACGAGGAGAGGGAGGAGCAGCACGACGAGGAGGCGGCGGACTGTCGTGGGGTTACAAAAGGGGAGTGGGGGTGAGGAAGAGTTGGGAAGGGAAGGGGGAGGGGAGGGGAGGCGAGGGGAGTCAAAAGTGTGGGACACGGGAGGAAGAGAGGGAGGACGCGGGCTGTTGGAGTTCTGGGGAGCGGGGAAGGAAGAAGGGGGTATGGGCGGTGGGTTATGGGGTGGGGCTATTTAAAGGGGAGGTATGGGACGGTGGAAACATAGAAACGGTAAGGAAAAAGGCGCAACCCTAGACGGGTGTGGCAGCGTCTTTGATGGTAGCGACATGGCAGAATCGAGAGAGGGGAGGGGGGCGATGATGTAACGGAGATTGAGAAAGGGGGAGGTGAGAGAAGCTGGAGACAAAGAGCTGGGGAGAAAAGGATTTCGTTCCGTGGCTCATGGGAAGCGCCCTTGAGACAACTCGAGGAACGCTCCTTCGGGACTCAGACTCAGACGTCGCTCCTTCGGTTCATGGAACCTAAAGAGCCGCTTTATGAAAAGCCGCCCTTTGAGTCGACAGAGCGCCGCAGCATGTGGCTCACCTGAACGACCGGACAGCATCACGTGCGACTCGAGACTAGCGGCTCACGGCTTGCGGCTTGCTCAGGCTCGCGACTGGTATTCGAGTGTGACGATGAGAAGCTTGAAAGAGACTATGTGTTGCTATGGGCCGACGCGGCCCTTGCACGCAGGCGTGGCGTGTCACTACCTCGGCCTACTCACTAACCCGACCTGGTCGCACGTGGAGCGAGCCGCATCTCTCTAAGAATCATGTTCCTATCTGAGCGCTTTTTCAGTCTTAGTGCACGTAGCGCTTAGCTGGCTGTGGTGCATTCTTGATAGGTGGGACAGCATATCGCAATATTATCAGGCAAAATGAGGTCCGTATTTTCTTTCCAGAGCGATAGGGTGCGATGCTGATGATGCTTGCTGGTGCTGGTGCTGTGTGGGGGGCCGTGTGGGGTGTGAGGTAAGTGGCAAAACAGCGAATTGGCAAAACCAAACGTTACAGCCAATGTATGTTAACAGAACGGTTCCCCGAGTTTCCACTCGGTACCACTGCAAGTGTGGAGTTAGTCGGAGGTTGGAGAATGGGGAGTGATTTGGGCGAAAATGTTTGTGGCGGCCATCAGTGTGGTGCGGTTTGGCTTGTTGGCGGCTGGTTGGTTGTTGTGACGCTCAGCGCGGTTCGGCTCGCGCCGTGCTTGATTATTGGCAGCGGCTGCTGCATACTGCCCCTGCTGGCTCGGAGACCAGGTCTGGTTAGGCTATGGCTGCTGGTTCGTCCGTGCCCCGCAAAACGGAAATCTCGCCTGCTTCGGAAACGCGCCACGAAACGAAGGTGAGAGACATTACCGGACGATGCCTGCGGCGGCAGGAGACCCATATCTGCTTGGTAGGTTCGGCCAGGTGTAACTGCTGGCCTTTTGTGACGAAGCCCAGCGTCGCTGCTGCCCGAACGAAAGCAGTCAACAGCACCTGCGCTGGGCTTCCTTTCGAATCGCGCACGCGAACGTGAGGGGGTTCAGGTTCGTTCGGTTCGGAGGTTTTGGCGGTATCCGACAGGTTCACGACGGTTGGTTTGCACGAATTGAAAATGCTACAGAAATTGCCCTTCAGTTTGACATATTAAAAAATGGAGAACACATCTGATTACCACCCCTTACCTCAGCCACCCACCAGAAACTTTCCCTCTAAATTACAGCAATAGACATGCTGCCACTAAGATAGTGACGAAGACGGACAAGTGGGTCCAACATACAGTACATGCACAACCTTGGGTGAGCGATTTATTCACCCGAAAGCCCCTTCAACCAGCTTTCACACTCTAGGTTCCTGTAAATGTGAAGTTGGCACACCAAGGGCAAAAGGGCTTCCAGAACTGCCCCCTCATTGCCCCCTTTGGCTTGCTTTTCGTGGTAAAAATAACGTAGTAGTTCCACGGCGCCTGAGTCATGGATATAATCGCCTTCTCCAATACTGCCCATTCGATACAGTCACGCTGCTTGCATTGGCGATGAAGGTGTGCTTAACCAGCTCGATTTCATCCTCCTCCCAAAGCCGCCATGAACCCGGGATCTCCATTACAAGCTTCCCCGTTTTCCCGTAAGGAGCGTTGCGGATCTCCACCTTTCTCACATCAGCGAGGCACTCGCTCTTGGCTCGGAGGATCACATAGGAGACGTTCTCAGGGGAGCTGCACGATTGGGCGGTGGTGGTTGCAGATCAAAGGGTTGATAGGAGGAAAAGTTGGATGAGATGAGAAACAATGCCCTTGGTGCTAATCTCACTGTAGATTGCTAATCTCAATGTACCCTACATAAACTTCAGTGACCACATGGAATCAAGCTGACTTGTAAGCAAACATCATTAGATGCTCAGCAACATATGTATTTCTTCACGCGCACTCACGTGTATTTGATGATTCGCACTCGCCCAGTCGGCTCCACGCATGTATCCTCGTCATCGTCCTCGTGGTCGTCATCGTCACTCTCAATCCGGTACTGCCTCCCCCCTCGCGGAATCCCATCGGCTTCGCTCCCATCGTCACTTTGCACAGTAACAACCCCATAACTCTGCGCCACGTAACCCTTGGCAGAAACCTGATCGTTACTTTGACTCGCGCTCGGATTGCTCGGATCGCTCGGATTGCTCGGATTGCTCGGATCGCTCGGATTGCTCGGATCGCTCGGATTGCTCGGATTGCTCGGATTGCTCGGATTGCTCGGATCGCTCGGATTGCTCGGATTGCTCGGATCGCTCGGATTGCTCGGATTGCTCGGATTGCTCGGATCGCTCGGATTGCTCGTAGGAGGCACCGTAGCAGGCACGCCGCTCTGGGCGGCTGCTAGCTGCGTGATTCCCTCCGCTTCCAGCAAGACCTTTGCGCCGGGCGAAACGAAGAACGCGGCGCGCATGGAGCCCAGCGCCTTCGCGAGGCTCGGCTGTCGGAGCAGCTTGAGGATCGAGTTCAGCTTCGCGAGATTCGATTTGATCACGGTCGCGTTGGTGCTGAGCCATTGCACGCTCTGTTGAAGGAGTTTGAGAGGGGGCGCGTTGGACTTGGACGCAGAGCGAATGAGGGAGAGGATGAAGCGTAAGAAAGGGCCTAGATTGCTCCCGCTGCCGCCGCCACTGCCCCCGCCACTCCCCCCGCCACTACCCCCGCCAGTGCCGCCGCCGGTGCCGCCAGTGCCGCCCGGATCTCCACCAGTGCCCGTGGTGCTAGAGACGGAGGCGCTCCGGAAAGCGGATGAGGAGGAGGCGGAATTAGCGCCGGCTTTGTTGCTGAGGTACAGGTTGTACTGATTGGCCTGCGTGAACAAGATGGCTGCAGGGCGGAAGGGGGAAAGAAAGCGAGAAAATACGGTGGGTTGAACAGGATGAAAAAAAGGGGGATGTGCGATGGACGAGGGAAACGGGAAGGAGGGAGGAAGAAGAGGGGGGGAAAGGGGGAGGCTCGGGAGGAAGGGGAAGATTTCGAAATAATAACAATAATAAACGCCTTTTTGAAAATGGAAAAGGGCAAATTGTGAACAAGAAAATTCAAAGAAGAAAAAAAAGTATCTGGATGGATTACGCCACCTTGCGGGTTCCAGTTTGCGCTTACAGTCAACCTTGCCGAGGGGCGTGGACCCGTTAAGAACGCTCTCGATTTGGTCAAGAAATGAGTCGTACGTCGTCTGCGTGTGTGAATGCGCGGCCAGCGACAAGAGAAGGACGGCCAGGAGGACCGGCCGAGCTAAGCGTGACGATGCCATGGTCGAGCGTCGGAAGGAGTTGGTATGGCTGGGAAAAAAAAAACTCAATCGTATGGTAGTATTGGGTTGGACACGGCGCGGTACGGGGGATTGGTGCGACGCCGAAATAGGACACTTTTGGAAATTACCAACGACCAAGTAAAAAAGCACGTCTTTGGGAAAGGAGGGACGCGAGAGATTCAAGAAGCAACTACATTAGAGAGTTAAACCGTAAAACCTCATCATCGTACTAAAGCTCATCTGTTTCAAATTAGTACTGTCGCACCAGTCATGCGCCACGTGAACAGTTTGCGCTGACGCGGTGTGGGATAGACTGCTGATTCGAAGTGAAAATGGGTTGTTTCAGGCCAATGTTCAGGTTGATGAAGAGCAGAGGGAGGGAGGGACGAGGGGTGGTGTGGTGGTGGGGTGGTGGGGTGGTGGGGTGGTGGGGGGACGAGACGAGAGGGACGAAGGAAAGAAAGGTCGGTTCGGTACGCCAGCCACACAATAAACAGTTCATGAAAGGGGCTGGCAGAAGCATGCAAGTCGGTCGGACCTCGGGGAGTGGGATTGCAGCGAGCGGAGGGGCGGCATGTGACTGTAACGCTTCGCATTTGCGCGACACGGTCACGTGAGTGGCTCTCGCTCACCCCCGCAGCCTCGTTTGGGTAAAGGAACAAGCCACAGCCCTTCGATTGCTAATGCAACTGCCATCCACAGCGACAGATGCAAGCAATGCAATGCAAGCGTCGGCTGAATGTGATCATGTGATTGGGTCAATATTTGCTCCAAGGCCCTCGATTTGGCCAAGCCCCGATAGGTTGGTTTTCCATTTCGACGGTGAGTAGCGGTGCAGAGCGTTAAAATTGCAAATATGCAAGTTTTTTTCCCTGTGGAGGGGGAAGGGGACTTCGGGGGGTGCTGGTCGGGGGGACGGTAGTTTGGGGCTCGGTTCGGAGTGGAGGCTTTCTTCTGAGGGGTGCGGCGGCACGCACCTGAATCTTTTGGCCCTTGATGTGGATACCGTCGATTGAATAACGAGCCCTCCCTCGTTCGACAGGGGCGGCGTGAACGAATGTGGAAGCATTTCGACTCGAGCTGAGCTGAACATTCGAGATTATCCCCCCTCTTCGCTAGAAAACGAATCAAGCTGCGCATTCTTGATCCCGAGGCGGAAGGCGGCGGAACGACTCAATTACTTCACAAATGTGGTAGTCCGTGGTGGAGTGTGGTAAACGTACACAATCACATAAGAAACGAACATACCGCTTTAAGCACAGAACATACCTCTTATTTCAAGAGATTGCACATCTCACACATACTTATTGATGAATAACCTAGACACCATCAATGTCAGATCTGCACAACCGGGAAGTGTGAACAAATGCCCCAAATCTTCACAGCCCTAACAGTAGCCACCAAGACAGTGGCCACTTATCCCTACAAACTACAGTACAGTGATATGTGAACGTTATTTAACATAACACAACAAGCCAGGCCTTCAGAGAGACTGATCTCCATTCGTTGAACAGTACACATGGTTTCTCCTTGTCTTGGCTTGGACCCTATGTTCCGGTGAACGTGAAGTTCGCACACCAAGGGCAAAAAGGCTTCCACAGTTGCCCCCTTATCGCCCCATTCTTCTTGGCTCCTGTGGTAAAGATAGCGTAGTAGTTCCATGGTGCCTGGGTAATGCTTATAACCGCCTTCTGCAAAGTCTGCCCGTTCGCAACGATAACGCTGCTTGCATTAGCGATTAAGGTGTGCTTAACCAGCTCAGTCTGAATGGGATCCACAAGCCGCCACGAACCAGGCATCTCCAATACAAGCTTCCCCGTTTTTCCATAAACAGCATTGCGGATCTGCACCTTTCGCACATCGGGCAAGCACTTGCTTATGGCGCGGAGGAGCACGTAAGAGATATTTTGGGGGGAGCTGCACGGATGGTGGGTTTAACAGATGGGCATGTAAGGTGGAGAAATCAAAGATCCGGAAAAAAATGAACACTGGAAAAAAATATGGAATGTAAAACGCACTTATCCTATCACCCATGCATCTAATGGCACACCCAGTTGGATATACCTTTTTGCGCACTCACGTGCATTTGATAATTCGCACTCTCCCAGTCGGCTCAACGCAAATGGGCTCGTCGTCGTCCTCCTCCTCGTCATCGTCACATTCGATTCGATACTGTCGCCCGCCATGTCTCTCCTCGTCATCGTCCAGCACCCCAACCGTGCCCGAATCCATCGTGTAACTTTGACCATAACTCATCGCATAGCTCTGCCCGTAACTCTGCCCAGAAACTTGTGCTGGTGTTGGTACAGTACTTGGAACAGAATCTTGGGCAGCCGTAAGGTTTGTAACTCCCGCCGCTTCCAGCGTGACATTCGCATCCGAAGGTATGAAAAAAGCGGATTGTTTTTTCCCCAGAGCCTTATCGAGACTGGGCTGCCCCAGCAGCTTCAGTAATGTGTTTAACTTAGCACGGTTGGATTTGCTGCCTGCCGCGCTGCTGCTCAGCCATTGCACGCCGGTCTGGTAGACGGACAGCGGCGGACCGCGTTGGGGAAACCCCGATGTTGTCGCGCTGGTGGTGGTGCGGACGCCGAAGAAATAACCAAAGAAACGCGATATCAAGCCGACGCTGCTGCCGCCACTGCCGCCGGTATTGTCGCCGATACTGCCGCTGCTACTGTCGACGCCAGGGTCCGGCGCGGACGAGCTGCGGATCGAGTTACTGCGGAAGCCAGATCTTGGGGAGACGGATTTGGTGCCGGCTTTATTGCTGGTAGCCAAGTTGTACTGATTGGCCTGCGTGAACAGCATGGCTGCAGAGCGGAAAGTGTGGGTAAGGAAGAGCAGGGGAAGGAAGAGAGAGAGGGGGGGGAGGAGCGGGGGTGTGGGGGGGTTGTGAGAGGGGGGGGGGGGTGGGGGGAGAGGGAGGGAAGGGTCGTAAGGAATGAAGCGGGAGCGATGAAGCGGAGAGCACAAGCGGATACATCGTACAGGAGCAGGTCGTTGAAGACACACAGAAAGTCGACGGGCCAAGAAGTAAACAAACATCATGTGGAAATGGTGGATTGCGTCATCGGATTCCAGCACGTACAGTCAATCTTGCCGAGGGGCTTGGACCCGTTAAGAACGCTCTCGATATTGTCCAGAAACTCGTCGTAAGTAGTCTGCGTGGAATGCGCGGCCAGCGACAAGAGGAGGACGGCCAGAATGACCGGCCGAGCTGACACGTGGCACATTGGGTCGATGGAAAGCGAGGGAGGGGGAGGAATTATGTCAGGACAAAAGAAAAAAAGGAGGATTTTCAGAGAAGAAACGGATGCGACGTGGCGTGCGAGCAGCATGGCGTGGCCTGAAACAGTATATCGCACTTCGAGCGACGGTATGAACGCTCACCCGGCCGTGGAAACTCCATCAGCGGAGGAGATGCCAAGTCAAATATAACTCAAAGCAGGTGGTTTCCGATAATCTAGCCTGACAAACGGAATCAATGGATTCTAAAACACAGACAGTAGCTCAGAGCGACATATGACGGAAAAGGAAACCTAATTAGCTCGAACGCTACTCCATGTAGGCATATCTTCTAGTCTGGCTCACATGCAGATCTTTGGGACACTAATTTTGAGCCCTAACAACTGTTCACTCGCATTCAGCCGCCAACCCAGAGGAAAACAGGGTAAAGCAAAGCTGCTGCCGTGGTTGCTGCTGCTCGGTTTGGTCTGTTGTAGTTCGGTCTGGAGTCTAAACCCTGGGGTCCGATGAAATATTGGCAGGGCTTCCGTCCGGGAATGTGCGATTTGGTCCAGCAGAAGGTGGCAGTGCCTTGCCCAGGTGAACCCCCAAATCTGCTGCTGGCTGGAGGCTCGGTTGGGGGCTGGGTGACTGGTTGTTCTTGCTCCTTTCCTTCAACACTGCACCCTGGTCTGGTCTGGTGAGGCGATGTGGGGTTGTTGTTGTGTGACGTGGCGCTTGGCGGCTGCTCCGCCAGGGAGGAAATCTGGGCCGCGCAAACGGGTGTGGTGGGGGCTGGCGGGGAATGGGATGCAAAATGAAACACCGAGATGCGCGTTACCGCAGGATGCAAACCGGTTCAAGGAAGTTTGTGCAGGTTATGGACCAGACGGGAAGCGGGGGGCATGGGGCGGGGAAACGGGGCGGTAGGGAGAGCAGGGAGAGGAGACGGGACAGGTGAAAGGAAAGACCAGTCGATGTGGGGCACCAGCAGATTTTGCTTTCGAGGTCGAGGTTGTCGAAGCGCACAAGGGACATGTCTAGGGCAGTGTGCTGTAACTGCCCTTTCAGGAAAGCATTCATGTGGGTCCCTGCCTGATTCATATCAAGCTGCTCGATTCTTGGCTTGTAGCGGGGTTTCATCGACGCGCTGTACAGTATTTCAACGCCCTCCCTTGCCGAACCACAGGGCGCTGGGCAAGCGTTGTAGAACCCAACTCCGAACCTGACGTTTCTTTACACACACAGCTTGTTCCACTCATCCTGGCCGTTCGAGGGATGACGAACGGCCACGATATTGAAGAAAAACCTAGAAGTGACACAGCCGTAAGTACAGTGGTCGGTGGCACACTCGCTGATGACGACAAAATTCAGACATTTGTCCGTCCCAGACATACTCTTCGAATACCCGCTATTGAAGAATTGAAGTAACAAGAAAGGTGCACAGCTGTAATTTGAACTTATTTGCAAAAGCTGGTAACATCAGTTTACAATAACAAAATTCTACACAATTTCATGTACCATGCTCAAAACCATGTTTCTTAACCATCAATTTACTACAATTTCGTAAGTGGAATTTGTTTTGTAATATTACATTTCAGTTCCTTACTAGCATTGCCATTGTTATTATTCCAGACATGTACACTCACAGCTTGTTCCTCTTTGAAAAATCGTTGCTGGTTTTTCGAATTCACATACTGGCATAATAGTTCCCACCAAACAGAAATAGGATTATATATTAATCAGAGTGATCAGGGTGTAGGTGCCTGTGTACAAATATCATTTATGCTTTCCTGAGGAAAATAAAGCCACATCGTGAATTAGTCCTAGGAACTCCGCAGTGGTAGCAGGGAATTTAGGTGCATTCGATTGTAATCATATGCCCACTGCCAGTTTCTCCCTGACTGGAACAATGGCGGTCAACGCGGCTCGACTGGCGCCAGTCAATGTCCCGTCCGAGTCGCACAACAGCAATAGAATCAGTAGCTTCGGCAAGAGTCAAGTGCGGTCGTCAGGAATCACGATGGTGCCGACGGCGGCGGTTCACCAGCACGCAAGATTAAGACAAGAATCTCACTTACCACTACGAAAATCAAGACGTTTTATAACGAGAGCGAGCAGAGAGGATGGCATGGATGCCCCAGAGGACGCGAACCTGGCGGACACGGAATCGAACGGCCAAGATTGTCTAAGAATTACCCGTTCTTCCTCAGAAGCGAATCCCCAGTCTGAACGTGAAGGGCTCGTATCGGAATCCGGTTCAGACGCTGTCGCAAATGCGAGTGATTATATCGGGGGACGGAGGAAGTTGCTACTACTCGGAGCCGCCACTGGCTTGTGGGGCCTAACCCCGTTCCTCCTGCCGAATTCAGCCTCTCGTTACAGTCACGCCCGGGCATTTGAACTTCTTGGATTCGGAACCGAAGCGTCCAGCTCCGCCTCTGCTTCTGCCTCAGGATCCATGTCACTTTCCATGTCATTTTCCACGTCAGCATCCGCATCCGCATCCACGTCAGCATCCACGTCAGCAGCCACGTCAGCATCCACGGCAGCATTTGCAGGAAATTCGGGAGGGCCTGTTACACCAGCGAGGATCGACCTAGCGGCTGCTCCCAGAGGCACGTTTGACCCTACTGATGAGAAGCTTCGCGCTGCTGCCACCACCTTCGAACGCGCCCTCACTGCTTCCACTGTACGTTTTTGTGACTCTATGTGGCCTGTGACTATATCTGGACCTCCTGTGTCTAAATCTGGACCACTTGTGACTGTAGGTTGAACGCGCCCTCACCGCTTCCACTGTGCATTGCTGTGACTATATGTGTGTCACCTCCGTACCTTTGACTATCCACGGTCTGGATTGTACATGCTGGCAGGTGGAGGAGGAGGAGGCACTATGGACGGTGGTGATTGAATCGTGCGAGCGGGCAGGCAATGCTGAATGGGTGCCTGACATTGCATCAAGGGCGCTGGGCAACCGAGGCAATGCGCGGTCCAGACAGGGCAGACTGGTGGAGGCTCTTGGGGACTACAACGCTGCCATCGCCTACGCTCCGTACGTGCTGTTACGGCCACCTTCCTCGCTGGTAACTCTAGAGTTGATTACACAATGCGCGGTCCAGACAGGTCAGACTGGTGGAGGCTCTATCTGACTACAACGCTGCCATCGCCTACGCTCCGTACGTGCTGTTACGGCCACCTTCCTCGCTGGTAACTCTAGAGTTGATTACACAATGCGCGGTCCAGACAGGTCAGACTGGTGGAGGCTCTATCTGACTACAATGCTGCCATCGCCTACGCTCCGTACGTGCTGTTACTGCCGCCTTCCTCGCTCCGTACGTGGTACCTCTAGAATTTAATACACAATGCGCGGTCAAGGCAGGGCAGACTGGTGGAGGCTTTAGATGACTACAACGCTGCCATCGCCTTTGCTCCGTATGTGGGTGGTAACTCTAGAATTGATTACACTGTGCGCGGTCCAGGCAGGGCCGACTGGTGGAGGATCTAGGGGACTACAACGCTGCCATCGCCTACGCTTCGTACGTGTTCCGTGCTGCTCTGTGTGGTGCTGTGTTGGCTCTGTTACATTGCTTTGTGAATTGTGCGAGCGGGCAGCCAGCGCCGAGTGGGTGCGTTTTGAGGCGACTCAAAAGTCACTCTGCACCCAAAAGGCAGGCACTGCCGAGTGGGTGCTGTTTGAGGCGGCTCAAAAGTCACTCTGCACCCAAAAGGCAGGCACTGCCGAATGGGCGCCGGACAGTGCATCCAGGGCGCTGCTGGGCATCCGAGGCAATGCACGGTCCAGACAGGGTTGGTGCTGGTGGAGGCTCTAGGCGAGTGCAACGCTGCCATTTGCCGGCCATCAGCTATGCAGTCGAGTCGTCGACCCAGTCCTCAACTGAGGCTTGGCTTTATCAACATACTTTCTCTTCCCTCCCGTCCTCTTGTTGCTCCTTTCTCCCTCCTCTCACCCTTCCCCTCACCCCGTCATCAGCTATGCAGTCGACCTGGTCCTCAACCGAGGCATGGCCGTATTAGCACCCTTTCTCTCCTCGTCTCACTCCTTCCGTCGACTGCCCACCCTTCCCCTCCTCCACTCCACACACCCCTCCCCCGCTCACCCCTCACATCAGCTATGCGGTCGACCTGGTCCTCAACCGAGGCATGGCCGTATTATCACCCTGTCTCTCCTCGTCTCACCCCTTCCCCACCCTTCCCCTCCTCCACTCCACACTCCCCTCCCTCGCTCACCCCTCACATCAGCTATGCAGTCGACCCGGTTCTCAACCGAGGCGTGGCCCTGGAGTCGCTGGGACGCTTCCAGGAAGCTGCGGCGGACTACTCTGCAGTGCTGGCAGTGGCGCCCAACGACCCTGCAGCGTGGAACAACCTCGGGAATGCACAGGTGGGCGATGATGGTGTATGGTAAGTGTCTCACTGTGGCGCCTAATGACCCTGCAGCGTGGAACAACCTCGGCAACGCAAATGTAAGTTGGGTCAACGGAGTCAACAGGGGTCAATGAGGTCAACGGGGTCAACGCGGTATGTGCATGGCAGTGCTGGCAGTGGCGCCAAACGACCCTGCTGCTTGGAACAACATCGGGAACGCACAGGTTGGATAAGGTCAATGGGGTCAACGGGGCCAACAGGGTAGGTAGACGAGGCACATGTATGGCAGTGCTGGCAGTGGCTCCAAATGACCCTGCAGCTAGGAACAACCTCGGGAACGCACAGGTGGGGGTGCTGCTGTGGTGTGGTGGGCACGGTGGGTGGGGAGGAATGCGCGGGTGAGCTGGTCATGTATGGTGGAGGACTGGCAGTGGCGCCAAACGACCCTGCAGCGTGGAACAACCTCGGCAATTCACAGGTGGGGGAAAATGGGATCAACGGGTCAACGGGGTCAACGGGGTCAACGGGGCACATGCGTCGCAGTGCTGGCAGTGGCGCCGAATGACCCTTCAGCTTGGAACAACCTCGGCAACGCACAGGTGGGGGATGCGGGTGTGGTTTGCATGGTGGGGAATGTCAGTGCTGACAGTGGCGCCAAACGACCCTGCAGCGTGGAACAACCTCGGCAATGCACAGGTGAGGGATGATGGTGTGGAGTGGAGTGCATGCGCAGGGTGATTGGAGTCAATGGGGTCAATGGGGTCAACGGGATGCACGTTGCACATGCATGTCAGTGCTGGCAGTGATGCCCAACGACCCTGCGGCATGGAACAACCTCGGCAACACGTGACTCTGAGATGGTGGGGTCAATGGGGTCAACTGGGTCAGTGGGGTCAGCGTGGTCAATGGGGTCAGCGTGGTCAATGGGGTCAATGGGAAGTCAATGGGGTCAATTGGGTGGTCAACTCCAACCAGTTCCTTTCCACCTCCTTCACCCCCCCCGTTTCCTCCACATGCTGCTGCCAAGCAGGCGGGTGTGGCGCGTGGGGGGATGCAGTGGAGAGCTACAGGCGGGCAAGCATGCTGGCCCCGGCCTTCTCCTTTGCTGCTGCCAACTATGCTCTCGTGAGTCTGGACTCGAGGTTTCCAAGTGATTTTCTTGCTTCTGCTAAATCTATATTGGATCAATCAACACACCTATACCCCCCATCGATTTCGTCTTTTGCAAACCTCCCCCCTACCCACCCCCCTTCCCCCTTTCTTCTTCCCCCTCCTTTTCCATTCGTCCTCACCCCTATTCCAATTCCCTATGCCCCTCACTACTCAATTCTCACCACACACTCCTTCTCCTCACCATCCCTCGCCCCCCACCCCTTACCCGTCGCCAAGCACTGTATGAGGTGCGAATCATATGCACTGCAGCTATTGTGTTCACTCCTCGACCCCGCTCACCTCCAACCCCTCACCCACCAACCTCCACCACTTGCCCCTGCCCCCTCGCCCCTGCCCCCTCGCCCCTGCCTCCTCGCCCCTGCCCCCTCGCCCCTGCCCCCTCGCCCCTGCCCCCTCTGCCCTGCCCCCTCGCCCCTGCCCCCTCTGCCCTGCCCCCTCGCCCCTGCCCCCTCTGCCCTGCCCCCTCGCCCCTGCCCCCTCGCCCCTGCCCCCTCGCCCCTGCCCCCTCGCCCCTGCCCCCTCGCCCCTGCCCCCTCGCCCCTGCCCCCTCTGCCCTGCCCCCTCGCCCCTGCCCCCTCTGCCCTGCCCCCTCGCCCCTGCCCCCTCGCCCCTGCCCCCTCTGCCCTGCCCCCTCGCCCCTGCCCCCTCGCCCCTGCCCCCTCTGCCCTGCCCCCTCGCCCCTGCCCCCTCTGCCCTGCCCCCTCGCCCCTGCCCCCTCTGCCCTGCCCCCTCGCCCCTGCCCCCTCTGCCCTGCCCCCTCGCCCCTGCCCCCTCTGCCCTGCCCCCTCGCCCCTGCCCCCTCTGCCCTGCCCCCTCGCCCCTGCCCCCTCTGCCCTGCCCCCTCGCCCCTGCCCCCTCGCCCCTGCCCCTCGCCCCTGCCCCCTCGCCCCTGCCCCCTCGCCCCTGCCCCCTCGCCCCTGCCCCCTCGCCCCTGCCCCCTCGCCCCTGCCCCCTCGCCCCTGCCCCCTCGCCCCTGCCCCCTCTGCCCTGCCCCCTCGCCCCTGCCCCCTCTGCCCTGCCCCCTCGCCCCTGCCCCCTCGCCCCTGCCCCCTCGCCCCTGCCCCCTCGCCCCTGCCCCCTCGCCCCTGCCCCCTCGCCCCTGCCCCCTCGCCCCTGCCCCCTCGCCCCTGCCCCCTCGCCCCTGCCTCCTCGTCAGGCACTGTACGAGGTGGGAAACGACAACGCTGCCATCAAGCAGATGAGGAACCTTCTCCGAAAGTACCCTGAGGTGCGTGATGGCGCTGCCGAATAATGGAGACGTGTGTATGTACGCATGATGCATGGGGTGAGTGACGGAGAGGAATGATACTAATGTGTGTGACGTATGCATGATGCATGAGGTGAGTGACGGAGAGGAATGATACTAATGTGTGTGACGTATGCATGATGCATGAGGTGAGGTGAGTGGCGTTGCTATCTGAGCACTGCTGCTATGGATCACTTTGAATAACCGTAAGCTATCTACCCCGTTCGCTCCTCTTTACTCCCGCTCCCCTGCACTTCTGCAGTTCCCCGCCCGGCATGCGAGCAGCGCTGGCAGTGGCACTCTATGCAGCTGGGCTGAAAGCCAAAGCGCCTGAGGCATGAGGCTGCAGTGGGGCTGAGAGTTGATGCTGAGACTGCCTGGATTAGAGTGGACACTCACTTACTTCCATCCCTCTTCTCCTCGCGTCCCCTGTCCCCTGCACACCTGCAGTTCCCAGACATGCGAGCAGCACTAGCAGTGGCACTCTATGCAGCGGGACTGCGAGCCGAAGCTGAGAACGCCTGGAGCAGAGTGGACGTGAGCTCTCTTCGTTTCTCTTCTCTACTCTCCCTCCGCCCTTCCTCCCGTCCTCTCCCTCTCTCCCCTGTTTTTGCTCCCCTTATGTTTTTTTTTTTTTTTTTTTTTTTTTTTGTTCTCCGTCGCTTTCCTCTGCCTTACATAAGTTTCCAGCAACTACGGACCTTGTTAACACTCCCTTGTTCTTTACCCCCTCCTGTTTACCTCACCTCCCTCCTCTACTTGCCTCTTCATTACCTCACTCCCCTCCCCTTCACTTCACTTCTCTCTTCTTCACCTCCCTTCCCTCTTCATTAAACCAAGATAAGCTTTATCATGGTTACGCATGGGTTAGAGATAATTGCCTGCCGTTCCTGCCTATGTTCAAAGCCTTTTACCCCGTCTGCTTCCCCCACTCCCTCCTTCCTTTTCTCCTCCCACCCATCCTCCCACCAGGACGGGCGCTATCGCGATCGTGAGTGGGTGAGCGAGTATCGCCGCTGGCCCCCTCGCCTCGTTACAGAGCTAGCTGCCTTTCTTGACCTCAAACCCGTGTAGCTCCATGGCGAGCATAATTGCCTCAACGAGGCCTTATATCGTATTTAATTCTTTGAGCCGCTGACCCCTCAGCAGCCTTTCTTGACCTCAAATCAAACCAGTGTAGCATGCAGCTGGATCAATCGCCTCAATGGGGCATTTGATTTATTTAATCGTTCTGCCGCTGGCCCCCTTGCCTCAATTCAGAGATACCATAGCGACCTCTGTTAACGCATCAACCTCATGTACATTGCAGCTAGATTGGTTGCCTTAATGAGACAGTTTAAAACCGAAATGCAAAATAGTGAACCCGTCTCCAGCTAGAAAGAGAGCCTGTCGAGCGAAACAATTTTCAAAACCAAACCGACAAGTTTGCACTGTTTCATTGAGAGGGTTTGAACAGATCGAACAAATCTGATTGGTTCCCGCCAAAAGGAACACAGCACGTCAGGCGTCGCATCTCTGTTTGGGGAGCCGCAGAGCAGAAGCACTGCGATCGTTTTGTCACGTCCCTGCGATTTTTTGCCCAGCTTGTGGTTCAAGTTGGGCATGTCTTCCGTTCAGTTTTTCGTGCTTCTTAGTTTTTAGTTGCTTGTCTAGCCATATAGCCCCAACTTAGGCTGTTGTTACCGCAACTTAGGCGCGTAGTGATTATATGTCATGATTGCGCAGTAATTGTGCCGTTTAGATTACCCTCTCGCCGCCTTCCTATCCCGCCTCACTCGTCCTCCCGACTCACTCGTCCTCGCGCCGTCCGTCCCGACGCCGTCCCGTCGCCCGAATTGTCGCCTCCATCGACGTCGCCCTCGCTATCTCCCGTCGCGGCCCTCCCCTCAGTTCGCGTCGCCACGCTATCTCTCCCCTCCCCTCCCATCGCCCTTCCTCTCCCGTCGCCTTTCCTCTCCCGATGCCCTTCCTCCGTCGCTTTCCTCTCCCTTCGCCTTTCCTCTCCCGTTGCCCTTCCTCTCCCGTCGCTTTCCTCTCCTGCTGCCCTTCCTTCTCTCCCGCCGCCCTTCCTTCTCTCCCGTTGCCCTTCCTCTCCCGTCGCTTTCCTCTCCCGCCGCCCTTCTTTCTCTCCCGCCGCCCTTCCTTCTCTCCCGTCGCCCTTCGCTCCCGTCGCCTTTCTCTCCCGTTGCCCTTCCTACTCTCCCGTCGCCCTTCCTACTCTTCCGTCGCCCTTCCTACTCTCCCGTCGCCTTCCTCTCCCGTCGCCCTTCCTACTCTCCCGTCGCCCTTCCTCTCTCCTGTCGCCTATTCTCTCTCCCGCCGCCCTTCCTTCTTCCCGTCGCCCTTCCTCTCTCCCGTCGCCCTTTCTTTCTCCCGTCTCCTATCCTCTCTCCCGTCACCCGTCTTCTCTCCCGTCGCCCCTCCCCTCCCGTCTTCCTCTCTTCCGTCGCCCTTCATCTCTCCCGCCCCATCACCCACCTCGGCGTCTTCGCGCTCGCCCCGAAATGCCTGCCCGTCGCCCCGTCGCCCCGTGATCGTCGGCCCCTCTCGCTTTTCCCTCGCAGCGTTACTCTCCCCGTCACATATGCCCTCGCTTTTTTCGTCGCTCCTCGCGGCACCCTCATCGCCGCCTTCCCATCACCCTCGTTGCCCTCACTCTCCCCCCATCACCCTTTCTCTCTCCCCTCACATCACCCTCCTTGTCGCCGTCGCCCTCGCCTCAAATCGCCCTTCCTCTCTCCCTTCGCATCACCCACGTCGTAGCCCTGTCGCCCCCCAAATCGTCCCGTCTCCCTTTCGTTCTCCCTCTCGTTCTTCCCGTCGCCCTAGATGCAGCCGTCGCAATTTCCTCTCCCACCCACCATCACCCACCCCATCGCCTTCCCGCTCGCCACAAAACGCCATCCCGTCGTTCCTCCTCTCTACCCTCCCATCCCGTCTTTCTTCCTCTCTCCCCTCCCATCCCGTTGTTCCTCCTCTCTTCCTTCCTATCCCGTCGTTCTTCCTGTCTCCCCTCCCATCCCGTCGTTCCCCCTCTCTCCCCTTCTCTCCCGTCGGCCCCCTTGTCCCCAGTCCCTTCTCTTCGCCGTCGACCAATCAACCGTCCCGACACCATTCCTCTTTTCGTACATCATTCATTTCTTTATTTCTATCTTCTTCGCCTGATTTCACCTGTGTGTGCCATGGATTTTGCTTGATCATGCCAGTGTTTGCGCAGGATTTTGCTAGTTTTTGCCTGTGTGCGCGCTGGATTTTGCCTGTGTGTTCGCTGTTTTTTGCACATAGGAATTCTTGTGAAGTTAGGACGGCTGCTTTGTTGAATGTGGGATTGCAGCCTTGCGCCAAATTCGTACAGGAATCTGGGTGAAAATCGCCACCAATCAGATTTGTAAACAAGTACATCATGTTTTCCGTTCAGATCAAGACTCGTCTGGGATGAAAAAACGTAGAAACGCACAGGCCGTCAACTTTTCAAACGTTCGTAACAAACTTGTGTTTTCAAGTGGACCCAACTAGAAGGGGGGGGTCACTATTTTAGCTGCTGGCTTTAAGTTCTCTCGCAATTGTGGAGTGTGTTTTTATCTCTAAGTGTTCAAACGTTTCTTTGTATGTGAGCTAAGCTACCGTAAGCCAACATGCAGTACAAACAGTAAGAAACAATGTTCTACTGCAAATGAGGCATTGTTACAGCCTTTATTACTGTACATACCGGTACTACCAGACTAATCACCCCCCCATTCCAGCGTCTAGTGCAACGGTTGCCCCTGCATTGTCCCCAGAGTAGCTACTACCAGTGTTGTTGTGGCCACTGCCGTTACTGTTGCTGTCACTGTATATGCTGGCATTCATGTAGCCGTTGTTACCAGAAATGGTAACATTACTGTAGCTGTTGTTACCAGAAATGGTAACATTACTGTAGCTGTTGCCACTGTTGTCGATGCTGCCATTAAAATACCCATTGCGGCTATTATCGATGCTGACATTACTGTACCTGTTGCCGTTATTGTATGCGCTTTCGTTGATATACCTGTTGCCGTTATTATCGATGCTGACATTATTGTAACGGTTACCACCTCCCCCGTCTCCACCACAGTCACCACCACACGACACTGAACAGTTCCCCGTTTCACAGCCACTCACATCATCAACAACAGCGCCCACACCACCAACCAACCCATGCTTCTTCACCTCTCCCACAATCTCTTTCACCTCCCCAATTTTCCCATGCTTCTCTCCTCCACCACTCCCCTCACCTTGCTGACCCTGGTAAAGTCTCTTCGCATCACCATGCTTCCCACCACTCATCCTCTCCTCTGATTGGCTACCGCCGCCTCCGCCGCTCCCCATACTGCCACCTTCCATACCAGCAGCACCCTGTGCGCTCCTCTGTGACTGCGGCTCGTTCTGACTCACTGTACCATTGTCCTTCGCCGTTGCTTTGGTGATTGCAATCTGGGTCTGCCTGGTGATTGTCCCGCTGTTGTTTAGCTCCCGGATTCCCGAGATTTCCACTGGGCCTTGAAACACGTACGACCGTATGTTGATGCTGCTGGGGAATGGCTTGTGTGACAGTAACGAAGGGTTCCATAGCGAAGAGTCGCTGTAGTGCTCCTTTGATTTCTTGCTCTTGTGCGATTTCCCACACTTAAACCTTTTTTTACAGTCGCTGCCCCCTTTCCCTCTTGAGCCGCTTCCCTTCTTCCCTCCGCAATGGCTCCCTTGCTGCAGCTTGCGCACTGTAGACCACACGAGGGGAAGACGTGAAGCGGGAGGAGTGTGGAAAGAGGGACGTGAGGATGACTTTTGAGGCGCCTAAAAAATAGTCATGTCTATCAGGCTTCATGACCTGAGCCTCAGGGAGACAGGGTTCATGAACAGGATTTTCTATTCAAGAGAGTCTGCTTAGATGCATGGGATGGTAAAACTCCAAATAGCTGCATCAGAGAAATAATTCAATTTTATTTCCTCACCTAGCTTGTCCACATCTTCCAGAAGCTTCTGCCGGAGCTGCTTCAATCCACGAATCACAGCGCGTTTCACCTGATCCTGCATCCACGCCTCCATGCCCCTCCGCGTCTCCTCATCCACCGCTGCCACCACCGCTACCTTCCGCCGCTTGCCCATGCTGACGTGGACTGGGCTGCTGCTTACGTGGACTGGGCTGCTGCCAGCGTGGACCTCAGGCGGGTCGCCCAAGAGCTCGTGGTCCTGAGCAAGCTCTCTGTGCTCACTTGCAGCACCCAGTGCTGCGCTGCTTGCGACACGATGCTGTTCAGCATCAAGAGGCGCTGTGCCGATTGCACCACGCTGAGCATCCCTCATGACTGCACCATCCTTCACGTCACCACCACCAGTCGCAGCACCCTGTGCGGCGCCACTTGCAGCGTGAAGAATCTCTTCTTGATCGACTGCTTCAACCAGTCCTTGGCCGATTAGACTGCTGGTACCAAACAGCTCGTGTCCGACGTCTTTAAGGACGTCTTTCAGAGGTCCTTGTAAGTTGTCGGCCTCTCCTCGCAGTCCGGCCAGCGCGGTCGACGGGAGGCCATTTGAAGGTTCTGAACGAGCTCCCGCGGATCCCGCTGGAGCTGTAGCGACGAGCACTACCAGCAGCGGAATAATTCCGGCGACGGCGAGAGGAATACGGCGTGTTGTTTGAGCGTGATTCACGCGAGAAGTCATTTGTTGGAAGGGCGGTCCGCCAGATGATAATATGGTTATGGTTCAGTTACTAACTGAATATGGAAGGGAGATTCAATATGGAAGGGAGATGCGAACACGCATTTGAAATGCGGGAGTGTGACGGAATGGGGCCTTTATGAACGAGCTACTATTTCTAGTTCCGGAAACAGGCTTTCGTTTGTTTGATCTTGTTTGGAAAGACTCGCGACGCGGTGATGCCGCTGCAGGGGACGAATTGCCCTTGCACGCCTCGAGTGGCGGCGCCTCGAGATATGCTTCATGGCCGTGATGGGTTGACATGCGGCTCGGATCAGTTGTCCCCCGTTGATCCCACTGATCATGTCCGACTGTACGTGGACGGCGAGGATTTCTTGAAAGGGGGTGTGCGATGGATGGCTGGTAAACCACAAGCGTCAGATGCTTGGCTAGCTGTCAGAGATAAAGCCGAGGTGCACAGGGGAAGGAGGGGAGGCTGTGGTTTACAGAATTGCGATATAGAGAAGGGGATCTTTCATATAGAAGCATTACATTTATTTACAAAGGAATGACAGCAATATGGAGATCTAATTCTACGAGTCGAACATCTGTCTTGAGACTTCAACGAGCGCACGCGCGGGTGTGCTTGTAACGAGAAGACAGGAAAAGCTTTTACGGAACCGACGAATTTGTCGCACCATCCCGAGGTCTAGAACTTGATGCCGCAGGTGGCGCCATACGTGGCGCCGCAGATAACGGCGGCAAACCAGCGCCATCATTTCCTTGCGACGCGTTTTGATCTGTGTTAGATCCTTGCTGATCCTGCGATCTCCCTAATCCGCTCTCCTGGTTTTGCGGGTGTGCCTGGGTCACCGTGGCATTGTCTCGCGCCAGAGCCGTCGTCAGCGCGAGCTGCGTCTGCAGCGACACGCTGCCCTTGTTCTCGAACGAATGGACGGCTGAGATTTCGATCGGCTCGTTGAACACGAACAGATTCACCGCCATCAGCGGATTCGCTAGAACTTGGTCGGTGCTCCGAGCTGGGCTGTGCCCAGACGTAGAAATAGGTTTGAGTGACGAACCTTGCTGCCCGGCCCGGCGTCCGAGGTCCAGCCCTGCAGGACAGTCACGGAGTTCATAAGAAGGCCGAATCTCAAGCATCAGCGAAGTACGCCTACGATCCAAACCATTAATATCATACGCCTGGCTTTGATAGTGTGGTCGCGCAACCACTGTTCACTCACCTTGGCCGTCGATTCGGATTCGAGCACTCGCGGTCAGTCTAATAAGCGCGTCGGCTAGTAGCGCAACGAGCGACGACGACAGTTTCTCATTGCCGCCCGCCCCGCCACTCCAGCCGCCTAGCCGACCCTCCAGCGAAACATCTGTCCCGCTTCCGCTGCCGCCGCTAGTCGACGACTCCTCGGAAGAGTTACCACCTGAGTCGTTACACTTCGTGTGATCCTCTCCCTCCTTTGACGAATCTTTACCACCAAAACTCTCTCTGGATTTACTCTCCTCCCGATTCTCTCCTCCCTTTGTTGCGTCTCCGATTTTGCCGTCCTCCTTGCGTTCACGGCTACTCCCATGTGTGTTCCCGTTGTCGCTCTTTCCTCTCGTTTCCTTCTTTTCGCTCTCTTCGCCATCGTTCTTCTCGTTATTCTCTTCCCTTTCCTCCTCCTTCCGCTCCTCGCGCCCGTCGCTCTGACTGCTGTCATGACGCTCGCCCTTGGTACTCTTCCCAGCATCAGTACCGTTCCCCACGTTCTCCCCCTTGCTCTCGCCGTCAGCTCGTGCGCTCGAGCCTTTCTCCTCCCTTGCCGCTACCTGATTTCCCCCCTCGTCTTTGCTGTTCCGAACCGCACTGCTGCCGGTGAACGCTGATGTTCGATTCGAGCCGCCATCGGACTGGGACGCGTTAGTGACGGGGGTATTCTTCGTACTGTCACGCTTGTTACTGTCTGTGGAGTTGTTATCTGCAAGGAGAGAGACGAGGGGAACGCAGCACGATACGCGATGACGATTATCAGACGATCGTCGGAGGAAATCAAACAAACACGTGCACAAGCTATACGCTCGTCCATCAACGTAGTAACGGGGAGGAATTTCCGGTTTGAAACGTCTCAAAAAGCCAAGCACTCGTCAACGTAAAAGGTGGGATCGCAAGAAAAAGCTCACCGCAAAGAAATCTCCTACTCGAGCCCACGACAGGTAGACCGGCTGCGTCCGCAAGCCCCGTGGCGGCCGTTACTGCTCCACCAGCGACAGGCGGACGGTCCTCGTTTAGCGCTCCAGAGTGGATCACCGCGTGACACGTGGAGGCCGAGATAAGGAGGAATAGAAGCCAGAAATACGTGAAAGCTTGAGAATTTAACGACGATTCTCTATGAGATTCTACCATTTGCAGTAGGTGTATATCAACTACTAGCTGCTAGATTCAAGTGTCTTTGCTGTCGAGGGAGAAATAGGCGACGGTATCCTGTCCGGTTAACTACCGTCGAAATGCGGCCGAATTGACACTAGCTAGGAAGCACCGCCAATGAAGCGAAGGTACGCACACGTGAACAGCCTTTCTCCTGTTGCTTAAATGGTGAACAGGAAGGGAGCCGTCAATCGTGCGTCCACTTCCGCCCCAAGAAAGGCGGAGCCTCGCGCGATGCTCCCGCTGCGATGAATGGAGCCTACCGGAGCTTTCCTTCGTCCAGGAAGGCGGCAGCCCCAGCTCATACGCGCCCGTGTATAGACGGGAGAGGTACGAGGCGCCATTGCTAGCCGCGCAGCCGCCATGGCTGGCGGGGTAAGGAAGACAGTCATTCCGGTCCTGTCAAAATCGACATAATTGACTGTTATTACGGTGATTGGTTCAGCAGAAGCCACTCGTGAAAGTGAGAAGACCACCCACTATGCTACAGCACTTCATGACCGTCCAGACATCAAACTGTTTCCCCTTGTCATCGAAACCTTCGGTTGCTTCGGCTCTTCGTTCAACAACTTCCTTCGCCAATGTAGCCGCAAAGGGGCGTCACAACTCAGCTCTATCTCCACCATGGGATAGAGCTGTCAAGAATGCTGGAATTTTGGTCAAAATCCTGCTCCAGGTTTAGTTGCCTGCTCCAGACACAAAAATGCTTGTGACCACAGATCAACAGCTGCAACATTGTACTATTCTCTGATCTGTGCTTGGTCACAATGCTGGCCAATCAAGAAGCAGCAGCGGGTGCCTTCTTCTTTGCCTTGGGCGCAGGAGTCTCGCGAGTGAGCATGCGAGGCGCGATGGCCATGGCCATGAGCTCCTGGAACAGCAGCTTGCATGCATATGGCATGTGCACCTGGGTTGAAGGAGGGGGACAAAGACGACAAGACGAGTGAAGGTTGTGCATAAGCATGCGAGGCGCAATGGCCATGGCCATGAGCTCCTGGAACAGCAGCTAGCACGCATACGGCATGTGCACGTGGCATGAGCAGGGGAAGGTGAAGCAAAACGCAATGTCGTGCATTAGCATATGTGCGAATTATGAGCTCGTGGAACAGCAGCTAGCACGCATACGGCATGTGCACCTGGGGCGAGCAAAGGAAGGCAGCAGAGTAGGAAAACACAAAGCTGGGCATGAGTAAACTAGGTGCCATGGCCATGGCCATGAGCTCTTGGAATAGCAGCTTGCAAGCATACAGCATGTGCGCCTCGTCTCGTGCCTCTCGCCTCTACAGTGTCGCTGTGGTCAAACAGCCACTCCTTCAGACACCCTTCTCTGCTCCCCTCCCTCGTGTAGTGAGGGTGTTTTTGAGACGTCTCAAAAACACCCTCACTACACGTGGCTACGAACAGCCACTCCTTCAGGCACCCTTCTCTGCTCCCCTCCCTCACTACACGTGGCTACAAACAGCCACTCCTTCAGGCACCCTTCTCTGCTCCCCTCCCTCCCCCTTCTCACCTGCTCCTCTCCTCTTTCCTCTTGCCTCTCGCCCCTCGCCTCTCGCCTCTCCCCTCTTTCCCATCTCCCATCTCCCTTCTCCTCCCCTCACCTGCACAATGTCTGTCTTGTTCTTGCACCCGCAGCACTCCAGCGGGCCCCCAACCGCACCTCTCCACTCGTCTCTCACAGCTCCCTTTTCTCTACTCTCCCCTCTCTCGTCCCTCCCGTCGATCTCCCCTCACCTGCACGATGTCTGTCTTGTTCTTGCATCCGCGGCACTCCAGAAGGCCCTTCTTAAGGTTGGCGATCGCAATGAGACCGCAGAACTCGCACACGTGCACGCGGTACGCGTCGCTGTGGTCAAACAGCCTCTCCTTGAGAAACGCCGCCGCGCCGTGTGCAATCATGCAATCCCGCTCCATCTCTCCGAACCGCAGCCCACCGTCCCTCGACCGCCCCTCTGCTGGCTGCCGAGTCAGAATCTGGAAGGGTTTGAAAGAGGTTCAGTGGGATTGAACGGGGCCAGAAAGGGTATGTTGGTGGTTAGACCCCATTTCTCACATGAGTGGATCTTATCATCCACCATGTGCTTGAGGCGCTGGTAGTAGGTAGGGGCCAGGAAGATCATGGCTTGATTGGTACACGGCTACAAACCCCCTCAGAGCCTGCTGGTCACAAGCCGACACAGCACTCAAACCCGCACCCACCTGCACGGGCCCTCTCCCTCGGGAATGGATCTTATCATCCACCATGTGCTTGAGGCGCTGGTAGTAGGTGGGGTGGTACCCAGCACTCAAACCCGCACCCACCTGCACGGGCCCTCTCCCCCTCGAGTGGACCTTATCATCCACCATATGCTTGAGGCGCTGGTAGTAGGTGGGGGCCAGGAAGATCACGGCCCCTGCTGGGGGTACACGGCTACCCACCCTGGAAGCCTGCTGGTTACAGGCCTACTCACCCCTGAGAGAGATAGCTCACCTGCACCGGCCCTCTCCCCCTTGAGTGGATCTTATCATCCACCGTGTGCGTGAGGCGCTGGTAGTAGGTGGGGTGGGGCCCAGGAAGATCATGGCTTGATTGGTACCAGCATACACACCCCGCAAATCCTGCTAGTCACAAGCACTCAAACTACTAACCTGCACGGGTCCTCTGCCCCTCGAATGAATTCTATCATCCACCACGTGCGTGAGGCGCTGGTATGTGGTGGGCCCCAGGAAGATGATGTTAGGGTTTAGGGTTCAAGGTTACTCACCCTGGAAGCCTGCTGGTTACAGGCCTACTCGCCCCTGAGAGATATATAACTCACCTGCACGGGCCCTCTGCCTCGGGAATGGATCTTATCATCCACCATATGCTTGGGGCGCTGGTAGTAGGTGGGGTGGGGCCCAGGAAGATCATGGACCTGCTTGCTACAGGCATACCTACCCACCACTCCATACCGCATACCCCTGAAAAAGATGCTCACCTGCACGGGCCCTCTCCCTCGGGAATGGATCTTATCATCCACCATATGCTTGAGGCGCTGGTAGTACGTGGGACCCAGGAAGATCATGGCTTGCAGCGGCCGCCCCGTGTGGCCGTTGTACATGCGCTCGAACCCCCGCATCTGGTACCCACACTTGTGCAATGTGCGACTCAGATTGTCCACCTGAGGAAACAAGATATGAGTGGTTTGACCGAGGTAAGAAGGTATCAGAATGGGCACGTGATGGTGAAGCTTCATGCGCTCGAATCCCCGCATCTGGTACCCGCACTTGTGCAACGTGCGACTCAGATTGTCCACCTGGGGGACACATGTGAAGGTTAAAAAAGAGTGCATAAAGTAAACAACCCCCACATCTGGTAACCGCACCACACTTGTGTAGCGGCCGCCCCGTGTGGCCGTTGTACATGCGCTCGAAACCCCTCATCTGGTACCCGCACTTGTGCAACGTACGACTCAGATTGTCCACCTGGGGAACACACGAAGAGGGAGGGAATAGCAAGCCAATCACGGAAAAAAGAGAACACGCGGGCGGGGATGGATGGCATGCAGGTGGTTTGACTTACATGCAGATTTGTGTGTTCAAACAAAGGAAGCAACTTACCGTCACATTGGTAAAGGGAGTGGCGTCCCCCTCCTTGCCCATTTGCGCAGCCACTTTGCTCATGAGGCACTCGATGAGATGCCCGATGGTCATGCGGGACGGGATGACATGCGGGACACTCACGTGTAAACCCAAACAGGGATACTCACCGTGACATCGGTAAACGGTGTCGCATCGCCCTCTTTCCCCATGTGCGCAGCCACCTTGCTCATGAGACACTCGATGAGATGCCCGATGGTCATGCGGGACGGGATGGCGTGCGGGTTGACGATGATATCCGGCGAGATGCCCTCCGCGCTGAACGGCATGTCCTCCTGCGTGTACGTCATGCCGATCGTGCCCTTCTGCTCCTTTTTGCCCGCGCAGGTTAAATATAACGCGGACTCACTCGAAACGACTCAAAATTTACTCACCGTGACATCAGTGAAGGGAGTGGCGTCCCCTTCTTTTCCCATGTGCGCGGCCACTTTGCTCATGAGACACTCGATGAGATGCCCGATGGTCATGCGGGACGGGATGGCGTGCGGGTTGACGATGATATCCGGGGAAATGCCCTCCGCGCTGAACGGCATGTCCTCCTGCGTGTACGTCATGCCGATCGTGCCCTTCTGCCCGTGCCGCGACGCAAACTTGTCCCCGATCTGCGGCACTCGGATCGAGCGCACGCGAATCTTAACGAATCGAAGCCCGTCGTTGTTGGTTGTGAGAACCACCTGGTTGGTTTTGCACGTGCCAAGGGGAGAGACGGGGAAGACGGAAGTGTCACAACCGTCAGGCAAACTTGTCTCTGATCTGCGGCACGCGAATGGAGCACACACAGATCTTCACGAACCGGAGCCCGTCGTTGTTAGTTGTCAGAACCACCTGGTTGGTCGGTGGGCATGGGCGAGAATGGCTTAGCAAGCAGGAAGAGGGATGCGTGATGGAAACTTGTCCCCAATCTGCAGCACTCGGATGGAGCGAAAACGGATCGTCACAAACCGTAGGCTGTTGTTGCTGGTCGTCAGAACCACCTGGTCAAACGAGTTGGGAGAGAGGAGGGAGGGGGAGGGAGAAGGGAAAATTCTCAAAAGCCACCAGTAACAACGAAGGGATGACTCCAACATGCCTGATACACGTACCCACCGAGTCAGCAAGAAGCACAACCCACCTGGTCGATCACGCCTGTCTCGCTGTGCTTGAGGCACGTGCTCATGTCGCGCTTGCTGAACCGCTGAGCCACACCGCCCGTCTCATCCGGAGGGATGGGCGTCGTCTTGCCGATGATCACATCCTCTGCTGTCACTCGCGAGCCCTGGAGGGGTTGGGGGAGGTGAGGAGCGGTTAGGAGGGGAGTTTGGAGGGCACACCAGGCATAGGGAAGGGGGGAAGGGGGCAAGGAGGAATGGGCATCGTCTACCCCTTCCCCTTGCCCCCTTCCTCCCTGCAGGGGGCAACGATCACGTCCTCTGCAGCCACTTGCAGACTTATCTGCTGCTACAAGATCCCAGCCTGTGCCGAAGTATCTTTTGAGTCGACTCAAAAGTCACCTCGTTTTGAGTCGACTCAAAAGGCAGACTTATCTGCTGCTACAATTACAAGATCCCAACCTCAGCCTGTGCCGAAGTATCAGCACAGATCCCAAATACCTCCTCTCCATTAACCCAGTGACCAGTCCCACCGCAAACCCCATTTCCACATCACCCCAGTTTCCCGGTCAGTCTTCCCCCCTAACCCTTTCACTCATTCCTCCTGTAACCCCAGTCTTCCACCCCAAATCCCATCTCACGTCAGCCCAGCGACACTAGTTACGAGTCGACTCACAATTCGCCTTTGACTCATTCCCCCGTAACCCCAGTCAACCACCCACAACCCCATCCCACCATCAGCCCAGTGACACTCACCGGAGGGATGATGCCATCATCGTCCAGCTTGTCGTATGACCCGTGCCGCATGCCCTGATGAATGCACACAAAAGTGGGGAACAGGGTGGTGCGTAGGACGAGGGTGAGGGTCAGCACGCGAGGCTGCGAGCGGCCTAATGCCATCATCGTACAGCTTGTCGTATGATCCGTGCCGCATGCCCTGATGGGGTGGATGCACAGAGAGGGGGACAGGGTGGAGCGAGGGACGAGGGTGAGGGTCAGCAAGCGAGCTGCCAAATGCCATCATCATCATCATCATCATCATCATCATCGTCGTCCAGCTTGTCATACGACCCGTGCCGCATGCCCTGGTGGATGCACAGCAAGGGGGGACAGGGCAGAGCAGAGCAGACAGACACGGCAGAGAAAGGTTGGTGACTTGTTGTGGGTGTTCTCGAGAGTAGTGGCGGGACGATGAGGGTAGCGGGGAAAGATCCCATCGTCGTCCAGCTTGTCATACGACCCGTGCCGCATGCCCTGATGATGCACAGCAAGGGGGGACAGGGCAGACATTCACACCCATACACCCCTACTCACCCACACTGACGGCAACGCTCATAACGTACGCCGCGACAGGACAGCTGTACCATGATGACGTCATGCCAACACACCTTGCTGGTTCCATACCAATAATACCATGGTGGTTCCATGAAATGGCACGAGGACCTCATGCCATACCATTGTGGCGTTCATGGCAAATCAAGTCATGGTGATGTGATTCCATGCGATGGTGATGAGGCATGCATGCATGGCTCTCACCATGGTGATCTCCCTGTTGGGCCGCTCAAACTCTTCGTTCACCATGCTGCCACTCTTCTTCTCCTCGTCCCTGTGGTGAGGCGTGAGGGGAAGGAATAAGAGTGAGAGTGAGTGTGAGAGAAACACACAACTCCTCATCCACCAATCAACAAGCACACCTGTAGGACTTGAAGTCAATAGAGCGGTGGGAAAGTCTCTTCTACCTGTGCGGGCATTCACCTGAAGCAAGATAAACTATCTCTCTACACAGCGTTGTACTCCTCACGTACCTGTAGGACTTGAAGACAATGGAGCGGTGGAAGCCGCGGTCGATGGACGACTGGTTCATGATGACCCATGATACACACCTCCTCATTCCTCCACATGACACATGACACACCTGAGAGTGAGAAAGGCCCTTGCAGTCACCTGTAGGACTTGAAGACGATGGAGCGGTGGAAGCCGCGGTCGATGGACGACTGGTTCATGATGACTGAATCCTCCTGGTTGTACCCCGAGTAGGACAGAATGGACACTATGGCGTTCTGTGGGGGGGGAGGAGACATCACACAGCACAGCACACACAGAACCGGAAAGGAGGGGGAGGTTAGAAGAGAGCGAGAGTGGTTCATGATGACGGAGTCCTCCTGGTTGTAGCCCGAGTAGCACAGGATGGACGGCACTATGGCGTTCTGTGGGAGGGTGGAGGTGAGGGGCGGGAGACACCACACAGCAGAGCAAACACAGAACAGGAAAGGATGGGGGGGTTTAAAGGGAGCAAGGGTGGTTCATGATGACCGAGTCCTCCTGGTTGTAGCCCGAGTAGCACAGGATGGACGGCACTATGGCATTCTGTGCGGCGGGAGGGGGGACATTACCCAGCCAGCACACATACAGAACCGGACGTGGAGGGAGAGGTTAAAAGGAAGGGAGGGAGATACAGGTCATGATGACTGAGTCCTCCTGGTTGTGCCTGCATGCGTGAATGTAAGTATACATGTGTGTGTATATGAGCTATTGCCTGCTGAACTCACAATCCCAGCGGGCAGCTCGCGGAAGTGGAGGTGTTCCATGGCGCGCGTGGTGGCGAGGGGTTTCTGCGGGTAGTAGAGCACGTAGGCAACGGTGTCCATGCGCGACTGGTAGTTGGTCACATACATGCCCATCGCCTGCTTGCCCATCGCTGATTGGTACGTGTTCCTGGGGGACTGGGGGAGGGGGGGAAGGGGAAGGGGAGGCATGGAAGGGAGGGGGACGTGGGGTAGGGGATGGGCACCAGACAGGGACGCGAGTGACGGTCACATAAATGCCTATCGCCTGCTTGCCCATCGCCGATTGGTACGTGTTCCTGGGGGACTGGGGTGCGGGGAGAAGGAGGGGGCAGGGAGAGAGGAATGGGCAACGGGCAAGGCTTGTAGTCCCTCCCCTCTTTCCGGGCTGTTTTCCAGTGGGTGGCAAAGGACGCACGTGACATGAGTAGTTGGTCACATACATGCCCATCGCCTGCTTGCCCATCGCCGACTGATACGTGTTCCTGGGGGACTGGGGTGCGGAGAGGGGTTGGGTGGAAAAGAGAGTGGGCAGATGGATGGTCAACACTGCGAGGGATAGGGAAGGCAGCAGGTGAGATAGGTAATTGGTGGAGTGCGTGGGCTCAGGCGATAGATACAAACTAAGGATGATAATCTTACCGAACTTCTGGGTCATTACCTGGTTGCGGTCGGGGGGGGGAGGGGCTACCTGATTGTTAAAGGGCAGTGAGGGCAGGCGTTACCTGGTTGTGATCCGGGAAGGGGATGATGGAGGCGCAGACACCGAGGATGAGCGAGGGGTGAATCTCGCAGTGCGTGTACGTGTCGCTGTAGGCCTCCGTGGGGTTCAGCCGCGCTGATGTCACATCCTGAAGTGAAGGGAGGAGGGATAGGAGTACACACACACTAGGAGAATATGGATCTCGCAGTGCGTGTACGTGTCACTGTAGGCCTCCGTTGGGTTCAGCCGCGCTGATGTCACATCCTGATGGAGAGAGAGGGAGGAGTGGAGTGCAGGGGATACAGGTGAACAAGAGTGGATCTCGCAGTGTGTGTACGTGTCGCTGTAGGCATCCGTGGGGTTCAGCCGCGCTGATGTCACATCCTGAAGAGAGGGGCGCAGGGGAGGAGCAGATAAACAAGGAGGAGACGGGCGGAGTGGATGGGTGGGACGTGGGTGAAAACGAGACAAGGCGTGGACCTCGCTCGCAGTGTAATACCAAGTTTGTTCTGAGACGTCTCACAATATACGCATTGCGATACGACTATGACACTCACATGGATGGTCATGGAGATCATGGTCGTCTCCTCCTCCATGGTATCCACGTATTCAATAAACCCCTTCTCCACAAGCTCGTTCCACCCGATGCCCGACCCCTCCTGCTGCAGTGCCAGCACGTCGCGCTTCTTGATGAGCAGCCGCTGCTTCTCCACTATGAACAGCGGCCGCGAGCACCGCCCGTAATCCGTGTACAGGCGGAGCTCTCTGAGACGGATGTCCCGAACCACAGACACCTCAGAATTGACGTCCAGCTGGATGGATGGAGGGGACGGGGAGGAGCGGAGAAGCGAAGAGGGGCGGACAGAAGGCAGCAACCAAGCACACGTCACGCTTCGTTAATCAAAGCGACCCCTCCTGCTGCAGCGCCAGCACGTCGCGCTTCTTGATGAGCAGCCGCTGCTTCTCCACTATGAAGAGCGGGCGGGAGCACCGCCCGTAATCCGTGTACAGGCGCAGTTCACGGAGACGGATATCGCGCACCACCGACACCTCTGAGTTCACGTCCAGCTGGAGCGGGGAAGGAAGGGGAAGTGGAAACGGGAAACGAGGGCGGAGGAGAGGGAAGGGCAGTGCGTCTTGATGAGCAGCCGCTGCTTCTCCACAATCAAGAGCGGGCGGGGGGGAGCAGCGCCCGTCGACCGTGTACAGGCGCAGCTCTCTTAGGCGAATGCCTCGAACCACACTCACTTCCGAGTTCGCAACCAGCTGGATGAGAGAGAGAGGGGTGGGGAGAGAGCGGGAAACGACCACCCAGCAGCCCATGAGTGCCCAGGCCAGATTCGGGTGCCCGGGCCCATGAGTGCCCCGGTATTGTGCGTCCGGGCGGGCCAGGTTCGATGCGCGCGCGCGGCACACTTACGCAGCAGCCCCACCCACATCAATGTTACCAATCAAAAACCACCCACCTGTCGCCGGAGCTGTCTCAGTGTGCGCACGAGCTCGCCCCGGTTGAAATGCACGGCCACCCAGCAGCCCGTGAGATGAGATGAGTGCACACAGCACACCACAGCAGTGTTACCAATCACACAACCCAAACGAACACCCACCTGTCGCCTGAGTTGCCTGAGTGTGCGCACCAGAGATGAGTGAGCTCGTCCGGGTCGCGATGCACTCCCACCCAGCAGCACAAGACATGAGTGCACAGACCATAGCGCTGTTACCAGCCACAAACCACAATCCAAAGGCCCTCCCCCACCTGTCGCCTGAGCTGCCTCAAGGTGCGCACGAGCTCGTCCGGATCGCGATGCACGCCCACCCAGCAGCCGTTGACAAACACCTTGGTGGCCTGCGGGATGAGCGCTGGGGAAATCTCCTGGTGAGGGGAAGGGACGGGAGAGAGGAGAGGGTGGGAGGAGGAGCGTGAGAGGAGGAGGGTGAGGAAGAAACGAGAAGAAGTAAAATAGCATCGCCCCACCCTACCCACCACGACCACTTGTCTAAGTGCCCCGAAGTCTCGTACACTGGCTCATAAAGAGCGTACCTCCAGATTCTCCGTGAGCCACTCTTCCAGAAACTCCAGGATGGGAGCGGCGTTGCTCCCCACAGTGATGTACGTCATGAGCGCGAGGTTCTTCACCAGTCCCACCGCCTGCCCCTCGGGCGTCTCAGCAGGACACATCATGCCCCACAGCGAGTTGTGCAGCTGCCGCGGCTTCGCCAGCTTGCCATCGCGCCCGATGGGCGAGTTGAGGCGGCGCAGATGGGAGAGAGAAGACGCATAGGCCAGACGATTCAGCACCTGAAGAGCACAGCACAGGGCGGCAGGGGAATGAGTGGGCTTGTGAGTGGGCTTGGCCAGCTTGACATCGCGGCCGATGGGCGAGTTGAGGCGCCGCAGATGCGAGAGGGAGGACGCGTAGGCGAGGCAATTCAGCACCTGCAGGGACGATGCGCGTGGGTGGGATGGGAGGAGGAGAACAGCAGAGGGCAGCAGGGGCGTGAGTGGGCTTGGGCCTTGGCCAGCTTGCCGTCTCGGCCGATGGGCGAGTTGAGGCGGCGCAGATGCGAGAGGGAGGACGCGTAGGCGAGACGATTCAGCACCTGTTGGGCATGGGGTTGGTGGGAAAGTCACATGGTACTCCGATGGGAAAGTCACATGGTACTCCGATGGGAAAGTCACATGGTACTCCGATGGGAAAGTCACATGGTACTCCGATGGGAAAGTCACATGGTACTCCGATGGAAAAGTCAGAAGCTGATAGGCGAGTTAATTGTTGAGGCGTCTCAGATGGGAGAAAGAGGATGCGCAGCGTAGGTGAGACACAGTGTCGCTTGAGGGGAACGGCACAGGGAGATGCTTGAAATGGTGGGAGAATAACAGCATGAGCCAGCCGGACAAGGGCACGCGCGGGGACAGACCGACAGGGAGGATGCGCGTACACCAGACGGTTCAGTTCAGGACCTAGTTTTGAGTCGACTCAAAACTGAGTGTGTCGATAAAATCTTGTCAGAGGCAGGCAGGAATGGCGCAGCACCATACCTGCGAGACGCCAGCCTTGGTGCCGGCCTGGTTGGCCTGCCCCCAGTTGCCCGTGGCCACAGAGTACTTGAGTCCACCTGTGATGATCTTCGCCTTCACTGCATACGACAGGTTGATCTCCTTGCCGTGATCCATGCACTGGTAGGCGGGAGGTATGAATTGGAATGGTGGGAGGAAGAAACGGGGAGGGAGCCATATGCCTTTAATGCATATAACAACAAGTTGACCTCCTATCTGTGATGATTCATACACTGGCAGAAAGAGCCCGGGGGATTGTGGTGTGGGGGTGGGGCAGATAGACAGCGAGCTTGCGGAACAGCTGGCCTGTGCACAATGACAGATGCATGGCTGATAAATATACACCGGCGATGGCATAGAGACAGACACCCACACGTGCGCCCTTCCCCATGTGCGCCCTTCCCCATGTGCGCCCTTCCCCATGTGCGCCCTTCCCCATGTGCGCCCTTCCCCATGTGCGACCTTCCCCATGTGCGCCCTTCCCCATGTGCACCCTTCCCCATGTGCACCCTTCCCCACAAGCCCCCTTCCCCATGCCGTTCCTTACCCGCTGCAAGTACCCTTGCACATCCTTGGTGAGCTTGCGGAACAGCTGCACAGCATGACGACAGGTGGTGCAGCAGATGGGCGGGGCAGCAGATGGGTGGGGGGCAAAGGTGCAACAAGAAGTGGCAGAGAGAGAGAGACGAGGCACGGTCGGAAGAAGACAAACGAGTAGCATGCACGCTTCAAGCAGAGTGGTGGGGAGAGGAGTCGGGAAGACAGGCTTTGAGGAGAGGCGGGAAAGAGCAGACGAAAAAAGTAGCTCAAGATGAAAGCGACTGAAACCCGAAAGACAAGTCTGAGTCGACTCAGAAATACAGCACAAGACGAAAGGGTCAGCGCAAGATGGCGCGGGACGTTAGGGAGAGAAACAACACAGGAAGGAGGACCCCATCTCAAGCCAATCAATCAACCAGCCCAGCAGAGGGGGTCCCTGCGGGGCTGTCTCAAGCCAATCAGACAACCAGCCCAGCACAGCACCCCCTCTGCTGGACAAGGCTCACTGACACACCCACCTGGCGAAACAGCCCTGCAAGCAGCGGCCCGGCAAGGTCCAGGCGCTTGTTGCCGTAGTGATCCCTGTCGTCCTCGTTGCGCCGCCCCAGCGCACACAGCAGCAGCCGGTGAATCATGTACCTGGAGGGATGGCGGAAAAGGAGGGTGCCCAAAGTGGAAAGCCCCACCCAAAGAGGAAAAGCTCACCCGAAGAAGAAAGACTCACCCAAGAAGCTTAAAGCTCACCAAAAGAGGAAAAGCTCACCCAAAGAGGAAAAGCTCACCCAAAGAGGAAAAGCTCACCCAAAGAGGAAAAGCTCACCCAAAGAGGAAAAGCTCACCCAAAGAGGAAAAGCTCACCCAAAGAGGAAAAGCTCACCCAAAGAGGAAAAGCTCACCCAAAGAGGAAAAGCTCAACCAAAGAGGAAAAGCTCACCCAAAGAGAAAAAGCTCAACCAAAGAGAAAATGCTCACCCAAAGAAGTAGGCCTTTTTGGTTTCACAGAACTCGCCCACACCCACGTGAGGCAAGAACTCCCTCTGAAGAATGTCCTTGGCGTACCTGTTGGAGTGGGAGGGGGAGGGAGTGAAGGAAGAAAGGGGAGGGGAAACGGGACGGGCAGGCAGGAAAAGGGAGAAAGTTGAGAACATGGTGGTGGCGTGGCACTTGAGTGAGAGCATAATCGTTCTGAAATGAAACGTTCTCATAAAAACGACAAGCTTGCATTTCTTTTGAGAGCAAGCACACACGACACGAGCACACAAGCTCCTACTCGTCTGGCTCTATGGAGTTTTGCGAAAAAGATCTGGCTCACTCACTTTATTCTTCGCTCTCGTGGCGCACCCACCGGCACGCCTCGCTTGCCAATGTAATCCAGAGCCACCTGACATGGCATGACATGGCATGGCATGGCATGGCATGGCATGGCATGGCATGGCATGGCATGGCATGGCAGCAAGGGATGGGAGGCCGAGAATGGACGTGACTTTAAGTCGACTCAAGGATGCACGGTGCACCCACCGGCACACCTCGCTTGCCAATGTAATCCAGAGCCACCTGATAGATGGTGGCAACAAGACAAGGAGAGGGGGGGGGGGGGGGGGACGAGAACAGATAGGCATGTTTACACGAGAAAAGCACACACAGAGGCAGGCAAGGAGCAACTCAAAGTACGCACGGCACGCACATGCAATGCAAGCACACATACACGCACCTGCTGGTTCTGGATCACGAATGCCTCTTCGAAAGAAGGCATGAGCAGCTCCATCATGGCTGTATCAGTGAAGGCGTAGCACACATGCTCCATGATTCCCTTGTCTTGTCCGCCACGAATCCCAGAGTATGCACGCAGGCAGGCAGGGAGCAACTCAACTCAAGCACACGTAGACACACACCCCACACACCCCACACACCCACCTGTTGGTTCTGAATGACAAAGGCCTCTTCCAAGGACGGTCTGAGCAGCTCCATCATGGCAGTATCAGTGAAGTCGTAGCACACATGCTCCATGATGTCCTTGTCTGCCACGAAGCCCAGCGCGCGGAACACCACGATGATGGGGATCTCCGCCTTGATGTACGGGAGGGTCGCTCGGATCACCTGCCCTGACGAGCCCTGCGGGTACGGCCAAAGCAAGAATGTGAAACGGATGAACATTGATTTTTCTTGACACCTGCTCCAATAAGCCCTGGAAAAGGTGCGTTCCAGTCCGGTGGCGGGAAAAGAATCAGAGGCATGATCCGGGATCTCCGCCTTGATGTGCAGCAGTGTCACTCGAATCACCTGCCGATGAACCCTGAAGACCGGGGTAGGACGAGAAGACGGAACAAATCAATGGCCATTGAAGTTTGCACAGCGAGCGGGAGGAGAAACATACCATGGCAAGGCAGAACCTGATAAATATAACCTACCGCCTTGAACGAGGGTGGGAGACACGTACCGTTTTGGGGAAGGAGCGGGAGAGCATGCGCACAAGCAGGAGCTGGGGGGGCGGTTCTGCCTCTCTGCCATGCTCCGCACCGCACCTCCGCCACATACGCGTATTTGTTGAGACACCTCTATACACCAGCACACACCCACCCTCAAATTCCGCGCACCTTTTGCAGGAGGAGCGCGGTAAAAACAACCAAATTGGAGGAGAGGAGGGAGAAACATACTACACGCCACATGCAGGAGGAATAGGACGAGGAACGTACCGATTTGGTGGAGGAGCGGGAGAGCATGCGGATGAAGCAGGCACTCGGCGGGCGGTTCTGCCTCTCCGCCATGCTCCTCACCTCCGCCACATACGCGTACTTGTTCGGCTGCCGCTTCTGAAACACATACACGTGGTTACTCGCCATCTTCTCCTGCGCAATCAGCACCTTCTCGCTCCCATTAATAACAAAATACCCGCCCTGGTCGTACGGGCACTCCCCCAGCTCCGTGAGTTCCTTATCCGTGGCGTTATGCAACGTGCAATAATTCGATCGCAGCATGATCGGGATCTTCCCGATGAAGACTTTGTCGGCTTGCTCCGTGCTGACCTCCTCCTCCCCGTCGTCCCCGCGCGTGGTGATGGTCTTGGTGATGTCGACATAGAGAGGCGCGGCGTACGTGAGGTTGCGCAGGCGCGCGGCTTTGGGGAACAGCGTGTTGGTCTCGCCGTCCGGCTCTGTCATTGTTGGCTTGGATAGATAGATCTGCCCGAAGGTCACCTTGCACGTCATCTGATGGGGAGAGGTAGACGCATGGGGGAGGAAGGGGGGATAGGGGGGTGGAGGGGGGGCAGGGGGAGGGGAGGGGATGTTGAAGGGGCGGCTTTGGGGAACAGCGTGTTGGTCTCTCCGTCCGGCTCTGTCATTGTTGGCTTGGACAGATAGATCTGCCCGAAGGTCACCTTGCATGTCATCTTGAGAGGGGAGGGGGGAAGGGGGGAAGAAGGCGGGGAGGTGGGGTTGGAGGGGGACCAGCGGGGGGGGAAGGGTGGGGGCGTGAGTTGGTGGCAGCACAAACGCCAGGCACTCAGTTTACCGACTTGCTGAGCGATGACCGCCCCTCTCACCTCCCTCCCTCCCTCTATTCCTCCTCTCCTCCTCGCCGTCCTCCCCGCGCAGGGAGGTGCTGCGCCTGCAGGCAGACCATCAGCACCCAACCCAACCCAACCCAATCCACCAGAAGAGACGCAAGCGAAGCAACTCTTGAAACTGCTGTTTGTATGCCATTCGCCCCCCCGTAACATGTACATCTGTGTTGTCCATGGGGCGGCCAGGGGGTGACTGTACGGCGTGTGTCTCTAGGGAGGACAGATGTGCGATGTGCGATGACCACTCGCGGCATACGTACATCCGTGTTGTCCATGGGTCGCCCCGGGAGATGCTGCGCCTGCGGGCGGACCTCGATCTCCGCGGACTCGTCCACAATGCTCTGCATCGTGTCCTGAATGAACTCGTTGAACGAGTCCAGCTGCTGCCGCACCAGCCCCTTCTCCTCGAAGTACGCGCTGATCACCGCCCACGCGTCCTCCTGCGTAATCTCCTCCTCCTCCCGCTCCCGCTCGTACTCCTCCTCATCGCCTCCCCCGTACATCGCGCCGGCTTGCTTGTCGTCTCCTACGCGCGGCTTGCTCGATGCGACCTAGTTACGCTTGTCAAACTCGCAACTGCTGCTTTCGCGAACGGTGCACTCGCGAACGCTGCCCTCGCGACTGCTCGACTCAAGCCAGAGCTGAGCCAATCAGTGCTCGACTCGCATCTGACAAGATTGACACTAGGTCAAGCTAAACCAATCCTTCAAGTTCCTAAATTTAAACGACCGAAGCCGGCGTAAGCCTAGCTTAACATGAGCAGAGGCCTCTAACCCAGACTGAAGTAACCGCCCCCCGGCAACTCAACCCTAAATATCCAAAAGAGGCCCACTTGACGTCACGATGTGCTTATCTCGGCCTAATCAGCGAGGAGCTCAGCAAACCAGCTTCTAATCGCACTGCCGTTCTTCATCCAATTGGCTCAAAGACAGTTGACCTAAATTCGCTCTCGGCCAGGCTACGTAGGGAAAAAACGTTTTGCGGGCCAGCACTCGATAGGCGGTTGCGCAGGCCGCACTAGCCGCAAGACAAATCGGCTAGAGGAAGACACATCCACGGCTCGCTCTAGCCGCAGCGCAAGCGAAGCACGCAACTTCAGTGCTCAACTCGACACTTCACGTGCTGCTTACGCAAATAGTTACATTTATGCTTGGCTTTCCAAGCTTTATACCGTGACAAGAAGTGGAGGCTGGGAGGGAGGGCTAGCCCAGAGGGAACGCAATGCAACACAGTTTTCGGGATAAGTCTTGGGATTGTCAGGCAGACTCAATCGAACGGCCAGTAGCTACACAGAGAAGAAACTTTAGGATGCGACAAGATCGGCTCAGTGTAACACAACTACACTTACGCGCCAATATCCTGCTATAAACAGGGTGACGGACCAGTATTTCAAAAGCGGCATCTACACTACAGCCTACTATTACACTGGTCCTTCTGTTAGTGTAGGTTGGTGCGGGGTGCCTTTATCTCTTGCTTTGACAAACACCACTTCATCAACTTAACACGTGAGCCTCAAAAGGAGAGAAAAAACAAAATTAATGTTCTAAATTCACAGGACAAAAAAGGTTCTAAATCAAGGAGGACAAGTCCAACGCCAGGAGTGAAGACCTCTGAAACAAAAAGCCGGAGGAGGGATAAGCGGGATGGGACGAAAACAGCACGACAAATGCAACAAACGGCAAGAGAGAAACAACGCACTAGCAAACAACAGGAGAGTCGTCCGAAGCTCTTCCTTGCGCATCTCATCTCAACACACGCCTACCGTACCCTCCCACCGCATAACACTCCCCTGCATCTCCACACAACACTTTCGTTGCATTTCCACACAACAATTACTTGCACCTCCGCATTACAACACCTCCACACTTCACTTCCTCCCAGATTTTGCTCATCCTGCTGCTCCAAACCCCCCCTTCCTACTTGCTCCCCCCCGTCTGCCTCGACCTGATTCTGCTGCTCTGTCGCACCGTCGCCAGCCTAATCGCCTCCTCCCTGTCCCTCGCCTCTTGCTCTTTCAGCGCTTTCATCCTCTCCCTCTCCGCCTCCTTCTCCCTCCTCTCCCTCTCCTCCCGCTCCCTCCTCACTTCCTCCTCCTCTCCCCCGTCCTCGCCTTCCACACTCCCGTTTTCTGCTACACCTGCTCCTCCTCCCTCTCCCCCATCTCCTTCTCCTCCTTCCCCTGGCGCCTTTTCCGGTGCGGCTGAGGTAACAGCAGCCGCCCCACCACTCGCCCTGCCAGTTCTACCTCCCCCAGATGCACCTTTTCTCCCTTTCTTCCCACCCGTGCCCTTGCCCCTGGGTGCCCTCGCCCTGCTGCGCGTTTTACCTGCCCCCCTTGCTCCTGCGGACGCCTGAGACAATTCTGATTCGTCCGCTGTTCCTTCACCTGTCCCTTCACCTGCCCGCGCTTCTGCCCCTTCACCTGCCCCGTCGCCCGCCTCTGAAACCTCCTGCGAGGGCCCTTCTGCAGGTTCCTGGGAAACTTCCTGAGACATTCCATTGCCTTGAGGTGCATCTACCGTGACCACCACACCCCTTTCAGTCACACCTATTTCAGTAACAGCCACTTCGGTCGCACCCATCTGCTCCTCCCCTTTCCCTCGCTCACCACATCCCACTCCCTTCACCTCTTCACCCCTGGGAGTCACCTCAACAACCGCATCCATATCCTCATCCTTGCCCACTCCTGTTTCACCTACTGTTTCCTCACCTCCTGTTCTCACAACTCCCACCTCCACCACATCATCTCCTACCTCCTCCATTTGAATATCCTCTCCCCCTGTCCCCACCTCGTTCTTTCCCACTTTCTCTTCTCCACTCTCTCCCCTTTTCTCTTCCCCTTGCTCTCCCCTTTCCTCTCCACTTCCCCCTCCTGTCATACCCTCCACCTCCATTGCATCCCCGCTGTGTTTTCCCTCCCTCCCTTCCCCCTCATCCTTCCTCTCTTCTCTCTCCTCCTCCTTCTCCTCCTCCCCAGTGCTCTTCTCTGCTGTGTCCTTCCCCCTTTCACCCTTCCCCTTATCTCCCTCCTCCCCACCATTCCGCTTTGCTCCTGGTTCTCCCTTCTCTCCACCCTCCTCCACCTCTCCCTTCTCTCCCCTCTTCCCCCCCTCCACCTTCGCTCCTCCTCCTCCCACTCCACCAGCAGCTTTCTTACCAGCAGCAGCACCAGAAGCACCAGCAGCAACAGAAGAAGCAGCAACAGAAGCAGCAGCAGCAGCCGCAGCATCACCATCACCATCATCACCAGCAGCACCAGCAGCAGCACCAGCAGCAGCACCACCAGCAGCACCAGCACCTGCCTTGCGTTTCCTGGAAGTCAAACTACCACCCACCGCCACCGCATGTTCAACCCCCTTCCCAACCTCGTCCACGTCCCCCTCACCTGCCTGTCTCACATCCTCTCTACCATCGCCATCTGTCACAGTACAATCTCCACCAGTCATCTTAGAATCACCTCCTGTCTCCTTACCATCGTTTGTGGCTGCAACCGGCAAGCTGGATGGCTTGGAATCTTCAACAGCAGCAGCAGCAGCAGCAGCAGCAGCAGCTAAGGCAGGAACATGCTTTTTGCCTTTAGCTGCAGCAACAGCTTTCGGTGCAGTTGACTTTGCCGCAGAAGTTTTAGCAGCAACAGCCTTAGCAGCAGCAGCCTGACCAGCAGCAGCCTTAGCAGAAGCAGTTTTAGCAGCAGCGGCTTTAGTGCCTGCAGAAGCAGATGCAGCAGCAGTAGCAGGGCTGCTGACAAGCTTGGTGGCTTTGGCAGCAAAAGAAGATGGCGCAAACAGGGCAGCAAGACCCGTCTGTAACACTTCCGTCTTCACCTTCTGCACCTCCTCCTCCTCCTCTTTCTGCTGCTGCCCTTGCTCCTGCTGCTCCTGTTCCTCCTCATTCGCCTCCTGCTCCTGTTTCCCCTGCTGCTCCGCCTGCTCTTCCTCTGTTCGTTCTTCCTTGTGCTGCTGCTGTCGACCCCTCTGCTGCTTTGTGCTCGCAGCACCCCTGCCTCGTGCCTGCTTAGGAGCCTCAACACTCCGTTGCTGCTGCTGCTGCTGCTGCTGCTTTCTGCCTCTGGTCCTAGCTCTAGCACCAGAAGCAGGAGCACTACCAGCAGCAACAGTACCACCACCACCACCAGCAGTACCGGTATCAGCAGAAACTGCGGCAGCATTAGCAGCCAGAGAAGCAGCCACAGCAACAGGGGCACCAGAAAAAGGAGCAGGAGCAGGAGCAGCAGAAACAGGAGCAGGAGCAGCAGGGGAAGCAGAAACAGCAGCCCTCTGACTGGAAGAAAGAGCAGAGAGTGTCATTCTCGGGAGCCGAATCACCAACCCTCTCCGCAGCACTACTCCTGTCCTTCCCACAGCATTTCCGCCCACACTCCCTGCCCCCTTCCCTCCTCTACCTCCTGCTCCCTCCTCTCCCTCCTCCCTGCTCCAGACACCCCCACCCCCACCCCCACCAGCACCAACAACAGCATCTCGGTCCCCACCGCCATCACTAGTACCACCGCCTTGCTCCTGAGCATTCGAATCTCCCCGCTCCCCTTGCTTCACCATCCTATCTTGCAGCAAGCTTGTGCCATCCTCTACCAGCTTCTCCCCCTCACACCCCACCCTTCGCCTCTTCACCTTCCCCACTTCTTTTCGAGTCGACTCGAGAACTTGCCCACCCTCTCTTCCTTCTCCCCCTCCTCCTTCTGCCCCTCCCCCTCCTTCCCCTCCTTTCTTAACCTTCCTCAGCTTTGCATGGCGGCCTTGAGTGCCCCGGACTCCCTTCTCCCCCCCCTTCCGAGCCTGATGCAACGCCTTCCGAGCCTGCTGCTGCGGCGGTGGTATGGTGTGTGGCTGCCAGGCTGGCACTTTGCTAAGCGCGCTTTCAGACGCTTTGTTAAACTCCACAACCGGTGGAGAAGCGAGATAAGGAGGAAGTGATTCAATTCCCGCCAGAGCTTGACTGGAGTGAGAGAATATAGCAGTAACGGAGCGGCTTGTGCGGGGGATGAATGGTGGCTTGTTGGAAGGCGGCAGCGATGAGAAGAGGAGGGCAGGAGGTAGGGAGAAAAAGAGTGAGGAGGAGGAAGCAGCATTGGTGGATAGATGTGGCGGCGATGGGTGAGTGGCTGGTGCAATCACAAGACGAGACAGACATGCCTGCAGGTGTTACCAAGGGGACGGAAGGGACGGAAGGGACGGAGGGACGGAAGGGGGCAGAGGGAGGGTAGGGAAGAGGGGGAGAGAGGGGGGTTGGGGTGGTGGGGTGGAGAGTGGGGAGGGAGGCAATAAGGGAAAAGCGTTAGGCAAGGGTGACGAGGAGCAATGGGGGGAAGAAACGGGAAAAGATATACACAAATAGAATATAGAAGGGGGGAAGGCGGGGGAGGGATAATGGGGGAAGTGGGTGGGGGAAGAAGGAGGGTGGAGAAGGGAGGCGGGAAAAGGCGGTAGGAGAGAGAACTCGCCTCAACAGCCCTGCATGTGTTCTTCCTGTGCTCTTCCTAGACACGACGACTCCACAGCACTAACCCCCTCTGCTGACCCACGGCCAATATGAATCTCCTAAAAACTCAGACAATGACTCATAGGAGCTTCGTGACTGTGCTAACTCCTCTGCCACTGCCCTTACTGCCGGCCCCCACCCGCCTCTGAAGCAGCCCTTGCTTCCACGACCTGAGACGTCTCAAACACGCACACTCACCTGAACCGCCCTGGCAGCGTTTGCATCAACAGCAGGCAGATGGGACAATGCCGCCTCTGTCCCTACCCCTGCTGCCGCTCCACCCGCCTCTGCTGCTGCAGCGCCTCCTGTTGCAGCACGCCCAGACAACCCAGCAGTGGCTGCAGCAGCAGAGGATGGTGCGGCAGCAGAGGGCAGCACACGCACCACTGCACCAGCACCAACGCCACCAGCCATAGCACCTGCAGCACCAACACCAACGCCACCAGCCATAGCACCAGCAGCTGTAGCAGCAGCAGCAGCAGCAGCAGCGGCAGCAGAAGGAACGGGGAAAGGTGCCACTCCTGCAGGACCCCCCGTTGCAGCAGCACCTGCTGCTCCTGCTCCCCTTGCTCCCCCCGCTCCCCCTGCTACCCCTTCCCCTGCTGCTCCCCCTCCTCCTCCTGCACCTGTTCCCGCCGCCCCCTCTTCTCCCTTCCCTGCTGCCGCTGCATGCAAACACTTAGCTAAAAGCTCCCCATGCACGAGACCAGCAGCAAGAGGTAGAGAACCCAGCAGCCTCGCCACTGCTCTCACCTCCACCTTCCTCCCAGTCACTATCACTTTCTCCTCTGGAGTTTCTCCCTCCTTCCCTCCTGCCCCTCCCTCCTCCTTCCCTCCACCTCCCCTTCCCAACCCACCATCCTCTCCCATTCTCCCAGCCCCAACCCCCCCAGCCATCCTCTCTCTCTCTTCCCTCTCCCCTTCTCGTCTTCCACCCACACCCATCCCCCCTAAAATCCCCCTCCCACCACCACCTCTCCGACCCTCCCCATCCCGCAAAAACTCCCCTCTGCCCCTCCCCTCCCCGTGCCTGTCTCCCGAACCTACTCTATGAATATCCCTAGGCCCTCCGAATTGCCCCACCCCTCCCATATCTCTAAGGCCCCTTCCTCCCCCAGGCATGCCTCCCCCTCCTCCCGGACCCATCAGGTTCGGCCCAAACCCAGGGCCGCCCGGGCCTCTTACTCCCGGGCCTCCCATGCCTCCCGGACCTCCCATCCAGCCTCCCGGACCTCCTAGGAACGGGGATCCCGAACCTGGCATTCCATCCCACATGCCCCCAGGAGGAAAGATCGGTCCCCGCCCTCCCATGCCGCCTCCCGGACCTCTACCACCAGGTCCGGGCATGCCTGGGTGGGCGCCGAACCTACCGCCCATGCCTGGCCCAGGCATGGGGTGGTGGTGTGGTAGCACACCTGGCCCTGCAACAGAAACACCTGAAGGAACACCTGAGCCTGGGCCTGGCCCTGGGCCAGCACCTGGAGCACCTGGGAGGAGGCCAGGAGAGAGGGGACCCAGAGGGGGAGTGTTCAGGTGGCCCCCAGGCCCTCCAGGTGAATTTCCAGGGTGTGACCAACGGTTTCTGCCCTGGTTCGCAGGCGGATGCTGCTGATGTGGCGTCTGCGGTGGCTGATGTGGCACCTGCTGATGTGGCGGTTGCTTGTGAGGGATGGCAGAAGGTGGAAGAGAAGCGGGGGAGTGAGACGGCTGTTCCGGCTGCTGTTGCTGCTGCTTTTGCTCTTTCTGCCGTTGCTCCGAGTCCTCTTCCTTCACCTCCTGCCCTTCCCTCTCCTCCGCACCCTCCTCTTTCACTACTTTATCAACCACTGCCCCTTTCACCCCTTCATCACCCTTACCCACTCCCCGCTTCGCTTCCCCCTTGCTCCCCTCCTCCCCCTCCTGCTTCGATTCCTCTTTCCCGTCCTCCCCCTCCTTGCCCTTTCCATCCGAATCCTTTTCCTGCCTCTTCTGTTGCAGTTGCTGGTTCTGCTGCTGCTGCTGCTGGTGCTGGTGGGGGGTCATATTTCCCCCCATTCCTCCCATTGCCCCGATGCCCGGGCCCCCACCAACCCCCATGCCTCCCCCCATGTGCATTCCCATGCCCATATGCATGCCCATTCCCATTCCCATACCCATCCCCATGCCCATGCCCATGCCCATCCCCATACCCCCACCCATGCCCATGCCCAAGCCTCCCATTCCCATGCCCATTCCCCCCATCCCAAATGGCATTCCCGGCCCCATCCCCCCACCCCTGCCCATGCCCTCCGGCCCCATTCCCCCCATTCCCCCCATCCCCCTCCCCCTCCCCGCCCCATCCCAAGGCCCCGCCCCTGCCCCTACCATACCTCCACCAGGGGAAATACCCCCTGAAATACCCCCTCCTCCCCTCCCTGCCACGCCTTGCCCCGCCCCAGCTGACCCAGCCCCCCCCCCTCCTCCCCCTGCACTACCCCCATCTCCTCCCCCTGCCCCCCCTGCTCCTGCTCCCCCTGCTCCTGCACCTCCTGCCCCACTTTCCCCCTTCCCTGCTTCTCCCTCTTTCCCTCCCCCGCTTCCAGCCCCGCCCCCTGCTCCTCCTGACTCTGCTCCTCCCCCCCCAGCGCCACCACTTTCCCCAGCTCCCCCTCCCCCAGTCCCCCCTCCCCCAGGGCCCCCGCCCCCTGCGCCTCCCATGCCCCCTCCCCCTCTCCCCTGCCCCCCCAAGCCTGCATCCCAGCTGATAATCCCCTCCCCTCCCGCTCCCTCCATATCCCCCCATCTTCCACCTCCCCTTCCCCTCCCCTTCCCCCCACTTGCTGCTGTTCCATCCCCCGGCCCCTTCCCCATGCCTCCCCCCCGCCCCTCCCCCCGCTCCTCCCCCTACCCCTGGTTTAAACCCCGGCCCAGGCCCCCCTCGCCCAAACCCTAATTCGCGCATGTGCGCGCCTGCCCCTGGGGACCCCCCTCCACCCGCGCCCCTGGGTCCCCCAGCACCCAGGTGCGGGGGGAAGGGCGCGCCCATCATCCCCCCGCCCCCAGGGAAGGGCGGAACCCCCGCCCCTGAACCCAGCCCCCCAGGAAAAGGCATCCCTGGGCCTGGGAACCCATGAAAAGGGGGGAAGCCGCCTGGGGGAGGCATACCCGGGGAAGGCTGACCTCCTGGTCCCACAAGCCCCTGCCCTCCCGCTCCCCCTGCCCCTGCCGCTCCCCCTCCCCCTGCTCCGCCCATTCCCCCGCCCCCTCCCACCCCTGCTCCGCCTCCTGGGCCCGGTTGTCCCCTAGGACCCGCCATTCCCCCCCATCCGGGCAGAAACCCCTGTGGCCCTCCCCCTCCGCCCCTCCATGCTTCCCCAGGGCGCAGCATCCCGCTGCCCCCTCCTTCCCTCCGCCCCATGACTCTTGGTCCGCCCATTCCCCTCCTCCCCGCGCCCCCAGGCTCCATTCCCCCCATTCCCCCCGGTCCCCCAGGCCCAGCCATCCCCCCTGCTGCTGCTGCTGCTGCCGCTGCTGCTGCCGCTGCTGCGGCATTGCCGGACCTGCCAGGGGTAAGCAGGCCTTCCGTACCTGCGGGTAGGTTCGGTGGAGCAGGGAGAACAGAGGGTGCGTCTATACCAGGGCGAAGGGGCGGGGGAGGGGGGAGAGAAGGGTCGTTGGACGCATCCGCCCCACCTCCCCCTCCTCCTCCTCCTCCTCCCCCTTCTCGTCCCCCTCCTCCTCCTCCCCCTTCTCGTCCTCCTCCTCCCCCTTCCCGTCCTCTCTTTAGCCCAGGGGCCATATCAGACCGCCCTTGCCACTCCCCTCCCCCTCCTCCCCCTCCTCCTCCTCCTTCCCCTCCCCCTGCCACCCCTGCTCCCCCTGCTCCTCCCCCTCCTCCCACTCCCACTCCTCTCCGCCCCTCACCCATCCCCCTGTCCCCATCAAAGCCTCCTTTCTCCCCTTCCATCTGGCTCTCCCTGTCCCGATCTCGCCCCCTCTCCCTCTCCCGCTCTCGCTCCCTGCCCCTCCTTGCCTCGTCTACCACTGCTCCTTCTCCTGCCACACTAGAACCCATGACGGATCCCTCTCTATTCGCCCTTCCCACTCTCTCCCCTCCATACTCATCCTGATACATCCCCCCTCTCTCTCTCTCCCTCCCTCCTTCCCACTCCCTCTCCCTCTCCCTATCCCTGTCCCTCTCTCCTTTCTCCCTCTCCCTCCTCTCCCACTCCCTCCTTCCCCACTCACCCTCCCTCTCCCTATCCCACTCTCGTTCGCGGTCCCAGTCACGCTCCCTCTCCCAGTCTCTCTCTCTCTCCCTCTCCCTCTCCCCGTCCCTTCGCAATCGTCCCTCCCTACCCGACCACCATCTGGCCTCCCTTTCCCCTCTCTCCCCCCTCTCACCCCTCTCGCCCCTCTCGCCTCTTCCCCCCCTTTCCATCCTCTCCCCTCTCCCCCCTCTCTCCACTCCTTCGGCCCTCTCCCCTCGCTCTCCTCTCTCCACCCTCTCCCCCCTCTCCCCTCTTTCCCCTCTCTCCGCCTTTCTTCCAGCACCAAAGGTTCGACCGCTCTCCTGTCGTTCAACCCTCCTTCCACCCCTCCCCCCATGCTCCCTCCCCCCACGCACATACCCTTCCTCCTCCCCTTCTCCCTCCCTTTCTCCCCCCTCTTCATCCGTTTCTCTCCCCTCTTCCCCCCTCTCCTCTTCCTCCTCCTCCTCCCCAATACCTACTCCTTTCCTCGTTCTCCTCTCCCCCTCATCCTCCCCAAATCCCTCTCTCCTCCTCCTCCTCCTCCGCTTCCTCTTCCATTGCTCCTCATCCTCCTCTGCCTCCTTGCCCCATTTCCCCCCTCCCTCCCGCCCATCCGCTCCCCACTCCTCCTCACCCTCTTCCCCTTCCAGCCCTTCACCTCCCTCTCTTCTCCCTCTCTCCTCCCTCTCTCTCCTACGACCTCTTACCCCTCTCTCCCCCCCTTTCTCATTTTTCAACTGCTGCTGCCAGATACCTCCTTCTCCAATCGACCCCTCCCTTTCCCCCTTCTCACCCTTCTCACCCTTCTCCCCCTTCTCCCCCTTCTCGCCCTCTTCTCCCTTTCCTCCCTTCGCGCTCGCTGCCCCCCTCTTTCCGCTTCCATCACCCACCTCTGCCCTTTCCCTTCCCTTCATAAGCAGCGTTGAACCCACAAAACCAGCGTCACCAGCAGCACCACCACCACCCTTCCCTGTCCCCACTAGTTTCAGCCCCTCTTTCGCCTCATCCCCTTCACCTCCCGTCGCCCCCTCCCTCCCGGCTGCCTCCGCCTGTGCCCGCCCCTCGCTGTCTCTTCCAGGCGCCTCAAACGTGCGTCCCTGCCTTGCCTCGCGAGCAACGGGAGCCTCAACCTTCCCCTCGCCCTCACCACCCTGCCCCCGCTTGCTGCCTGGTCCCTCTACCTTCACACTCCGTCTCCCCAGCACAGTAGAGTCAGCGGCAGCAGCAGCACCGGTCACAGCAGCAACACCGCCATCAGCAGCAGCAGCGGCGGCGGTGACAGTAACGCTGGTAGCAGCAGCAGCAGCAGCAGCAGCTGAGGTCAGTTGGGCAGGTACACTGGTATCATCACCACCAGAAGCAACACCACTATTATTAGCAGCAGCAGCAGCAGCAGCAGCAGCAGCACCACCACCACCACCACCACCGCCACTACCCAACATCCCACTCTGTCTCTGCTTAGAGTAACTCTGATTCAGAATCGCCAGTCCCTCTCCCAGAGCTCCCCTTTCCTCCTTCGCTGCTTCCTCCTCTTCCTCTTCTTCCTCCTCCCGCCCTTCTTCCTCTTCCTCCTCCCCCATTTCTCCTGCACCTTTTCCTTGAGCCCTTTCCACGAATCTTCTCATCCTCCCTGGCTTAGAAGACCTTCCATCGGTCTCACCTTCCCCGGATAACACCTTTTCCAGCTTAGCTCTCTCAGTTGATACCTTCACCACCCTTCCCGCCCCTGCTTCCACCTCCCTCACCACCCTGTCGGTACCCTCATAGTCGATAGGAGCATTTGTACTCTCTTTAAGCCTCTCCGCTTCTGCTTCCAGCCCAATTTCGTTCTCCACAACTCCCTTCTTTCCCCCATGCTCCCTATCCCTCCGCTCCTTCCTCCCATCCCCACCCTTCTCCCTCCCCCTCTCCCTCCCCCTCCCAACCCTTTCCTTGCCTCTCCTCCCCTCGTCCTCACCCTCCTCCTCATCATCCTCCCTCTTTCTATCCCTTCCCCACCTCCTCCCTTCTCCTCTCCCCTTCTCCTCTCCTTCATACTTCTCTCCGTCCTTAATAAACGAAGCCCTACCTTCCCGTCCGCCCGCCTTGGCACCCTTTCCGCCGCCCCTGAGACCTGCCACAGGACTCCCCTCGTCTTCCTTTTGAGAAGTCTCAAAAGTCCTGCCGTCTCTACCGCCCGCCTTGGCACCCTTTCCGCTGCCCCGGGCCACTGCCACTGGGCTGCCCTCGTCCTCCTCCTTGTGCCGCTGCTGACGCCCCTTCTGCCCCTTGCCTCTCTCCTTCCTTATGTCGCGCTGCTCGTGCTCTGCAGGGAGGAAGGAGGGAGAAGGGAAATTAGGGTGAGAAGGGAGGGAAGGGTGAGAAGGGAGGGAAGGATGAGAAGGGAGGAGGGAAGGGTGAGAAGAGAGGAGAGACTGGTGACGCGTGAACTGGGAGCAAAGAGGAATACGAGTGTAGTTCGAATGGTTGAAGTGGTTTCTGTACTGGGTTCCTGTGATGGTTCCTGTGATGGTTCACGTGATGGTTCATGTGATGGTTCATGTAATTCACGTGGAATAGGGAGGCTGCATGATTTGCGAAATCAATGTTCCAGGAAGGAGGTCAAGAGGTGACATACCATACTTATATTTTGGTGGATAAAAGAGCTAAAATTCTGGCTCAATGTGTCGTGTGGTGGATAAAAGAGCTAGCACACCTGAACCAATGGGGGGTGTGTGGAGAATTCTCAAAAATACCATAAAAGAGCTAGCATACATGAGACAACACGCTGGCACATGGGTGCATACCTGAGGAAGACGACAGCCCCGGCGAGTCTGCCCGCCTGCCTCCTCGCTTCCCATGCCTCCACTCCCTACGCTCCCCTTCCCCGCCATAATCACCACGCCTATAGTCACCCTGCCATTCCTCTTCCACATCCCTCCTCCTCCTCTCCTTCCCTCTTACCCCTTCGTCCCGTGCTTTCCCCCTGTCCCTCTCCCCATCTCTGTCACGCTCCCTGTCCCTTCCTCTCTCCCTCTCTCGCTCTCTCCCCCTCCTCTCCCTCTCCCTGCTCCTCCTTTTCTCCCGGCTACCATGCAATGCTGAACCTCCCTCAAGCTCTGCCTCTTCCTCCTCCTCCTCCTCCTCGTCCTCCTCATCTCTTCCCTTCTCTTCTTTCTCGTCGACCGCTTCCTCCCTTCTTCTCACCGGATTGAACTCCTCATCACCGGCCTCATCCCCTCCCTTGCCTCCCTGCCTTGCTCTTCCGGCTCGGCCACTCCTTTCCACTCCCCTCTGTCCCTCTTCCTCCTGATCATCCTTCCTCTCCCTCGCTTCTCTTTTCTCGTCCTCACTCCTCGCTTCCGTCACCTTCCTGCTGCTCCCCTTCTCCCTCCGCTCCTCCCGCCGCGAAACCCCCAGCTTCTCCTGCTTGTCTTCATACGTCCCTATAAGAGCCTCCGTAGTTAATACCCCACCTTCCCCGAACCGCTCTAGGTCCTCAGGCGCCTCGAGATCCTCGAACAGCGGGCTCCGTGGCGCCTCGAACGCGACCTCGATCGCATCGATGTCCACGAACCGCGCGTTCCAGTGCGCGTCGTCGTCGCCATCGTCGCCCGCATCGCCAACCTGCCCTGCGACAGGCCGTGCGACAGCCGCCTGCGACGTCTTCTGCGACGCCTTTGCTGCAGGATCCGCCTGAAACGACAGCTCACGCCGACCGTCACCGCCTCCCTTCCCTTTCAACCGCGCAAATCCTCTCTCCGGACTCTTTCGCCGATTGCGATCCGGAAAATCATTTCTATCAGCGGCATCGTGGCTCCTATCCGGACTACCGATTCCTCTATCCCCCTTCTCCAATCGGTGCCTTCTCCGGCGTTTAGACTCCCTATCGTCGTCCCGGTCCCGGCTTCTCTCTCCTTCAATCTGCCGCTGACGATCCAACCCCTCGCCATTCTCCTCCTCCTCCCTGCTGTGCGCGCGTTTCGCGGATCCGGAAGACCTATTAGCGGAATGACGGTCCTTTCGGTAAGGGAAGGCGGCACCCCCGCTGCCGCCTATTGGCGTCGCGAAAGTAGCTGTAGCAGCTATAGCGGCTGTAGCAGGGACGGTTGGAGGACCTTCCGCCGCGTCATTGTCGCGAGATGCTTCGTAATCTGACGCGGATCCCGGCGATTCGTAGTCGTCCGATTCGTTGTGCCGACGGCGCGTGTGCCTGGATCGGTCCTTATGCCGGTGGTGGTGGTGGTGATGACGGTGGCGGGATGTATGATGCGATTCGGTGTGGCCTTGCCTGGTGCGACCATGCGGCTGCTTCCCCTCCTCATGCTGTTGCTTCCCCTCGTCGCTTTTCCGCCACCGTCGTCTCTCCGCTGCGCCGCCTTCGCCGCTTCCTTCCGCGTCGCTAACGTCCGGATCGCTCGCTTCGTCTGCCTTCTCCCATCGGCTAGGACGGCGCATCGCACGGTGCTACCAGAAACAAATTTCCGGGTCTAAAGGAGGACAATTACCGCCTAAAATGCCATAGGAAACTGCTGTTTGTCTAAAGATCGCTTCGCAGAACGCCACTTGAGATAAGCAGAAACCCTAAAGCAGCGACGCGTGGTTGGGAGTGTTTGTGAGCGAGTGCTTCATGGAGTGGCATCATCGGGAGAGCCTGAACTTGGGATTGGATCAGTCTCACATGAAAGCGTGGAGGGTGTACTCATATTTCCTGAAACCTGAAACTCGTATCTTGTTCCGTACATTTGGAGTCCTCATCCCGCGCTACGTGGAAAACGAGTGGAGCTTATAGGGAGTCTGATCTTGGGTATCCTGTGTCCGTCTTTCTGTGCTCAGCAGGTTCAGTTCAGCCTCACGCTTAGCAAAAAGCGAGACAAAGGTGCGAAAAGGTACATGCACCCGAACTTAAACCTTTGGTGGTTGTAAAGATTACGGTTGAACCCTGTCCATCCATACCTTCCCCAAAGACAGGTTCTTTTCTTGTTCCGCTCCGCTCCTCTCCCTGAAGAACCACCCCCAGGCGCAGCGGCGGACCCAACCCTACCCAGCCAGTGACGACGCTATTTCGGCAACATCCATGTGCGCTGCGCATAGCATACACCGCGAGTTCCCCTCCCACCCACTTCCAATTTCTCCGCGTGTTGCCCCCCCCCCCCCCCCGCTTTCCCCGTTCAGGCCAGCCCGCGGCACCCTCCTTTCCCCCATCGCTTATCCTCACCAAATCCGCTGAAGGTTCCTTGGCTCACAGCACCTGCAGCTCCTCCGCCAGGAAGACATCTATACCTACTCATAGCCGTACTATACCGCAATGCATCGTATGGTGTCTCCCTTTTATGCACAACCCTGTCTCATCACCTCCAAGAATGTGTATTTCTCCTCTTGGCTTGCTTCTGGCCAGCCATATCCCCGCCTCACCAGAGCGTCTCACGAGTTTACTCCTGTCCCTGGTTGGGTAGGGCAACCGTTGCTACGTGTTTGGAGCCTGGCCTGAAGCGTGTCCAGGATTAGCCTTTACCCGGATCCGCGTTGACCAGGAATAGTTTCGGCCAATCATTAGTTTCGACCAGGAACTTTCCTGCGTAGAATCTCTATGACGTGCGGGTGGACGCGTCGTGCAAAGGCTCTAGTTGTGCAGCGTGTCGTATAGCCTGCGCGGACAGCGTGCAGCGTCGCGGACAGCGATTCTTTTTTCGAAGCTATTCGCGAAGCCGTTTCGCACAGATCGGACCGTTGGAGCTGTAGCGTGTGATTCGACAAAACCGTCGGCATCAAGTCAGCTATGGCGTCCATGGTGAGCTCGTCCTTTGCACCCGTCGTCGCAACTTGTATCTTTCATTCGCCTGGTGCTTGGTGAGCCCGTCGTCGCACCCCATGGTTTCCGGTTCTCTCCATTGCTGACAACGGGCCCATGAATTTCCTTGAAAAATGCGCGTATTCTCACGGTTGGATCGTCGGCCCTTTGGTTTCACTGGGTCCATCGGGTCCATCGGGTCCATCGGCTCCTCATCTGCTTGACTCAAGCGTTAACTTCACGCTCTGCTGCCCTTCTAACATGAGGCAAGAGGATCCTTTGGTTTCACTGGGTCCATCGGGTCCATCGGCTCCTCGTCTGGCGCATGGACGACATGGTTTGTCAGGGGAAAAGCGCGGTGTGACGTGTTTAGAGTCGGCTCAAAAGCAGTTTGTCGCTCGAACGAGTCGTTTTGTTAGAAAAAAGCATGGGGATTGACGGGCAAAACATCAATCGATGGACACGAAGAAAAGCGCAGTGAGCCGTTCGTAACGTCTCTCGTTCGTAGAGAGAGAAAGAGAGAGAGAGTCAATCGGAACCTCTGCCGAAGTCCACCCTTTTCAATCTCCCAGGTCAGTCGCGTGTTTCGTATCGTTCAACCGAACACCCCACAGACCTACTCTTCCAAAATGCTTTGCTGAACGCGTCACGGACTCGTCGTAGCGTGACATTCATACCGCGCAGCGATGTAGACTCTTGGTTCAAGTGTCACGCATCTCTGGTTCATCGCGCATCTTACACAGTTGGACCGTTACAGCCATGCCATGCAGCCTTCCACTGAAGCACCCTCCGCCCTCTCCGCTCTCCTCTCCTCCCTCTGCCCTCTCACCTCTCCCCTCCGCCCTCTGCCGTCCCCCTTCTCCCCTCCGCCCCATCCCCTCTGTTTGATCCAGGCTGTAGCGTCGGCGGCAGCACCGGCGTCAGAAGCGGCGATGGCGTGTGCTGTAGCCATGCAGCCTTCCACTGAGGCGCTCTCTTATCGGATTGGGGGCATGCTGGGCATCCTCGTTAGTAGCATGTGAGACATCATCGTTGATTTGTAGCGTGTGTGCGAGTCATGTGCGTGTGTGCGAGTCATGTGCGTGCGTACTGATCACACACTCTCTCATCGAGTCCTTGGACGCAAAATACGTACAGTACGCAGATCTCACACCCGCAAAATACATTCGGGGTTTTGTTTTGGCGAAGTTCTCTGTTGTGGATACAGTACGGTACGGATCACACACTCTCTTATCGAGTCATGCGACGCAAATTACTTGGTGGCGAGTCTGAGGACAGCAGCACTCGCATTGCACCTCACGCAGCTTGTGTAATGGGTGGGATATATCATATACGTGGGTTGGGCTCATTCTGGGCTCATACTACCGGTGCTTGCTTAAGCATATGCAGTGGGCAGCTTCAGTTAGTATGTGTGCGGCGTGCCAGTGCCGTTTGTCAATACATTTGCCTCCATCCGCCGCTCCACCCATCCGCACCCATGCGCACCGATCCGCACCCATCTGTACTGGCTTGCCTTCTTTCCTTTTCATTCTTTCCCCTTTCCACACCACACCATCACGACGACCCTCCTCACCTTCGGACCCGCAGTCATAACTCCTCAACACCTCTTAACCCCTCCCCTCCTCCCCCCTTTCCCCTTCCCCTTCCCGCCCTCCCACTTTCCTTCTTCCAGCATCGGTTTCTCGTTGCCATTCCTACTGCGCAGGCGGCACAAGCCGCTGGACGCTGGACGCTGCTCTTCTTCTTCCGGGCCATGGCTGCTGGCATGTCAGAAGTCTCCTCCCTCCTCCCCCCTCCCCCCTCCCCCCTCCCCCCTCCCTCCCTCCGTCCTTCCCTTTTCCAGCATTGGTTTCTCGCTGCCTTTTCTTCTGCGCGGGCGCCACAAGACGCTGCTCTTCTTCTTCCGGGCCATGGCTGCTGGCATCGTGCTGGCAGTTGCCATCGTGCACATCTTCCCAGGTGCGTTTTGAATATATTATCTGCGTTGCACGGGTATCGTGCTGGCATTGTGCGGCCATTGTGCTGCCATTTCGCACATCTTCGACCCATCTTCCTCCCGCTCCCAACGCACCCTCGCAATCCCCTCTCCTCCCCTTTTCACTGGACACCAGTCTTCATCCCCTTCTCTGCACTCTGCTCCTTCCTCATTCGCATCCTCCAATCTTCTCCCCAGCCAGGTGCACAGGAGGCGCTCTCAAACTACATCTGCTGCTGCTGCTACCCGTCCTTTCCCTGGCCTCCAGTCTTCATCCCCTTCTCGACCCTCCCGCTCCCTGCTCCTCCCCGTTTTCTCCTCTCCTCCCCTTTAACTAGGTGCACAGGAGGCGCTCTCAAACCCGTGCCTGGACCTCTCCTCCTCCCCCTTCCCCTGGGCGCCGGTCTTCATCCTCTTCTCAGCACTCTTCTCCTTCCTCGTTGAGTGCTACCTCAAGAAGCTCCTGCTCCTCTCCTGGCGCCGCAAACACCCTGCTGCTGCTGCTGCTACATCTGCCGCTGAATCTGCTGGCTCTGCTGGTTCTGCTGGTTCTGCTGGTGGGAGCAGCAACAGGAGTGGCGGCAAGAAGCGGAGGCTGGGTGCGGGTGGTGTGGGGCGCGTGGCACGAGTTGTTGCTGCGCTGCTGGCTGGCGGGAGGAGGAAGAAGGGAGCGGGAATTAGCAAAGGCGGCAATGTCGGTGGCAGCGGCGGTGGCCGGGGAAACAGCAAGAGGGATGGGAGGTTGAGGGAAGATGGGAAGCAGCAGAAGGCATGGCAAACGGATGGGGGCAGCCCCCCTGATGTGGCATGCCATGTCATTTCGAGCCATGCCATGTCGAGCCATGCCATGTCGAGCCATGCCATGTCGAGCCATGCCATGTCGAGCCATGCCATGTCGAGCCATGCCATGTCGAGCCATGCCATGTCGAGCCATGCCATGTCGAGCCATGCCATGTCGAGCCATGCCATGTCGAGCCATGCCATGTCGAGCCATGCCATGTCGAGCCATGCCATGTCGAGCCATGCCATGTCGAGCCATGCCATGTCGAGCCATGCCATGTCGAGCCATGCCATGTCGAGCCATGCCATGTCGAGCCATGCCATGTCGAGCCATGCCATGTCGAGCCATGCCATGTCGAGCCATGCCATGTCGAGCCATGCCATGTCGAGCCATGCCATGTCGAGCCATGCCATGTCGAGCCATGCCATGTCGAGCCATGCCATGTCGAGCCATGCCATGTCGAGCCATGCCATGTCGAGCCATGCCATGTCGAGCCATGCCATGTCGAGCCATGCCATGTCGAGCCATGCCATGTCGAGCCATGCCATGTCGAGCCATGCCATGTCGAGCCATGCCATGTCGAGCCATGCCATGTCGAGCCATGCCATGTCGAGCCATGCCATGTCGAGCCATGCCATGTCGAGCCATGCCATGTCGAGCCATGCTGCCCCTCCGTGCTGTGATGCACCATGCAGTGCTGCTGCTGTTGCTTGTCATGACACAGCATGCCATGATGCCACATGCCATGACATCCCATGCCACGAAGTGGTCTGTCATGATTCCACCTGTCACGACACCACCTGTCACGACGCCACGTGTCCGGAGGTGACTTGCCCCGAAGCAATCTGCCATGACTGCCCAGAATCCACCTGCCACAGCACCGCATGCCATGAGATTACATGCCATGACGCCACCTGTCATGATGCCACTTGTCATGATGCCACGTGTCATGAAAGTACCTGCCAAGGTATTACCTGCCCAGACACAACCTGTCCAGATAACGCCTGCCGTGGTGTCACCTGTCTTGAAGCCACCTGCCCCTCTGCTGCCTGTGGTCAATCCCAGTGTGCTGGCTCTAAGTGTGTTGACTCCACTTGCACAGACGCTAAGTGCGTTGACGCCAAGTGCTTAGCTAAGTGCTGCGAGACCAAGTGCCCCGCCTGCCCCGACTGCGCGCTGGACGTGAGACCAGGGGAGGAGGAAAAGGCAGCAATGAAAACCGGGAAAGCGGTGGAGTGGGAGGAGCAGGAGGGGCGGGAGGAGAGTGAGGAGAGGCAGATGAGGGAGGCGGTGGCGCTGTCGTCGCTGCGAGCAGTGGCGTACACGCTAGAGATGGGTATCATCTTCCACTCCATCTTCATTGGGATCGCTCTCGGGGCGAATCACGACAGTGCGGAGATCAAGGGGCTTGCAATCGCCCTCGTCTTCCACCAGGTGTGTATCCTTTTGCTCGTTTCGGCCTCTTGGAGTCTCTTTTGCATGCTCCATATCTGCCCCATTCCGCGCCTTCATCTTCCACTCCATCTTTATTGGAATCGGCCTTGGGGCGAATCACGACAGCGCGGAGATCAAGGGGCTTGCCATTGCCCTCGTCTTCCACCAGGTGTGAATATTTCTCCATGTGTCCCTCATTCTCTTTCTCCCTCTAAACTTCCAACCCGAAACCCTCTGTCGTCTCAGGAGGTTTTCTATTGCCCTTGTCTTCCACCAGGTGTTAACTTGTTCCATGCCTCATAACCCTCCTCCATGGCTACCTCGATTCTCTCTCATTGCTGCCTGTCTTTATAAGGTTTAATACGTTTGCGCCTCTCACTGGATTGTCCACTGTACTTCCTCCCCTCTCTGTCTCTGCTATCAGGGCTTCGAGGGCATAAGTCTTGGTACCGCCATTGCCCCGTGCCGCTTCTCGCTACTCAAGACCCTATGCATGGGGCTGCTTTTCGCATTCACCACGCCTCTGGGCGTGGCTATAGGGTTGGCCGTCCAGTCGTCTTACAACTCCAACAGCCAGGCAGCTCTGGCGACTGAAGGCGCGTTCAATGCCGTGTCCGCCGGCATCCTCATTTACAACGGACTCGTTGACTTGTTAGTGCCGACGTTCGACGAGCACGACGAAAACACCCCCAAGGATCCGGTTGCGTATTTCTTTGGGTTTGTGTTTTTGTTTCTGGGCGCTGGGGCCATGAGCCTGCTCGCCATATGGGCCTAGAAATGACTGGGGAACTCGTGCTATTAATATTGATTCTTATTTCAAGCCACCCTGCTGTGATTAGGTTATTGCAGCATTTGTAGAATGCTTGGTACTTATTGTCTCTCTCATTCCTCTTGTATTAGGATGTGTCTTTTGGTTGAACATGTAACCGATGAAGTTGGGGTTTTCGTGAATTTCTCTCGCCAAGCAATCTCCCAAGCAAACCACACTCCCAGATATTCTCTTCGGCAATCCCAAGACCACCACTTTATTCCTAGCACACGCTCTATCCACTAACGCGCTTCCTCTGTAATCTCCTAGCCGCTGTCTAGCAAGCAACTTTTGGATCGGGCCAAGATTGTAACGGCTAGTTATTTTTCTCGTTTTAGGAGCGAGTTTTTAGCGTCGACGGTTTCCAAAAGCGAAAATGGGAAGCGGCGCGGGTCGAGGGAGGAAAGGCGGACCGACGGGTCGTCGACACTTCTCGACAGTCGAGGAAATGAGTACGCATGGGGAGAGCACGAGGAGAAGAGGAGGGGGGAGTGAATATAATATGTGGAGCTAAGGGTAGGATAAAGTGGATTGGAATTCATTGGAGAGTGAATGTCGGTTGTGTACTTGAATGCTCTGATCGGGTCGCGGAGTTCTGTCCTTCCTGTACCTGCTCCTAGCTCTTCGTGCGTTCGTCGTTACGTCCGATCTATATCCACCTACCCTCCAAACCCCTCGTTGTAATTAGCCAGCTCCGTCAATTTTTTAAGAATCTTGACTCAACTACCACGTAGATAGTTTCGTAGCTTATTTTGTTTCTAAAATTCAATAGTAGGCTCTTTGTAACTTCGTTTCCCCTCATTTGGCGTCCTCTCGCTTTCGTTCTCCCTTCACCCTCCTCCTCAACCCTCAAACCCTCTCCTCCTCCCTCCCTCCCCATCGCCCTTCCTTCTCCTCCCCCTCCCTTCCCCACCTCCTGTGTCGAGCCCGCAGAATCAGGCACGTCATCTGAGCCTAAGTGGAAGCAGCGGCGGGTGAGTGCCGAATTCAGTTTCGTACGCACGTGTCGTGTTCACAGACATGCATTGTCTTCTTTTTCTTCATGGAGCTTATTCGAAGGAGTCTTTGTGGCGTAATTGCCTTGTTTGCTTCGTCTTTGACTCTTTTTAATCCTTTTTAAAGACGTCGTCTTTATGGCGTGGAGTTGATGGCTCTCTGACCTGGCGCTAGCGGTCTTTGACGTCTTTGTTGGGCTTTAACGAACCATCATCCATGTCTCATGCTGCAGCCATGTCTCTCCAGCCATTCGCTTCACTTCTCCAGTTCAGTGAACTGAAATTTCTCTCGCTTTTTCTGGTTGGGTTAATCTGCTTCTTCCGATTTTCCACCGGTCACATTGGCAGAATCGGGATCAGGAGGACGACCCTGAGGAGGAAGGGGAGGAGGGGAGCAGTGAGGAGGAGTCGGAAGAGGAGGGGGAGGAGGTGAGAGGGTTGGGTTGAGACATGGGCAGAACGGAGCGGAGGGGAAGAGTGAGAGAATTTGTGAGAGAGGGGAAAAGGGAAGGGGAGGAGAGGTGTGGGGGAGGAGAGGGGGGGCGGGGTGGGTGAGAAGGGAAGTGATGAAAGGAGAGGAGGGAGCCTAAACCTGAAGAGACGAAAGAGAACGAGAAAGGGAAAGAGAATGGGGAATTTGAGAGAGGGTTGGTACGCGCTTTTTTATGCAAGAAGCACTTAACGTTCCAACTGCAAGTCTTGCTCTGCAACCTGGCCATTCGTGCTGCTTCCTTCTCTCTACAGGCCCTCCCTTGTTCCCCAAGCTTCTCTCTCTTTCCCCACGCCCCACTCTCTTTCCCCACGCCCCTCACTCTTTCTTCACGCCGCTCTCTTTCTCCCCATCCCTCTCTTTTCCCCCCCGCTCCTCTCGCGTTCCCCGCCTCTCGCTTCCGTGGCACCCTCTCTCCCCCTCGCCAGAAGCACAAGGGCGTGGTGCAACTGAATCAGTTCAACTGATTACCGTGGAGAAGGGATGTAACGCCTCTGACCAGAATCTCCGTACTCCCCCCTCCCCCTCTCTCTCCATCTCTCCATTGCCCTCTCCCCCCCCCCCGCCAGAAGAACAAGGGAGTAACGGGGCTGATCGCTGTGGAGAGGGGATTGTGTAAAGACGTCTCAGACTAGAATCTCCGTACTCCTCCCCTCTCTCTCTCTCTCTCCATCTCTCCTCCATTTCTCTCTTCCCCCTCGCCAGAAGCACAAGGGTGTGGCAGGGCTGATCGCCGTGGAGAAGGGATGGTGTTAAGGCGTCTCGGGCTAGAATCTCCCCACTATCCCTCCCCTTCTCCCGCGCCCCCCTCCGCCAGAAGCACAAGGGCGTGGCGGGGCTGATCGCTGTGGAGAATCCCAATGCGCCAAGAAAGGCCGCGGTCAAGATTTCCCAGGCGGATGTGAGTATAACGAGGGGGTGGGTGTGAAGTGGCTGTTGTGAGTATAGCGAGATGGGTTGGTTGTGAGTATAGCGAGATGGGTTGGTTGTGAGTATAGCGAGAGAAGTTGGTTTTTGTGAGTAAAAGGGGTGGTTGCGAGTATTACGAGATGGGCAGGGAGTGTCGGAAGCCTGTTGCATGATGGGACGAACCTTTGCCTTGACAGTACCCTGTGCCACGTTTCCCCTCCGCTCCCCTACCCATGGATTTGAGACGTCTCACAACCCTTGCCTTGACAGCTCTTTTTAGCGAGAGTGAAGCCTCTTGTCTTGTTCCTCGGCCTCACATTCCTCCCCTCGCTCTTTTCGTCTCTCCTCCCTTTCTCTGTCCCCCCCTCTCTTTCGTCCACGTTTCCCCTCTTTCTCGTCCTCGCCTTCTTTATCGCTCCCTCCTTTCGCTCATCCCTTCCTCCGTCCTTCCGTTCCTCGCCACTCCCAACTCCCTTGCACCTCGTCCTCCCCTCTGCACATCTCACCCTTTTTTAGGCGCCTCAAAAACCCTCCTTCCATTCATCCCTTCCTCCTTTCGTTCCGTTCCTCGCCACACCCAACTCCTTTACACCTCGTCCTCCCCCCATGACATCTCACCCTTCCCTCCTCCTCTCTCCCGTGTTCCTTCTCATCCTTGACAGACCAATGCCACCACGCAACTCTCTCGCCGTGAAAGGTGCGTTTGCGTTGACTATTAGTAACAGTATCCAGCACTAGTAGCTCGTTCAGGGGCAGTGCCATAGCTTGCGACATTTTACATTGGCGTGCCCGGTGCATGCAGCGTCTCTATAACTCCCTCAAATGGTCCTTTCATTGATGTAGGCCAAATTACACCACATGCGTCCTCCTCTCTCTCTCTCTCTCTCTCTCTATGTCTGTGCTTGGGATTGTGCATCTGCTGCTTGTCTGAATGGGCGTGATTGTATGCGTGAGCCGTACTGCGTGCATTTGTGTGTGGAAGTGTGTGTATTTGCGTGCGTGTGTGCGTGAGTGTGTGCAAGGTGTGTGCGTGTGCATGTGCGTGTATGTGCGTATGTGTGTATGGCTTTGTGTTTCTGTGTCTCTGCGCTTGTGCGAGGGCAGGGAGGAGATAGAGAAAGAGAGGGGAAAGGAGCGATACATGAAGCTGCAGGAGCAGGGCAAGACAGAGCAGTCCAAAAAGGACCTTGGTATGTTCATTAAAATAAATGTTAATCATGTCTGTGCCTCAACAGACATAGCTGTTGACCAAGGGAGAGGGGTGGGTGGGTGTGGCAAAAGGTGTGCTTATGCTTCTCCTCATGCGCCTCGCTTATGCTTCTCGCTTTGGCGTCATGCTTGTGCGTCTTGCTGATGCTTCTCTCTTATGCGTCTCGCTTATGTGTCTCATGTACCTGAACGAATGTGTCATCTGAGTTGACTCAAAAGTCACCTGAATGAATGAGCCATACGTGAGACGGGGACGGGTACTGGTGGACAAACTCAATTACCCTCCTATGGCCTCATAAGTTACGCTGCAGCTTATTTTTCCCCGTATTCAGTAACTTGATGTTTCTCTTTACAAGACACAGTCGGTCTCCCATCCCCTTTTCTTCCCCCCAAGACCCCATTCCCCCATCTCACTTAATGGTCGTCACCCTTCACCTTGTAACGTTCCTCTCTCCTTCACCTTTAGCACCCCCCCACACACCCTTCCCACCCCCTTGTTTGCCTGGCCCTCTGTGCGTACAACAGAGCGCTTGGCTCTTATTCGCCAGCAACGGGAAGAGGCGGCTAAGAAGAAAGAGGAGGAGCGATTGGGTAAGTACACTTTTTGCGGGTATTGTTTCAATATTTTCTTGTTCTTGTGGGTATTTATAGTTTTCTTTTCATCTTCCTGCTTCCTCATTTGTTCTTGGCAACTGGTTTTTGTTCCTCTTTTTACAGTAAGCTCGCCTTTCTCAATCACTGATTCTCCCTCAATATCACCTGCGTGTGCAGCTAAGGAGGCCAAAAAACTAGAAGCTCGCAAAAGATGACAGCATGCAACAAGGTCTGCATGCTCACAGTTCAGTCAATCTTGCTGTGAACATTTGTCTCTATTCTTGTACTTTAGTTGAAATGGTTGAATTGGTTTTTACATAATCCAGCTACCGGTATTCGAACAATCATAACCCCTCCTGCCAAAACCCTGTGACTCCCGGTACTCCCCAGGCACACAAATCCGTGTGCGTTTCAACGGTGGTTTTCTGTCGACCACTCCAGCATCCTCGGTTCGCATTCACCGTCCAATACCGCACTCTGGAAGACCCCGACGTTCCCGAGGCGGGAGCTTAGATAACCTGCGCCCCGAGCGACACTAGCGATCTGCCGAGTGACATTAGATACGCCCTGAGCGATACAAGCAGGATATGTCACTGGCGGCGGTGATTTCCAAGCGGACAGGTGTATTGTAGAATGGCGAGCTCGATTCTTTCCCCGTGCGTCGCCTTATTACCGGATAAAAAACTTTCTCGTGTTTGCGGTGTTAGTCAAATAAGCGGGATCCCGGCACTGCACGGTGGAAGTTTCAGGTCTGTTCGCGATGGTTCCCGCCTCTCATCCTGCCACGTCATTGTCCGCCGCCATCTCCGCGGATTCTGTCAACGTGGCACCCTTCCATTAGCGCAAAAGGTGAAACTTAGCCGAGTTGCTGCTCGAGCTGAGTCAGCAGGATCAGGGAGCGGGAATGGCGGCGGAAATGACAGCGCAGAAACCGTCCCAGAGCAGCGGCAATCCGAAAACGTTTCAGAGGTCGAGCCTATCAAGGTGGAGGTCTCGCCGAACCTGACCATCGCGCTCGGCGACGAGGTTCGGCGGTTGGCAGCAGGTGCGGACGGAGGTTCGGAGGGAGCAGCCAGGGAGAGCGGTCTAAGTCTGATCGAGCAGAATGAACGGAGAAGGCAAGCTCGAAAGGCCGCTGCCGCCGCCGCCGCTGCTGCTGCTGCTGCTGCTGCTGGCGATTCCTCTGCTTCAGCTGATCTTCCTTCTACAGTCTCGCTTGTAGATTCGTCAAGAAGTGGGGAGGCACCAGCAGCAGCAGCAGCAGCAGCAGCAGCAGCAGCAGCAGCAGCAGCAGCACCAGACTCAACAGCACCAGCAGCAGCAACAACGCCAGGTGAAACGCGCGCTTTCATCGCTGACGAGGCGGCGTACGTATCCATGGTGAAACGCGCCGCGGCTGCCACGTCAGCTTGGCGGCAGGCGGTACCGTTTCCCCTGAGTGATTTCTTCTTCGATCCTGACGGAGTGGGCTTTAAGAGGGGGAGGGAGGAAGAAGAACGGCTGATTCATGACATCTATTTCAAGGTACGCGTGATGTGCTGTCGTGAACTTTAAGAGGTCTCAAACTCAACACTGTAGTACACAAATCATACATGTATAGTGTATGCTTTTGAGTCGACTCAAAAGCAGACTGCATTGCGCAGTTCATACATGTATTGTGGTGTATCAAGCAATGTATGTCCTCTGTTTCTCCTTGGATAATATTTGTGCTGATGTGATGGGGGAAGCGGGTGGGTGGGAGAGGTCCAGTAAATTTTGTTGCTTAGTTGGGAGGTTCGTTCCATGTTAAGGTCAAACACACAAAAGCACGCTTTTTTAAAGGAGGGAAACGAAACAGAAATTTTTTCTTCTTCTTGTCTTCTATGATGCACCCTCGCTGCGTGCACCCGTGCAGGCTGAGAATGGCCGGCCTTTGGAGCAGGTCGACACAGAAGCTATCAAGGCAAAGGTGTGGTTGTTTATTTATCACATGCCATATTGTTCCAGGGCACAACTCTCCCAAGCACATGATGCAATGTCTCCTTGCAGTGCATGCCCCATGATTTGCCTCGCTCTTATCTTTCCTGCATACCCACCCCAGCAACAGGCTCTTCTTTTCTCTCCTGACCTCAATCCCCTTGTGCTGGCTCCTCTTGATATATTTTCAAACGACAATTCTTGTTCTGGCTTCCGTGCATCTCTCTTCACCCCACTTGTACCGTCAAGGTGCTGACGTCATCAGGGTTTGAGGTTGAGTCAGCAGTTAATCCACGTCAGTGCCAGCAGGGCGTGGTCTTCTATGGCCGCCTCTCTGCCCCTGCTCCCTCTGTGTACACCACCATTCAAGTAAGCCGCTGCAGCACCATTCAAGTAAGCCGCTGCAGCACCATTCAAGTAAGCCGCTGCAGCACCATTCAAGTAAGCCGCTGCAGCACCATTCAAGTAAGCCGCTGCAGCACCATTCAAGTAAGCCGCTGCAGCACCATTCAAGTAAGCCGCTGCAGCACCATTCAAGTAAGCCGCTGCAGCACCATTCAAGTAAGCCGCTGCAGCACCATTCAAGTAAGCCGCTGCAGCACCATTCAAGTAAGCTGCTGCAGCACCATTCAAGTAAGCCGCTGCAGCACCATTCAAGTAAGCCGCTGCAGCACCATTCAAGTAAGCCGCTGCAGCACCATTCAAGTAAGCCGCTGCAGCACCATTCAAGTAAGCCGCTGCAGCACCATTCAAGTAAGCCGCTGCAGCACCATTCAAGTAAGCCGCTGCAGCACCATTCAAGTAAGCCGCTGCAGCACCATTCAAGTAAGCCGCTGCAGCACCATTCAAGTAAGCCGCTGCAGCACCATTCAAGTAAGGTTCCATCTTTTAGGCGCCTCAGACATCACCTCTCTATCCCTGCTCCCTCTGTGTACACCACCATTCAAGTAAGGCTCTGTTTCTCGCTCTCCCTGTCCTTTTCGGCGCCTCTCTGCCCCTGCTCCCTCTGTGTACACCACCATTCACATTGCAAGTAAGGCTCTGTTTCTCGCTCTGTCTGTCAGGGTGCGTGTGTATGTAATTGGCAATCCACCCTCTCTAGGTACGTTGCTTCTATTCCGTGTTTGGTGGCCTGATCACATTGCATAAGGCTGTGTTTAGTACACAGCACAACCGCCCCTCTGCTCCCTCCAATCATTTTCCCGGTTTCCTTTTCTTTCCTGCTCCTGCTCCCTTCCTTCCGCATTCGCCCTCCTCCCCTCCGTCCGCCTTCCTCCTCCCCTCTATCCGCTTTACTCCTCATGCCGTTCTCCCACCAGGCTCGCCTAGACACCTCATTCCCGGGCCTCTGCGCAGTGCTCGCTAGAGACGACATCATCCGGCCGGCAATCAGCGTCCTTATTGCCCCCCGGCAACACCTCCTCTCCTTCTCCCTCCCCCGCCCCGTCTTCGCCTTCATTTCCTGCCTCACTCTCTCACTCTCCCTCCTCATCCTCTCCTCCTCTCTCTCTGTTGATCCCACACTCTCTCCCACTACTTCTCCTCTCCTCACTGCTGCCACCGTTCCACTTGGCGTGCTTTTAGTGACTGCTGCTGGGGCTGGGGGGAGGGCTATAGCAGCACAGCAACACGGGGTATTACAAGCCCTAGATACGCCACTCCCTCTACCCTCCCCTGCCTTCGGGTTGTTCGGAGTTCTATCCCCGTACAAAGGGTTACTTCCAAACCGTACCGTTCTCCTCGATCTATCCCTCAGCAGTGCCATCGCCTCTCTCTCTGCATCTGCTGCTCTAATCCTCCTCGGCCTCCTCCAATCCGATACAATCACACCTGATGTAGTCACCATTCCGGCCTCCACCTTCTCACACTCCCACATCCTCTCCTCTCTCGCCTCTGACCTAGCATCGGCCGTACTCGTTACAAGCCCCGACTCCCTACAGTCTGCAGTCTCCACAGGCGCTTCTACACTAGATCTCGCAATAAACCCTCTCGTTCTAGCCGGATTGCTTGGGGTCAACCTCTCATCTCTCTCCTTGCTACCTGTGGGCATTCTCGATGGGGGTCGGATAATCACGGCACTGCTTGGAAGGAAGCAGCAGCACGCAGTGTCCATGGGTGTGTTAGCAGCAGCAGCGGTTTCCCTTGTGCTCAGACCAGACGGACGGGAAAATGCAGCAACATGGCTTGTGCTGGCGATGGTTCTGCTCAAACGAGATGATTGGTTTCAACGGGAAGAGGTTTTGGAGCCGTCAGGAGTGAGGAAGCTGGTTGCTGCTGCGCTTGTGGTTGCTTCGATATTGATATTGTGGCCTTGACGTGACATGACATGAGATGGGTGATAGACTCCCAAACCAGGATGCAGTATCCTATCCAGTAGGGTTCTCCACATAATCACACCGGTGCCGTATGTGTACTGTAGCATGAAGCTGTATTCCGGGAGAATGAATGATAATGTACGGTAGTGTTATAATTTCAAAGGACTGGGTATGTTTTGTATCATAATGAAATAGAAAACAGAATTCATCGAAACAGTGCATGAGATGAAATATGAGAGGAAGGAAGGAAACGAGGGAAGGAAGCCAAGGAGGAGAGAAGGAATCCGAGGAGAGAAGGAAGCCAAGGGAGTGGACTGTGTCCCCACACCACCCAGTACCAGGTAGAGCCAACGTAGTCTCACGACTCTCACCCACTCTTGGTCTGTAAGTTCAGAGAAATTACACATTCAGCTTTCAATTGAGTGTTTATGTGGTACTATTATGTACAGGCACATCAACAGATGCTCTCTTGCTCCATTACATGCTATGCTAGGCTAGATGGAAGGAAGGAACCTTGTCTTGAGCTGTATCGGATCAGTTGATGCACTTTAACTGGTGCCGGTTGTAGCTAAGACGAGGAGGGAGGTCAAACTCAGGGTGCGGTGCGGTGGGCCTGCAGCAAGTTGCACCTCCAGGGCCATTACCGTACATCCTAACGAGAGTAAGTTTATAACGAGTATGTAAGTGGTTGTGGGTCTCAGAGAGTGGGTCGCAGAGTGCCGGGTTCAAGCAGGTCACGGCAGGAAGGGTGTCGCTTCATGAACGTCTCCTTTCAGGAAGGGGAAAAAACAGGGTGAGGTGTGATTGTGAGAGGCTGACATGAAGGCTTTTGGAGTTTGCAGAAACCAACAGAAATTATGGGAGCACGGATGAAATTTGGAAAAATGTGATGAAATCTGATAAGATATGATCAGATTTGATGGAGGGACGGAATGGCACAGTGGAAAGGAAGGGGAGGGGGAGGGAAGGAGAGGAACGGCTGCAAAAGTGGGTGTGGTACAGAGGAACATAGCACATGGAGACCGAGGCTCATGCAGTGAAAGTACCGTACCCAAAGAAAAAACGACCACCACCATCAGAACCACATAGGTAAGGTTTAGCATGCCCCCCCACGCCCACACCACGTTCCCCAGCTTTCCCAGGCCCCCACCCCCTTCGTCTCTTGGCCTGGTTGTTAACTAGAACTTGGGAGAGACCCATGACGTAAGTGCACGTGGCTGGCACGTGGGTGGCACGTACCTCAACATAAGAGCACGTGGGTCGCACGTAGAGCCCGTTCTCCTTTGCGTAGTCGCACGCGGTTCCGCACAGACGCGCCGCGAGGCCCTCGCCGCGTCGACTCGGCGGGACATACGTGTGCGTGATGTCCATCACGCCGCGTTTCACGCCGCTCGTCGCGCCGCCGATTTTCCCGGCGCTCGTCGCGCTCGTTGCTACGGAAGCTTCCGACGACGCGGCGGCCTGGGAAGGCGAGAGAAGGTCGTATTCGGCGTACGCCTGGCCGTCGCACGTCATGAACTTGTGCGACGCGCTGTCGTGCACGATCGTCGCGTGCGATTCGCGGGGCGGCTCTTGCGGTAGCGCTTGCGACGCCATGCTGCGGGACACTGCGATTCCGCTAATCCGCCTCTCGCGAAACCCCGGTGTACCGACTGGCGGTACCACAGACGTAACAGCAGGCGTGAGTCGAAGTCGGGCTGTGGTTGTATTCGAGAGAAGCGAACGCGATAGAGAGCGTAGAAACATCGTTACCGTTCGCGCTAAGGAACTTTGTGGCGCAATAAAGAACCTACATGCAAGATAGAGCTGGCTTCGAAACAGCTTGCAAAAAGGACCTACGAGAAACAAGCTAGAAGACGAGTTCATAGGGCTCAGGGTAAGTCTCCAGGTGAACAGGGTTCAGGAGACGATGCATCTTGACGGCGATAGAGCACTTGGGTAAATTATTCAGTCAACTAAAAATAATCGACTTCCCGACACATGCACTCCAGAGCGCATCGAGCAACAGCCGCACATGCAGCTTGTCCGTCACGAGTCAGGCTCGAACGGTCCAATCCAATCCACACATGCACGGCAGCCCGCGATCAACCGTCTCCCTCAGTCACCCAAATAGCTAGACTGTCATTTCTCCATTGCCCTTCGAGTTCTCCAACAGGGGGAGTTGGAATCCAACGCACTTGGGGATCTTCCAATCAATGCCTACTGGATGGACCGTCCTCCTGCCTTCATTGCCTTTCCGAGTCCGCCTCAAAAGACGCCGGCCTGTCTTCGGAACGACGGGCTCGACTCACATCGCATAATCACACGTCCCACTATCACATAATCAGATAATCACACGGTGAAATGTTTTATCATCAGGGCAGCGAGCAGCTCTTCTTCTCCCATGTGCCGTCTTTCTTGAAATCTCCGCGACGGCTACTCCTAAGGAGTCCATTAGAGCACGGAGCAGGCCTTTTTCTCCCACGTGCCGTCTTCCTTGAGTCCCGGCCATGGCTTGCACGCGCACCGCTTGTCCTCCGGAATGCTCTTGTACACGCTCTCCACGTGCATGCCGCACCCCATCCACGTGTACTTGCCGCACGCCTTGCACGGAGTCTTGTGACACATCTTGACCACGTGGCAGCACGGGGTAAGCTCGCTTGTTCAGATAGTAACGGCAGCGGGAATACAGACGCCCGGTGTGACGTGACGTGACGGATTGTTGAGGCGAAATTGATGCTGACACAAGAGGCGATGGACTACTGCGATTAGGAGAGCTGAGATGAAACGAACAAGGTTAGGGGAGGTAGTGAGCGTGAGGTGAGATTAGCCAACTCGTGAATTTACTCGGAAAAAGCTTTGAGGAAGGGCTGGCTGCGTAAATTGCGTACGAATCTGCCAGCTGCCATGGCTGCAAGCTTCGGAGGGGGTACGAAACTTCGACAGAAATTTGTTTGCGCATGACACATGTTCAGGAGGCTAAATCCGCGTTACTGACTGACACCACCGACTACGTCAAACTCAACCAATAGACCCAAATCAATTTCACTGTCATGAGTAGAACAGCAATGGCTGTCTATTTGCATTACAGGCCTTTTCCAACTGGTCAGAATAGAAGTCCTCATACAAAAGACATGACTCCATTCCCCCAATATCCAGACGATCTTCCCTCCACTGAGCCAATTTTGGCTGGAATCGAATGAAACTGAGGCTTTTCTGGCTAATTTAGCCAGGAATATAGGACTTCACAGCTCAGATCAAGCAAGCGGCTGACTTCACCAAAACTGGACCCAACACTGCACATTCTCCAAAGAAACGTGGCTTGGGACTGGGAGCAACCTTGTTGACTGCCTATCTCTCTTTCGAGATTGAAAGGCCAAAACTGGGCTAAGATCACGCCCACAGGGCTAGCAAGCACATGGAGAACGCACCCAAGAAGAGTGACACAAACCCAAGGAAGTACAGCACCGGAGACTTGGGTGTACCCTCGTCGCTCTCGTCAAATGCAGGCACTACGAGGTCAACGAGGCCGTTATAAATGAGGATACCCGCAGAGATGGCGTTGAAAGCTCCCTCGGTCGCCAATGCAGCCTTGCTGGCAGGGTTGTAGGACGAATAGATGGCGAGGCCGATGACAACACCGACGGGCGTTGTGAGTGCAAAGAGGAGCCCCATAATGACTGTTTTGAGCTTGGAGAATTGACAGGGGATGAGTGTTGTGCCAAGACTGATGCCCTCAAATCCCTGTGCATGCACAGCAACACGACAGGAAGACAAATAGAATAATAAAGCTCTGATGGGGACTAGAGAAGAGTTTGGATTTGTTTTAACCAATTTTACAAAAGCACGTGTGATTCATGAGGCAGGGATGGTGCAGGCCGTCTTACCTGGTGGAACATGAGGGCGATGACGAGACTTTGGATTTCCTGAATATCTTGTGTTGTTCCAAGGGCGATTCCAATGAATATAGAGTGGAAAATTATTCCAGCTTCGAGTGTATACGAAGTTGCACGGTAACCACTGACGATGAGCGCCTTCTCATCCTCTTCCGTGTTCAACCCGCACTCGATGCACTCGCCCTCTGCCGGCGCATGATTTTTCTCGTTTTTATTTTGCATCGATGTTAGTAGAACCTTCTTTAAGTAGCACTCCACGACGAAGGAAATAAGGGCCGCGTAGAGAACGAAAATGGACGCCCAGGGAAATTCTTCCGCAAAACCCAGGCAGGGGTTTGAGAGGGCCTCTTGTGCTCCTGAAGATGGGATTTTGGCAATTGGATTGTAAAAATCCAGTCACATGAATTCAACTCATTCTTTTCTTCCAATCAGTAATCCAATAGATCCAAAAGGGATGGAACAAATCTTTTGCTTTTTGTATTCATCCTTGTTACCATTAGAAACGGCAACAGGGTTTCCAGTCTTGCAATAAGTGGGAGTTCCAGCCAATCAGGTGGGTGAGAAGCTTCAATACCGGACACACCATGATAGTCCACCCAGCTTATCCTGCGTATCATTTCACCATGACGGACGTACCTTTGAGAATTCTCAAAAGCGGACGTACCTGGAAATATGTGGACGATCGCGACGGCGAGCACGACGCCCGCCGCGAAGGTTCGGAAGAAGAAGAGGATCGATCGATGCTGCTTCCGGAGAAGGAAAGGCAAAGCGAAGCCGATTCTGTGAAAGACGGGGAATTGGGGAATATTTAGTTGAATCGAAATGGCAACGCGACGTACACACGACAATAGCGAGACACAGTAATAAGAAAACAATATGAAAATGCGGAACAGAGAAACTCCACGCTCGCTAGAGTTACACACGTCTCGCAAGTACAGATAAACGCAAGCACAGATAAGAGTATACAAGAGTAGCCACGAAATCTGTATAGAAGCTGGAGCTCACAAGCTGCACACGAGAATGCCAAACATTCCGCCGATCCTCCATGAGAGCGCCTCTGCTCCGCCACCCCCGCTGACCGCGCACTCCAGCTCCCCCGCTGGCCCTGGCGCAGGCTCGTTGCTCTCGCCCCCCTGCACGGCGACAGAGGAACGTCACAGCGGGGACGACAAATGTGAGTCAAAGGTGGCTTACAGAGAAGTATGGAACCGGGGGTGTGCGGGGGGAGAAGGGGAGGATGGGGGCCGCGGAAAAGAGAGGGGTTGGGGGTTCGAAAAGTGTGGAGGATGAGGACGAGTTTGGGAAAGGGAGGATGGAAGCGGACATGGAGAAGAGGGGGGTGTACCCTGCTTCTTGGGTGGAAAAGGCGGGGAGGCTTCGCACCATCTTGTTTGCAGGCGAATACGCTTGATGTAGGGTCGGTAATAGAGCAAAGTACGGCGACTGACACGCGGGTGGTACCGAGTTGGTACTAATTGGAGATACGTAAGTCGACGCGCGTGGATCGCGAAACAAGGTTAGTATGCGATCAGGAAAGGTGCTGGTGGTTTCCTTCGCTGACAGAGAAGTTTCGACGACAATTGCGGACCAGGAACGAGGAGTGCTCAGCGGAAGGAGCGGGAGAAATAGAGGCCGCGAGAAAGACCCAACGATTCCTGGTCAGGAATTGCAATTTCGAAATGTATTACATTTATGACTGGCCCGAAATGTGATTCACTGAGGAACGCTCTTGCGCTGAGGGCGGCGAAAACTGATCCACTGAGCTACTTGATCCATTCCACCGAGTCGCGGCCATAGCTTCTGCGTCCACATTCTCGTAGGGAGGTGCTTTTAGGTGAAAAATGAATGTGGCGGCGTTAGTGGCGGATGGAGGAATCGGAAGCAAAGAGGAGGGTCGGGGGGAATTGCGCCAGTCTGTAGCGTAGGCGGAAAAACAAATCGGGGGGAATTGCGGAAGGGTGAGAGGCGGAGGATGCTGGGGAGGTTTGACTGGTTGTGAGGGCAGGTTCGTTCGGATTGAGCTGCCCTTGGAAATGATTGGACAAGATTCTTTTGCTGCCAGATACAAGAGAGTCGCGACTCGCAACTCGCGACTCGCGAAGCCAGGGAAGGTTCATTCATAGTGTGAGTTCCAGCCTGAGTGGGGGAGGGGAGGGGAGGGTAGGGGACGCCACGCCTTGCCTCTCCGAGAGTGAGGATATGGTTAAATGCTGACGTGTCCTACACCGGTTGGATTAGCGGCCAGGTTTCTTCTGTTCTTTTGTTCCTCAACTATGGAACCTGATAAAAGTAGACTCGGTAAAAGAATGTGTGCACCTCCGAAGTCACCTATGGGTTGAAGTGTATGGCCTTTGTAAACGAAATGAATCATTTGGTAATTCAGAAATTGTGTGCTAGTTGGCCAGATTCTAACAATGAAGTGAACAGGAAAATTTGACTATTTAAAACTGGTTAAATACAGGTATTAGCGCATTATATCACGCCAATGCAATATCCAGATATTTCACTCCAAGAATACGAGAACATGTAATTGAATATTATTTTTTTCTGTCGTTGTTTCCAATGTACCACTTCTTGAATCCTCCTATCATGAATGGCTCCTTCATGGTGTCACAGAACTGACAGCTCCTTCGCGCCACATTTTCGTTCGTTTGCAGCCAGCAGCCCTCGCTATTGGAACAGGCAGCAATGTGCACTGGTTCAGAAGCTCAGGTTGCACGGACTAGCGTAAATCACGGGCTCGGTAACGCTTGACCTTGGCAGCGTATTATAGATACCCGTAAGTACGTTAGACGACTAGCGTCGTGGCGTAATTTGTTGTGAAAACCTGTAATAGGAAGGGGAAAACGCGTGTGCATGACGCCGTGATCAACATAGCCATAGTTCGTGAGCGAAATACTACAATATTGTCAGCCGTAGAATACGGGTTGTAGAATCTCGTCAGTTGTCAGTTGTAGTATCCTGGTTTCGCTACTGTCCCCTGCTAAGAGAGCAAGCCGGCCATCTCGTTAACGAAATACTTGTTACACTAGTGTCAGTTGTAAAATCCCGGTCGCTACTGCTTTCGCTCTCATCAGTCGCAGAATCCCGGTTTCGCTACTGTCACCTGCTAAGAGAGCAAGCCGGTCACTGAAAAGGAACAGCGGAAGGGCTTTTGTATATCACAGCCTTGTCAACTAGTGTCGGCGTATGGATCTATTTTCCTTTTTGCTTCTTTTTGTCGAAGTTAGCGGTGATTGTTACAAGCCCACAGCTGCGTAGCTTGCTGACATGGCCTAGATAACTCACTGCTGACGTGTCACCCTCCAGTTCCCGCCATGTCAGCAGCTAGCCGTCGCCGAAAGAGCATCAATGCGCTGGCGTCCCCCACTCGCGTGTCGACACGTCGGACAGCACGGACGGTTATTGACTTAGCGTGTGACGACGCAGAAGACAGGGAAGGGAGTCAGGAAAGGGAGGAGAAAGATGGTGTCCGCGACAATTGCGAGAAATATGGTAACCGGGCGAAAAAGGGTGATACTGAGAAGGAAGCGGGAGGAATGGGGGAAGAGGATGGAAGGGAAGGAAAACAGTTGTCCAAGAACGGGCGTGGAGACAGGAGGGGAAGAGGCAGAGCACCGGGAAGAGGTGGGAGAAGAGTGTTGGCAGAGAGGAGGGGAAAGGATAGTGATGCTGACCGGGACGAGCAGGTTGATAGAGGCGACCTGGAGGAAGACCAGGGGAACCAGGTTGACCACGTTGACCGGGTTGACCGGGTTGACCGGGTTGGAGTAGAGCTCCCGTCTGGCTGCAGATTCGTGCTCGGTTTAGCGGCTCCTCGCTCTCACAAAAGAGCTCTGGAAGCGACTGGGGGCTCCGGGAAGAGAGTAGTAGGGTCGTCTCAGCGTTCTGAGAAGAGAGCTGTAGGGTCGACTGGGGTCTCTGAGAAGAGAGCTGTAGGGACGACTGGGGGCTCTGAGAAGAGAGCTGTAGGGTCGACTGGGGGCTCTGAGAAGAGAGCTGTAGGGACGACTGGGGGCTCTGAGAAGAGAGCTGTAGGGACGACTGGGGGCTCTGAGAAGAGAGCTGTAGGGTCGACTGGGGGCTCTGAGAAGAGAGCTGTAGGGACGACTGGGGGCTCTGAGAAGAGAGCTGTAGGGTCGTCTGGGGGCTCTGAGAAGAGAGCTGTAGGGACGACTGGGGGCTCTGAGAAGAGAGCTGTAGGGTCGTCTGGGGGTTTAGCGAGGAGGGATTCACGGAAGCATGGCAGTAAAGCAGGGCTGCGCAGTGCAGGCGGCGAGGGGAGGGGCGGGAGTACCCGTGCAATGGGAGCAGACGAGGTTGGAGAGGAGGGGGCGGAAGGGGAGGAGGGAGACGAGGGGGAGGAGGGAGAGGAGGGAGTGAAGGGAGAGGAGGGAGAGGAGGGAGAGGAGGGGACGAAAGGGAAGGAGGCGGAGAAGGGGGAGAAGAGGGAGGTGGGGGAAGTAGGGGAGGAAGCGGTGGTTGGTGAAGCGGTGGATGGTGATGCGAGAGAAGATTTATGTAGCCCTAGTGAAGATGCTTGTATGGAGGATGGAGATGAGTTTGAGGCGAAAGATGGCGTTTTGGAGGAAGGTGGCTGCAGGCGTGGTGAAGATGCTTGTGTGGAGGATAAGCGGGAGACAGGTTGGGAGGAGGGGAATGAGGTGGAGAGGGGAGGAAGAGTTGAGGGAGGTGGAAAGGAGGGGGATGGAAAGGAGGAGGGTGGAAATAAGGGTGGTGAGAAGAGGGGTGGTGGTGCTTTGGGCGGTGGGTGCAATGGTAGTGCGGTTGCTGATGCTGCTGAAGCAGCAGAGGGAGATGGGAAGGGGGGGGATAAACAGGGGGGGTGGAATAGGAAGGGTGGTGAAATGGGGGGTGATGAGAAAGGGGAGGAGGATGAGAAGAGGGGAGATGAGGGGGCAGATGCGCAAGGAGGGGTTATCAAAGTTGTCACAACAGTGCCACACACTGCAGTGGCTGAGGCAGGAACTAGCACCCAGCAGCACCGTGCTCTTATCGAGTCTGCTAGTAACGAAAATGCCCTCATCGACCCGTCGATCAGCTGGCAGCAGGGCGCAACTGTGGCGTCATTAACCCTTGGGACGGCGTCTCACAAGGGCGCAATCGTGGTGTCGTCATCTCCTGAGGGCCAGTGTGCTGCCAGTGCCGGCCCACACCCGTGCTCCCCCCGCCCGTTTGTCTTCACCCGAGACCGATGCCAGCAGTGGCTTGACAGGTGAGTGCTCTGCTATCACATATGATTCAGGTGTCCTTCCCTCTCACTCACATGGAATGGGACTCTCTCAGCATAGCATGCGGCACCGTTTGTCGCCCGTTTGTCTTCACCAGGGACCGATGCCAACAGTGGTTGGACCGGTAAGTTGCTGCCGTACGAATTGTTCAACTGCATGCATTTCTCCCAGAAAGCTCACCATCTCTTGCCTTGCCTTGCGCCCCCACCTCCCCCCCCCTCTCTCCCACACCTGTTTGCCTCCTCCTTCCCGTGTGACAGTCCCTGGTGCTATGAATCGTTCTATTGGTGCTTTCGTCATGGTAGTTTTGCGTTCATTGTTCGCTCTCCCACTCATTCTTCCCTCCCTTCCAAGTCCACCACGTGCTTCCCTTCCTTTGCTTTTCCCTCCCTGTCTCTTTCTCTCTCAAAACCCCCCTCTTCAATCCCCTGTTCTGCCACTTGGCAGGGTCGAAGGGCGGGCGTTCACATACCCCACCAGGTATGTTGCGATAACTTTTGAGTCGAGTTGACTTTTGAGTCAACTCAAAAGTCAACTGTTCTGCACCTTGGAAGGGTTGAAGGGCGGGCGTTCACATACCCCACCAGGTATGTTGCGATAACTTTTGAGTCGAGTTGACTTTTGAGTCAACTCAAAAGTCAACTGTTCTGCACCTTGGCAGGGTTGCAGGGCGGGCGTTCACATACCCCACCAGGTATGCCGCGGTGTGACACAGTGGTGCACGGTTCACGCTGGTATTGTCTAGTCTAGGTATCTATTGAGTCAACTCGGAAGTCACCTCTTATCCCACCCACCATGTATGTTCATTTCATACACAGCATGGTGCGTGGTGTGGTGCACAGTACAGTGGTTGTGCAGTGTTGTGTCTAACTATGATGCGCACTGTGTGAGATAGTGTGGTATGGTATGGTGTGGTGTCAAGCTCTCTCTTCATGACTTTTGAGTCGACTCGAAAGTCACTATGATGCGCACTGTGTGAGATAGTGTGGTATGGTGTGGTATGGTATGGTGTCAAGCTCTCTCTTCCCGCCGCCCACCATCGTGCCCCTCCCATTATCTCTCCGTAAAAGCGCGCAGGCAGCTGCTGGGAGCGGTGGAGGTGAAAGCAGCGGACTTGCAGCGGCTGCAAGTGGAGGAATCAAGTGATGTCAAACCTGCTACTGCTGCCCCTCGCGCCCCTAACTCCCTCCCTCCCGTCTTCCGTGCCTTACTCTCTTCCACTCGCCTCCCCATGCATGCAGGCAGCAGCTGGGAGCGGTGGAAGTGAAGGCAGCGGACTTAAGTGAATTCGAACCCTCACATTCGTAGCTTCCCTCCGTCCCTTCCTCGCTCTTTTTGACTCACCTCTCCGTGCAGGCAGCAGCTGGGAGCGGTGGAGGTGAAAGCGGCGGACTTGCAGCGGCTGCTGCCAGGGGAGTGTTTGAACGACACAGTCATCGACTTTTATGTCAAGTAGGTGTGTCCTTGGTTTCACTGGTCATGACAAAGAGCGGCAGTACTACTAGGGGATGTCTTTAACAAACTAGTGCCTGAACGACACAGTCATCGACTTTTATGTCAAGTAGGAGTGCTCTTGTTGTAATGTCAAGTAGGTGAGTCTTTAATTGCATGTGATGTGATGCATGCTTTTTTTTAGTTCATGTCAAGTAGGTGTGTGCTTGATTCAGTTATCTCACCATTTTCGATGCCCCTGTCCAGGTTCACTGAATCGACGATGATGCAAGCGACTGATCAACTGACTCAACTATCGTCGCCTCTTCCTCTCCCTTCCCCATGCGCCTCTGTCCAGGTTCATTGAACAGACAATGCTGCAGGAGCCGCAGCGGTCACGGTTCCACTTCTTCAGCACTTTCTTCTCCACCTCGCTCGTTCGCGCCCAGGAACGATTTGTAAGTGCCCTGCCATGCGTGCTGTGCAGTGCTGAGCTGTGCTGTGAAATGCTGAGCTGTGCTGTGCAGTGCTGTGCGGTGCGGTGCTATGTGATGCAGAGGTCGCGGTTCCATTTCTTCAGCACTTTATTCTCCACCTCGCTCCGATTTGTAATTGCCCTGCTGCGGGATTCGTGAGTGCCCTGCTGCTGGCTGGTATTTTGAGACGCCTCCATATTCATTTCCACCTCGCTTTTCTGCGCCCAGCCAGGAGCGATTCGTAAGTGCGCCTCTGCTGTGCTGTGCTGTGCTGTGCTGTGTCTCTCTGTGCTGTGGGTTGCTGGGCTGTCTTGTGCTGTTCTCTCCTGTCCTTGCCATGCCGTGACGTTTCTTGCAGTGTGGTGTGGTTCAGTGCGGTGCGGTGCGGTGCTGTGTTGTGCTGTGCAGTTCCCACGCCCCCATCTCTCCCCCTTCCCCCTAACGCCACAAGCTAACTCAGGAGCCGCACAAGCTGCACCATTCCCCCTCTTACCAACCTCCCCCCCAACCCTCACCACTCCCCTCTTTACCCCTCGCCAGAAACTGACTCAGGACCCGCATGAGCTCATGCGGCTGACCAGGTGGACAAGAGGCACGGACATTTTCTCAAAGGACTTCATCGTCATCCCCTTCCATGAGGAGTAAGTCCCTCTCTTTCTGCTCTACCGATGGCTGGTCATGCTTGCGTGGTGCACGGAACAACCAAGGCAGACGAGGGGCACGGACGTTTTCTCCAAGGACTTCATCGTCATCCCCTTCCATGAAGAGTACGCACCTCTCTTGTCTGTCCTTGCTGTCTCTCCCCCCTCTCTGGTTCCTCTCTGTCCGTCTCTAGTTGTGCTTGCTGCTCTCTGTGCTCTCTATGAGTGGTTTCGCTGCTTATCCCTGCTTGCATCCTTGGTGAGAGGAGGGGAAGGCGCATCCTTGGTGCACCGCGCCATAGGCAAGGTGGACAAGAGGCACAGACATCTTGTCTAAGGGAATCATTGTCCTCGGCCCCGCGCCGCGCCTTCCCCTCCCCTTTTTTCTTTTGAGTCGACTCAAAAGCAGGCTCACTGCGGTCGCTATGAGTGATTTCGCTGCTTATCCCTGCTTGCATCCTCCTTGGTGCACCGCGCCAATGGCAAGGTGGACAAGGGGCACAGACGGACATCTTGTCTACGGGAATCATTTGGGAATCATTGTCCTTGGCCCCGCGCCGCGCCTTCCCCTTCCCTGTTTTCCCCTCCAGCTCCCCTCCAAACCCTTACCCCCACACACCGGTCTTCTGTCATCTGTGCAGGTTTCGCAGCCATTGGAGCCTGGCCATCATATGCTTTCTCAGCAAGGACGTGAGGAAGATCCCCCCCCCTCTACCCCCATGGTCTTACACACGCCCCATCCCCACTTGCTCCCGAATAATCTCTCACTCCCACAGGTTTTGCAGCCATTGGAGCCTGCCTGACCATCATATGCTTTCTCAGGTTTCTCCCTCTTTGTTCCGTCCCCTTCTTTCGCCTCCAACTCCTCCCTCCCAAACTCCCCCCCACTCCTTCCCGCCCATACACTGTCTTCTGCCAGCTGTGCAGGTTTCGCGGCCATTGGAGCCTGGCAATCATATGCTTTCTCAGCAACGATGTGAGGAGGAACCCCCACTCTACACCCATGCCCTTACGCCCCCTCCCCCCTTGTCCCCCAACCCCCACATACACTGTCTTCTGCCATCTGTGCAGGTTTCGCCGCCATTGGAGTCTCAGCCTGGCAATCAGATGCTTCCGCTCCGCAGCAACGGTGTGAGGAGGAACCCCCACTCTACACCCATGCCTTTACGCCCCCTCCCCCCTTGTCCGCCAACCACCACACATGTGTGTGCAGGTCTCGCGGCCATTGGAGCCTGGCAATCATATGCTTTCTCAGCAACGACGTGAGGAGGACCACCCGTAAGGCACCAGGAGAAAGCAGCAAGGGGTCAGGTGAAAACAACAATGGCCCAGGAGAAAACGGCAAGGCGCCAGGAGGTTCAGGAGAAAACAGCAGAGAAACACGAGGAGCAGCGAAGTTAAGGGAAGAGGGCAACGGGGGAAATGGGGGAGACAGGGTGAATGGGAGGGGGAGGGGCAATGGGGGAAAGGGGGAGAGGGGCAGGGGGGGTATCGGGGGCAATGGGGGCGTGGGGAGGGGGAGGGGGAAGGTGGGCGCTTTCCAGAAGATCCCGAAAGGAAGGAGGGCGAATCTGAAAAGGAGCAGGGCGGATATGAAAGGAAAGGGGTTGAGTGTGCAAGCGAGGGGGTGGCTTGGCCAAAGCAGGGAAGTGAGAGCACTGTTGGAAGGTGGGAGAAGAAGTGTGGGAAGCGAGAGAGGTGCTGACGTGGCAGAGGAGGGTCAGGAGGGCGGTATGAAGGGCGCTGGGAAGGGGAGAGGCAGCAGTGCTGGTAGAGTGAGGAGGCTTGCTGACGTGGCAGAGGTTGCAGTGTCGATGAAGGGAGGGGTGTTGGAGATAGAGGGGGAGGAGGATGAGGAGGGAGGGGTGGGGGAGGAGGAAGAGGAGGAGGAAGAGGAGGGCGAAGGTGGAAGGGAGGCGGTTGGGGAGGACGAGGGGTCTAGGAGGGAGAGACGAGGGGAGGGAGGGAAAAGTGCGAGAGTTGCGAGTGTGAACCAGTTGGCGAACCAACCTGGTGATTCTGACAGGGGGAGTCAAGAGAGAGTCGCTACCAGGGGTACCAAGCAGATTGCTGGTAATAATAGTCCCCGTGTGAGAGTGTTGAATCGGGATGGTGCTAACCAGGATGGTGCTAATAGTCCGGGTCAGAGGGTGCTGAATGAGCAGGGTGGTGATATCCCCAGTCCCAAGGTGCGGGGTGGCAGGTCGCATGTGAAGCGAAGGCGACTGGATGCTTTTGATGGGGGTGTGATGCATGATGGGTCTGGGGATGGCGCAGTGGGCTCGGGCGGCACGGGTGGCACGGGTGGTGTGGGTGGCACGGGTGGTGTGGGTGGTATGGGTGGTGTGGGTGGTATGGGTGGTGTGGGTGGTATGGGTGGTGGTATGGTGTGGGGTGTTAGGAAGCAGCTGCAAACACGCAGCAGGGCGAGGGGTAAGGCGAGAGAAGAAGCGCCAAGGGAGGATGAGGAGGAGAAGGAGGACGGGAAGGAGGAGGAGAAGGTGAAGGAGGAGAAGAAGGAGGAGGAGGAGGAGAAGGAGAAGGAGGAGGAGAAGGAGGAGGAGGAGGACGGGAAGGAGGAGGAGAAGGTGAAGGAGGAGAAGGTGAAGGAGGAGAAGAAGGAGGAGGAGGAGAACGAGAAGGAGAAGGAGGAGGAGGAGGAGAAGGAGGAGAAGGAGAAGGAGAAGGAGGAGGAGAAGGTGAAGGAGGAGGGGGAGGGGGAGAAGGAGGACGGGAAGGAGGAGGAGAAGGAGGAGGAGAAGGAGGAGGAGAAGGAGGAGGGGGAGGGGGAGAAGGAGGAAGAGGAGAAGGAGAAGGAGAAGGAGAAGGAGAAGGAGGAGAAGGAGAAGGATGAGGGGATTGGTAGTGGTGCAAAGGGGATGATGGACGTTGGTGGGAGCAGTGGAGTGGAAAGGCGTGGAGGGGCCGATGTTATTGTGACAGGCGTAGAGGGTGGAGGAGGGGAAATGGGGGACGTGGAAGGGAGGTGTGTGGGGGGAGCTAATGTGGCTGCGGGAGGGATTGCAGAAGAGGGGGAAGGGAAGGGTGAAGGGGAGGAGGAAGGGAAGAAGGGAGTGAAGGGGGAACGGAAGGAAGAAGGGAAGGAGGAAGGGTTGCAGGAGCATGGGGGGATGGGAATAAGAAGGGAGGTTGGGGAGGTGGTAAAGGAGGGTATGATTCTAGAGTGGGATGATGTGAGGGGGGTGTGGCGGCTTGGTGGTGGCGAGAAAGAAGCAAGAAAGAGTTTGGAGAGGCGAGGTGAAGGAGGCAAAGCTGGGGAGGAGAGGGGAGTGGAAGGAGGGGAGGGTGGTGGGGAGGGTGAGGGGGTTAAAAGTGAAGCGAGAGAGGAGGGGGTCGCTGGAGAGAAGGGAAGTCTAGGAGAGAAAGGAGGTGCAGGAACGGAGGAAGCTGTAGGAGAGGTGGGAGAAGGTACGGGAGTGGACAAAGGCTGCAGTTCTAGGGAGAATACTATCGTAGGGGTGGACAGTGTAGAAGGGGGGCGAGGGGGGGAACAAGAGGACATGAGGACAGGGGATGAACGGAAGCAAGGGGTGGAAGGGGAGGGAGGGGTGCGTGCGGGGGAGGAGGTTGGGATGGTTGAAGAAGAGGTAAGGAGTGGCGATGGGGAAGGTGAAGGGCAGGGCGTTGTGGTTGTAGAGGAGGGGAGAGGAGAGGGGAAAGAGGAGGGGGGAGTGGAGGGGGGAGAGGAGGAAGGAGAGAAGGAGGGATTGGAGGGGGGAGATGAGGGGGGAGAGGAAGGGGGAGGAGGGGCGAGAGAGGAGGGGAGAGGGGAAGGGGGAGAAGAGGCGAGAGAGGAGGGGAGAGAGAAGCGGAGGGAGGAGGGACGAGAGGAGGGGAGAGAGGAGGGGCTAGAGGAAGGGAGTGAGGGGAAAGATGAAAAAGAGGAGGAGAAATTCGAGAAGATGGAAGGGTATGATGAAGGTGGAGTGGAAGAGAAAGTGGGGGGGAAGGAGGAAGTGAACGAGGTGATGAAAGAGGAGAGGAAAGAGGTGAGGAAAGAGGTGAGGAAAGAGGTGAGGTTAGAGGAGAGGAAAGAGGAGAGGGAAGAGGAGAGGAAAGAGGAGAGGGAAGAGGAGAGGAAAGAGGAGAGGGAAGAGGAGAGGGAAGAGGAGAGGGAAGAGGAGAGGGAAGAGGAGAGGGAAGAGGAGATGAAAGAGGAGAACGAAGAGGAGAGGAAAGAGGAGAGGGAAGAGGAGATGAAAGAGGAGAGGGAAGAGGAGAGGAAAGAGGAGAGGGAAGAGGAGATGAAAGAGGAGAGGGAAGAGGAGATGAAAGAGGAGAGGAAAGAGGAGAGGGAAGAGGAGCGGAAAGAGGAGAGGAAAGAGGAGAGGGAAGAGGAGATGAAAGAGGAGAGGGAAGAGGAGAGGAAAGAGGAGAGGGAAGAGGAGAGGAAAGAGGAGAGGAAAGAGGAGAGGAAAGAGGAGAGGGAAGAAGAGAGGAAAGAGGAGAGGGAAGAGGAGAGGAAAGAGGAGAGGGAAGAGGAGATGAAAGAGGAGAGGGAAGAGGAGAGGAAAGAGGAGAGGAAAGAGGAGAGGAAAGAGGAGAGGGAAGAGGAGATGAAAGAGGAGAGGGAAGAGGAGAGGAAAGAGGAGAGGAAAGAGGAGAGGGAAGAGGAGAGGAAAGAGGAGAGGAAAGAGGAGAGGGAAGAGGAGATGAAAGAGGAGAGGGAAGAGGAGAGGAAAGAGGTGAGGAAAGAGGAGAGGAAAGAGGAGAGGGAAGAGGAGATGAAAGAGGAGAGGGAAGAGGAGAGGAAAGAGGAGAGGGAAGAGGAGAGGAAAGAGGAGAGGAAAGAGGAGATGGAAGAGGAGAGGGAAGAGGAGATGAACGAGGAGAGGGAAGAGGAGAGGAAAGAGGAGAGGGAAGAGGAGAGGAAAGAGAAGGAAGAGGAGAGGAAAGCGGAGAGAGAAGAGGAGAAGGAAGAGGAGAGGAAAGAGGAGAGGAAAGAGGAGAGGAAAGAGGAAAGAAAAGAGGAGAGGGAAGAGGAGAAGAAAGAAGAGATGAAAGAGGAAAGGAAAGGGGAGAGGGAAGAGGAGAAGAAAGAAGAGATGGAAGAGGAAAGGAAAGAGGAGAGGGAAGAAGAGAGGGAAGAGGAGAGGGAAGTGGAGGTGAAAAGGGGGAGGAAGAAGGAGAGCAAAGATGAGAGCAAAGAGGAGAGCAAAGAGGAGAGCAAAGAGGAAAGCAAAGAGGAGAGCAAAGAGGAGAGGAGTGAGGAGAGCAAAGGGGAGAGGAGAGGGGGCGAAGAGGGGGCAGTTTTGGTTGGAAACTTGGTTACACGTGGAGGGATGGCTGTAGCAGATGCTGCTGCTGTAGCTCCAACTGCTGCTGTTGCACCAATCGCTGCTGTAACAACAATGCTGTCTCCATTGGAACCTAATCTGTCTGCTATTACCACTCCTGCTGCAGTCTCGCGTGCTACAGCTTCTCCAGCTGTAGCTTCACCTGCTACTACTGCCCCTGCTACAGTTGCACCTGCTACACCCGCCCCTGCTACACCCGCCCCTGCAGTAGCTGCTGCTACAGCTGCCCCCACTACAGCTGCTACAGCTGCCCCCACTGCAGCTGCTACAGCTGCAGCTGGGCGCGGCATGTCTGCCATGCAGCTGCTGATGGGAGCAGCACGGGTTGGCCCTCAGGCCGTGGTCAAGGCCGGTTCACACCCTGCTGAGAGCACTTGTGATGGCTCTCGTGAGAGCACTCATGTGGGCACTCGTGAGGGCACTCGTGAAATGACTCGAGAGGAGGTTTGTGTTGATGATTCTGCTGAGAGAGGTTGCGAGGGAACGGATGAGAGGATTGCTCTTGATGCAGTTGAGGGGAGCTCTGAGGGAGTTGGTGCGGCTGCTGCTGCTGCTGCTGTTGCTGCTGAGGTGATTCGGGAGAAGCATGAAGAGGGGCAAGGCAGTGAGGGCGGAAAGAAGGTGGTCTTTGAGTCGAGCCCAGAGGTGTGTGGAGTGGTGGGGAGCGGTGTGAATGGGAGTGAACCAGGGGAGTTAAGGGAAGGGGAGATGGGGGATGGCAAAGATGGGAAGGGTGGGCAAGAAGGGAGGGGGATTGAGGATGGAGGGAATAGGGAAGGGGAACGAGACAGAAGGTTTGTGGAAGAGAGACGAGAAATGGAGGGGCAGGTTGAACTGGGGGAGGCGGTATCTGATAGTAGCGAGAGTCTTGGGACTGCTTATATGGGGTATGGTAAGGGTGTTGGGGGAAACCGTGAGGAGGAAGGGGCAGAGGAGGAGAAAGAGGAAGGTGGAATAGTGGGTGATGTGAGTCAAGGGAAAGAGAAGGTAGAGGAGTGGGAGGATGAGGTAGAGGATGGAGAGGAAGGGGAGGAGGGGGAGGAGGGAGAGGAGGGAGAGGAAGGAGAGCAGGAGGGAGAGGAGGGAGAGGAAGGGGAGGAAGTGGGAGAGGAGGGAGAGGAGGGAGAGGAAGGAGATGGGGAGGGGGAGGAAGGAGAGGAAGGAGAGGAGGGAGAGGAGGGAGAGGAGGGAGAGGTAGGGGAGGAGGGAGAGGAGGAAGCAGAGGAGGAGGGAGAGAGGAAAGGGGAAGAGATTGAAGATATCCAGGAGGAGGAGGGGGAGGAATGGGAGGAGGAAGACGAGGAGGAGGAAAAACTGGAGAAGGAGGCTAAAGAGGATGGGTCTGGTGGTGGGCAAGTGAGGGAAATAGAGAGCTGGGTTCCTGGGTTGGATGATGCTGGTGATGATGGTGATGATGGTGATAATGGGGATGATGATGATGTGAAGGAGATAGGTTTCAGATCTTTTCGGGGAGGCAGGGGCAGAGGAGGGGGCAGGGGGAGAGGGGGAATGGCAGCGCAAATAAGACGAGGAGGAAGGAAGGGGGTTCAGGTGCGGGGCAGAAGGAAGGGACCCCAGCAGAGGGGCACAAGGGGAGGGCAGATGAAGTGGAGTATGGAGGAGGAGGACGAGGAGGAGGAGGATGAGGAGGAGGAAGAGGAAGAGGAGGATGAGGAGGGGGGCCCAGGGGGTTCAGGTGAAGAGGGGTTGGAGCTGGTGACGGGGCCGAACGGCGCACGGGAGGCCACCATTCTGTACCTTGACTCGCTACCGGAAAGCTCCAAGTCACATGCCATCTACAGCGCCCTCAAATTGTGAGTTTCATATTTACATATATGTATGTATGTATATATATCAATTGTAGATGTATAAATACCACCTTCTGCCTTCTGGCTCATGGTCTGCCTTCCGTGCTTTTTCCAGATGAGTGAGGGCGCTTTTATTGCTTCCTTCAATTTCTGTGTCCTCTTCTTTGTGTAACCCCGTGAAATGAGATGGGCTATGAGTCAATCGAAACTCGTTTCTGCTTTCTGTGTCCCCTTCTTCAAGTATCCTCTCCCCCCGCCATGCGTCCCACTCTTTGCCCGCCCCCCACCAGCTATCTGCAGGCTGAGTGGATGAAGAGGAGCAAGGAGCCGTTGGATCCCAAGAAGCCGCTGCAATCCGGGCCGTTCAGCAAAGTGCGGGGGAAGAAAGTCAAGGTGGGTCGCACTTGCTTCACTCGTTGCTTGTGGGAATCTCCTGAAGCACAGCCATGCGCACACGCAGCTATGCGCATGCAGCAGCAGGAGGGCACGCGTTTACTGCTCTCCTCATGGATTGCAGGGTCGCCCTCACTGAACCCATCTGAACCCATCTGAACCCATCTGAACCAATCTCCCACACCACACACACTCCCTCCTCGCTCTGCTCCCTTCTCTCTGCTCTGCACCTAATTTTCTCTGCTCAGGTTCCAGTGCAGGCCGGCCAACGACTATGACTGCAACTGAGTTGACTCCTCTCACTCTGCTTCCCTTGGCCTGCTCCCCTCTCTCTGCTCTGTTCCTTATTTCTCTGCTCTCCCCTTCTTGTTTTCTTCGCAGGTACCAGCACAGGACAACGACTACGACTGCGGCTGCTTCATCCTGTGCTACATCCAGAAGTTCGCTCAGATGTGTGATCCCCCACGCACTCTCCCGACACTCCTCTCGCTCTACTACCCTCGCTCTGCTCTCCTTATGTCTCCCCAGGTGCCAGCACAGGACAACGACTATGACTGCGGCTGCTTCATCCTCTGCTACATCCAGAAGTTCGCTCAGATGGCCGCTGCTCTCCCACGCTCGGCTGATGGCGTTGCAGACAAGGTGGGCCATGCGTAAGCGTGCGTGCGTGCGTGCGTGCGTGCGTGCGTGCGTGCGTGCGTGCGTGCGTGCGTGCGTGCGTGCGTGCGTGCGTGCGTGCGTGCGTGCGTGCGTGCGTGCGTGCGTGCGTGCGTGCGTGCGTGCGTGCGTGCGTGCGTGCGTGCGTGCGTGCGTGCGTGCGTGCGTGCGTGCGTGCGTGCGTGCGTGCGTGCGTGCGTGCGTGCGTGCGTGCGTGCGTGCGTGCGTGCGTGCGTGCGTGCGTACGTGCGTGCGCGTGCGTGCGTGCGTGCGTGCGTGCGCGTGCGTGCGTGCGTGCGTGCGTGCGTGCGCGCGCGTGTGTGTGTGTGTGTTCCATCCTCTCAACCCATCCATCCTCTCAGGCCCTGAGAGACCTGCCTCTGCTCTGCCCGCATCTGTTTGAATGGTCAGCCAAGCAACAACTGGTTCCAGGCATGCAAGGCACCATCAGTGCGCGACAACTCTTTGTGACCAAACCCATTCATCCATCCTCTCTAAGCCCAGCTGGCATGCATGCATCGCATCCTTCCTTCCCCCGTATCCCCCTTCACCCCTTCCCTGCAGGCATGCTGCTGTCCCACCAACCCCTCTCCCCCCTCCTCCCCTCTCCCGTACCACCCCGTGCCTTCTTTTCCTTCACCCCTTCCCTCGCACCACCAGCTGAGCAACGACTGGTTCGAGGCGTGTGAAGCATCCTCTCTGCGCCGCCTGCTCTTATCCATTGTAGCAGGCATGCTGCTGTCCCACCAACCCCTCTCCCCCCTCCTCCCCTCTCCCGTACCACCCCGTGCCTTCTTTTCCTTCACCCCTTCCCTCGCACCACCAGCTGAGCAACGACTGGTTCGAGGCGTGTGAAGCATCCTCTCTGCGCCGCCGCCTCTTCTCCATTGTGGCCGGCATGCTGCTGCCTCACCAACCCCCGCCGCAACCCCTCTCACCGCCCTCTCAACCGCTCTCAACTCCTTCGCAACCCATCTCACCACCTTCTCAACCCATCTCCCTTCCGTCACCTGCCTCGCCAGCCCTGCCCATCGCTCCACCTCTACCTGCCTCCCCTCCCTCCGCTGCTCTTCCACCTGCTATTGGTACCGTCCCTGCTGGTGCACCGAAAGTCACGACATCTGAGTCGACTAAAAAATCGACTAAAACTTCACCTCCACCAGCCTCCCCTCCCTCCACTTCTCGTCCACCTGCTGACACCGTTTCTGCTGGTGCGCTGAAGCGCACGACAGCAGCAACAGCACGAGCAGCAACAGCCGCAGCAGAACGAGCAGCAGCAGCAGCTGGAGCAGCAGTGAAAGAAGCAGCAGCAGCAGGAGGCACACCCATCAAAGCAATGAGGGGCAGAGGGAGGCCCCGCAAGGAAGTGAAGGAGGACGCAGCCGTCCTTGCTGACTCAAATGCTGCTGGTGCGGATGCTACTGGCGAAGGTACTGCTGGTGTGGACGCTACCGGTGCTTTTGGTGTAACTGCTGATGCTACTGGTGTGGGTGATGGCAGAGGCAGAACCCGAAGGCAAGTGAAGCAGGACACAGCCATTCTTGCTGACGCACATGCTGCCGTTACAGCAGGTGCTGCTGCTGATGCAGGCGCTACCGGTGTGGGGGCTACAGGTGTGGGTGAAAGCACTGGTGCAAGCATTACTGGTGCAGGTGTAACTGCTACTGTGGATGCAGATTCTACTGGTGCATCTGATGCTGATGCTGGTGCCAACAGTACGGCTCTTCCACAGTCCATTTTAGAAGCAGCTGATACGGGTGGAGCAGGCGCAGGTGCATCTGGTGAAGGTACAGCTGGTTCATGTGGCCTTACCAAGGAGAGCAGTCTTCTGCCAAGAAATGCTGGCACATCCGAGGGTGAGGCTGATGCTGGGGCCAAGGTTGGCACCGAGGCTGGGGCCGAGGTTCGGGCTGAGCCTGGGGCTGGAGGTGTTGGTGGTGGTGCAGTGGGACTGGATGCTGTGAGCAGAGGGGATGGTGGTGCTCGCATGGCAAGAAGTCTGGGGCAAGATGACACCCAAGGTGACACCCAAGATGACACCCAAGGTGACACTCAAGGTGACATACAAGGCGGCAGCAGAGGGGGTGGTGAATCGCTGGTTGTGTTTGGTAAGGAGCCGTGGTCTGCCTGGCCCTGGCCAGCAGCGGAGCTATTGACTTGCCATGGCACTCACCCTCTGTTGCGCTGGCCTGCCACCCCTGTCAATTCTGATGGTCGTTTTCTGGGGGCATCGGATGTGCAAGAAAGGGCATTGGAGGATGGTGCTGGGTCATCGCCTGTGCTGGTTGCTATTGTTTGGCAGGATGAGACGATTCAGCGTCCACCACATGAGACAAGTGCTGGGGGAAAGGGTTTGAGAGGTGTAGAGAGAGGTGCTGATGGATTAGCAGCAGAAGTGGTAGAGGGGAAAGAGAGAGATGGAGTTGGGGGGATTGAGAGAGAGGGCGGGGAGGGGGAAGAGGAAGAAGCGGGAATGGAGGGAGAGGGAGAAGGGCCAGTGAGGGGAAGAGCACGAGGCGCGAAGAAGCTGAAGAGAGTGAAACGGAGTGCCGGATGGAGTGGGAGGAAGCAGGTTAGGAGGGTGGTGAAGGGGCCAGATGGGGAGGGGAAGAGGAAGCAGGCTGAGGGGGAGGAGAGGAGGAGAGAGGATGATGGGGAGGAGGGGAAAGAGGAGGATGGGGAGGAGAGGAGGAGAGATAGGAATAGGGAGGAAAGGAGGAGAGACGAGGGGGTTAGGGACGAGATGGGTAGGGAGGAGAGGGGTAGGGATGGGAGGGGTGGATGGGTGTTGATAAGGCTTGCAGCATCTAAAGAGGTGATTCGAGTGGGGAAGGGCGGAGAGGACGAGCAGGGACAGGTGGAGGTTGGTGGGATGGGGGATGAGTATGAGGAGGGGCTGATGAGGAGTGAGGGAGAGGAGAGGCGTGGATTGGGCGTAGAGAGAGGTTTGGAGGGAGGTGTGGAGGGAGGGGTGGAGGGAGGGGTGGAGGGAGGAGCAGGGGTGGAGGCGAGAGGAATTGCAGCAGAGGAAATGGAGGCAGCAGCGGGAGCAGCGGTGGCAGCAGCAGCGGCGGCAGCAGCGGTAGCTTCCATGGGTGCGTTTGTGAGGCAAGCACGTGCTGCTGCTGCTTCAGCTGCTGCTGCTGCCGCCACAGCTGCTGCTGCTCCTGCTGCTGCAGCAGCCACTGGTGTGAAGGAGGAGAAGCAGCAGGAAGAGACAGCAGCAGCAGAAACCAGAGAGGCAGGGGCACTGCCACGTACTGGCATGGGTATCACTCTTCATGAATCCGAAACTGAACCTGAGACGTTTCCGAAGCTCGAATCAGGCTCGGCGCCAGGGCAGCTGCTCAGCTTCGGCTCTGGCGAACCTGAGTTGGATCAGTTGGTAAAATTTGGATTTTCGAGAGCACAACAGGGGCGGCGGCTTGCAGGGTTTTCTGAGCTGTTGAAGTTGAATGGAGGGAGCAGTGGTGCTGAGGCGATGGAAGAAGTTAGAGTGGTTCAGTGCGGTGCGGAGGAGGGGGCGTGGCAGCAGTGGGTTGAGAGGTGGAAGGAGGGGAGAGGGGATGGGAGCAGCAAAGCGGGGGAAGGGATATTTGGGATGAGGGTGGGAGGAGAAGGGGTGGGAGCAGCAGAGGTGGAAGGAGTAGAGGCAGGAGGATTAGAGGTAGGAGGAGAGGCAGGAGGAGTAGAGGCAGGAGTGGAGACAGAGGGAGAAGACGGAAAAGTTGATAGGGGAGAATCTGAAAAGGTTGATAGGCTGACAGCACGGGACGGGGAGGGGGCAGTCATAAACAAGGGCGGGGAGGAGATGGAACAAAAGGAGGAGGAGGAGCAGGATATAAAGAAAGGCGAGGGAGGAAGTAGTGAGGAAAGGGGTAGGAAGGAAGAGGAAGGTTTTATGGAGGGAGATGGAAGATCTCCTGGCTGGAAAAGGGAGGCTGAAATCAATCCTGTGAAGGAGGAAGGCTGTGAAGGCAGGCTTGAGGGTGGGCGCGGGGATGGGGATGGGGATGGGCGCGGGCATATGATTGGCTACGAGTTTGGGTATGGTATTGGGCATGAGATAGGGTATGGGATAGGGCATGACGTGAGGAGTTTGGATCAGGGGGAGGGGACGGAAGAGGTGGAGAAGAGCGGGGAAGAGGTGGAAAGGAGGGGGGAAGAGGTGGAGAAGAGTGGGGAAGAAGTGGAGAAGAGTGGGGAAGAAGTGGAAAAGAGTGGGGAAGAAGTGGAGAAGAGCGGGGAAGATGTGGAGAAGAGTGGGGAAGAAGTGGAGAAGAGGGGAGGGAGCGGGATGGATTGCCAGCCTTCGCATGGGCGTGAGATGGAGGGGAGGGAGAGCGGAGAGGTGGGGAAACAAGAAGAGGAGGGAAGACTAGATGAGGGGGGAAAGGCAGAAGAGGGTAGGAGGAATCAAGAAGAACAAGGGAAGCAAGAAGCGGAGAGCAGGGGAGGTGGGGAGAGAAGGGTGGATGAACTTGAGAGCGCGGGAGAGATGGATGAGGGAGGAGAGGCAAGGGAAGAGAAGAAGGATGAGGGAAGAGAGGCAATAGGGGAGGAGATGAATGAGGGCGAAGAGGGAAGGGAAGAGGAGAAGGATGAGAAAGGAGAGGAAAGGGAAAGGGAGAAGGATGAGAGAGGAGAGGCAAGGGAAGAGGAGAAGGATGAGAGAGGAGAAGCGATGGACAATGAAAGGAGAGCTGCAGCTGGTAACAGGGAATGGGCGAGTGAGGCGAACGGGATTAATGAAGAGGGTGAGGAGGGAAAGGAGGTGAATGAAGAGGGTGAGGAGAGAAAGGAGGTGAATGAAGAGGGTGAGGAGAGAAAGGAGGTGAATGAAGGGGATGAGGAGAAAAAGGAGGTGAATATAGAGGGTGAGGAGGTGAATGACGGGGGTGAGGAGGTGAATGAAGGGGGTGAGGAGGTGAAAGAACTGAACATGGTGGATATAACGGGTGAGGAGGATGGAGGAGAGGAAAGGAGAGCTGCAGCTGGTAACAGGGAATGGGCGAGTGAGGCGAACGAGATTAATGAAGAGGGTGAGGAGGTGAATGACGGGGGCGAGGAGGTGAAAGAGATTAACATGGTGGATATAACGAGTGAGGAGGAGGATGGAGGAGAGGAACAGGGAGGTAAAGACGGTGCTGGTAGTGGGAGAAGAATAGACGGGGAAGGGAGAGAGGTTGAGGGGGGAGCAGCATTGGAGAAGGAAGAAGGTGAGCAGGGAGGAGGAGAGGGCATGCATATGGTGGGTGAACCAGAGGGTGAAGCAGTGGGGGAAGCAGAGGGGGAAGCAGTGGGGGAAGCAGTGGGGGAAGCAGTGGGGGAAGCAGTGGGTGAAGCAGAGGGGGAAGCAGAGGGGGAAGCAGAGGGGGAAGCAGAGGGGGAAGCAGAGGGGGAAGCAGTGGAGGAAGCAGTGGAGGAAGCAGTGGAGGAAGCAGTGGGGGAAGCAGCGGAGGAAGCAGCGGAGGAAGCAGCAGAGGAAGCAGCGGGGGAAGCAGCGGAGGAAGCAGCGGAGGAAGCAGCGGAGGAAGCAGCGAAGGAAGCAGCGGAGGAAGCAGCGGGGGAAGCAGCGGAGGAAGCAATGGGGGAAGCAGCGGAGGAAGCTGCGGAGGAAGCAGCGGAGGAAGCAGCGGAGGAAGCAGCGGAGGAAGCCGTGGAGGAAGCAGTGGAGGAAGCAGCGGAGGAAGCAGCGGAGGAAGCAGCGGAGGAAGCAGCGGGGGAAGCAGCGGGGGAAGCAGCGGGGGAAGCAGCGGGGGAAGCAGCGGGGGAAGCAATGGAGGAAGCAGCGGAGGAAGCAGCGGAGGAAGCAGCGGAGGAAGCAGCGGAGGAAGCAGCGGAGGAAGCAGTGGAAGAAGCCGTGGAGGAAGCAGTGGAGGAAGCAGTGGAGGAAGCAGTGGGGGAAGCAGTGGAGGAAGCAGTGGAGGAAGCAGTGGAGGAAGCAGCGGAGGAAGCAGCGGAGGAAGCAGCGGAGGAAGCAGCGGAGGAAGCAGCGGAGGAAGCAGTGGAAGAAGCCGTGGAGGAAGCAGTGGAGGAAGCAGTGGAGGAAGCAGTGGGGGAAGCAGTGGAGGAAGCAGTGGAGGAAGCAGTGGAGGAAGCAGTGGAGGAAGCAGCGGAGGAAGCAGCGGAGGAAGCAGCGGAGGAAGCAGCGGAGGAAGCAGTGGAGGAAGCAGTGGAGGAAGCAGTGGAGGAAGCAGTGGGGAGGAAGAGAAGGCGGCTTGATCAGAGTGTTGCTATTTGTTCTGATAGTGCCGGCTCACCAGTCAAACCTGGCGCTGCTGCTTATGGTTCGGAAACTAGTCCTGGTGACCATCCGCGCCATGACGGTAGGCTTGGTAGGAATAGGCTCGGTGAGAATAGGCTTGGTGAGAATAGGCTTGGTGAGAATAGGCTTGGTGAGGATAGGCCCAGCAGTAGCAGCCTTGGTGTTACCAGCAGCAGGCCTGTGCGAAAGGCTAGCCTTGGCAGGTTCGGGTTTGGCCGAACCAGGCTGGAAGAGGGGCTCAGGTTCGGCGAGGAAATGTCGCCGGTGCTGGTGCTTCACAGGCTAAGTAGCCACCCCAAGGCCCCCCGAAGCAAGCGGCCTCGGAAGTCCAGGTTCGGAAAAGAACCACAACAAACCTGCGAGGAATCAGGTACAGTGAGGAGGTCCGGCAGAGGTTCGGGGGGTCGCAAGAGGAAACGAAAGAATACTGCTGGAGAAACCACTACAGGCAATCGAGGAAAAGCTGCTGCTGACAGTAAAGAGGAGGTTTGTAACAAGGCTGAATCAGGAGAAGGGATGAGTGAGGGAGTGCTGGCACGTGCAGCAGGGACAATGGAAGGGGGAGGCAGCAGGGAGAGGGGAAGAGGGGGAGGCAGCAGGGAGAGGGGAAGAGGGGGAGGCAGCAGGGAGAGGGGAAGAGGGGGAGGCAGCAGGGAGAGGGGAAGAGGGGGAGGCAAGAGATGGCAAGAGAGCAAATGTTGGAGAGATGGAAGCAGTGGCAGGAGTGAACTGGGTGACAGCAGTGACAGGAGGAAGCAGTGAGATGGAAGCAATGGCAGGAGACAGTGTTCGACCCGCATGTGTCAACGCCCGCATGGGCCCTCTTGATTCCAGTCTGCCTGCCGACTTGGCCTTTGAACGCCGCTCTCCCCTTCCTCTGCCTCTGACGATCCCTCCTTCTTCCCGCCCTCTGCCCCTGTCTGCCCCTTCTCCGCGGCCTGGCCTCCTGGTGCTCCCCTCACTCGTTTCTCTGCCACTGCCTCGTCCTCTTGCCCATCCCACTCCTCCTCCTGCTCCTCCTCCTCCTCCTCCTGCTGCTGCTGCTCCTCCTGCTTCTACAGATGTTACTGCTACTCATCCCAGTCCTCCTCCTCCTCCTGCTGCTGCTGCTCCGGTTGCTTCTACAGATGCTGCTACCCCTGCCTCTCCTTTACCACACTCCCCTCCATCCGTCCACTCCCCTCCGCCCCCCCGCCCTCCTCCATCCCCCCACCTCTCTCCATCGCCCACTCCTATCGCCCCTAGCTCTCCTCCTCCTCTTTATCCTCCTTCTGTGGCCAGTCCATCAATCGCTGCTATAACGGAAAGACACACTGTGACTGAAGACGGGGCGACAGCAGTGAAGGCCGAACCTGTCCCTTCTGCCCCTCCCTCTCCTGCTCTGCTGCCCATTTTATCAACCGCAACCGCTGCTGCTCCAAAGGAGGAAAGTCACAGTGTGATTGAAGAAGGGGTGACAGCAGCAAAGGTCGAGCCACCTGCTGTGACTGCAGGCATTGAACTTGCCTCTGTGACTATAAGGGATGAGAAGGACGAGCCTGCTGCTGTGACTGTAAGGGATGGAAAGGACGAGCCTGCTGCTGTGGCTGCAGTCCTTGAACCCTCTGCTGTGACTGTAAAGAAAGAGAATTCCGAGCCTGCCACTCTGACTGCAGACCGTGACCCCACCGATGTGACTGTAGAGGATGAAAAGGATGAGCCGCCTGCTGTGACTGTACAGAGTGTGATGGATGAGGCCAATGAGAAGGACGGAAAGGATGAGCCGTCCGCGGTGACTGCAGGCCTTGAGCTGCCTGCTGTGACTGAAAAGGATGAGCCAGCTGCCGTGACTGTAGAGAGTGTGATGGAGGAGGCCAATGAGAAGGATGACAAGGATGTGAAGGATGTGCCGCTTGCTGTGACTGCAGCCCTTGAATCCACTGTGACTGTAATGGATGAGAAGGACGAGCCTGCTGCTGTGACTGTAAGGGATGAGGCGGATGAGCCGCCTGCAGTGACTGCAAGCGTTGAACCTGCCTCTGTGACTGTACAGGATGAGACGGACGGGCTGCCCGCTGTGACTGAAAAGGATGTGCCACCTGCTGTGACTGTAGAGGATGTGAAGGCTGAGACCATTGAAAAAGGCGAGCCTCCCGCTGTGTCTGCGGATTGTGACCCCACTGCTGTGACTGTAGAGGATGAAATGGATGAGAAGGATGAGCCACCTGCTGTGACGGATGAGCGTCCTGCTGTGACTGTAGAGGATGAAATGGATGAGAAGGATGAGCCACCTGCTGTGACGGATGAGCGTCCTGCTGTGACTGTAAAAGATCAGCCACCTGCAGTGCCTCTAAAGTTTGCACCCTCCCCTGTGGTTGTAAAGGCCGATTACGCCGATAACGCAGCTTCACTACCTGCCGCTCGTTGCCGGCCACTTGCCGGGCGGCGCACGGTGGCCCATGGGCTCATAATCAGATCGGGCAGCTCAGCAACCCAGGAGGAGCATCGCAACACTCTTGCCATCATGCTGCCGGGCGGCACACCGTGGCCGAAGGCCCCCCTTGGAGTTCCCTCACCTGCCGAACCTCCCAGGCTGCCTGGGCTTTCCGTGAAGGCACTGGAGGGTCGGAAGGACGAGGATCGGAATGATGAGGTTCGGAAGGATGAGGGTCGGAAGGATGACTCACCTGGGCCTTATGATGCCCTGCGGCAGCAGCAGAAAGCATCCCCTGTGCTGCTGGCTGCTACCAGGGTTGCACAAGACCCTGGTGTTTCACCTGAGTCTTTGTTGCAACCTGGTGATTCACCTGAGGATCAGATTCTGCCTGAAGAGCAGCCAGGCTGTCAGGAGATTCGAGCAGAAGCAACAGCTGAGGGAAGGGCTGAGGGGGTGGCAGCAGGGGGTCCTGCCACATCAGCAGCACCTGCTTCGATTACACCTGCCACGTCAGCCGAGCCTAACAAACCATCCACGTCAGCAGAGCTTGGCATGCCATCCACGTCAGCAGACCCGGTCACTGTTGACATGCCAGCTGAGCTGGTTGCTGCCTGCCTGGGAGCCAATCGCGTGCTTCGATCACGGAAAGCAGCACCGGCCGCGGCAGCAGCAGCAGCAGGAGGAGCAGCAGGAGCAGCAGCAGGAGAAGCAGGAGCAGCAGGAGCAGGAGCAGGAGGAGGAGGAGGAGGAGGAGCAACAGGAGTGAAGGCGGGTGGAGGAGTGAAGTCAGAAGAAGGACGGAAGGCAGCGGGAGACGCATTGAAGACACCACCACGACGGGGCGTGAAAGCATCACCAGGAGCGAAGGGAAATCAAGGCCATGCTAGGTCACCAGCCCAAGCTAAGTCACAAGGGCGTAAAGGGGTGCAAGGTGTGAGAAAGGGGAGAGAGGGAACCGGGGAGAAGAGTGGATTGGGGCAGAGAAAGGTTGGGAAGGCTAGGGGGAGAGGGAGCGGTGCTAAGAGGAGGCGAAAGGAGGAGGAAAGTGAGGAGGAGGAGGAGAGTGAGGAGGAGGATGAGGAGGAGGAAGATAGTGAGCAAGAGAGTGAGGAGGAAGGTGGAAGGGAAGAAGCACAGGAGGAGCACAGGGGAAGGAGGGCCAAAGGGTTGGCGAAGGGGGTGGATAGTGGGAAGGCGAAGGAAGTGGAGGGAAGGGAGAAGCGGGTGAGGAGAGGGGGGGATGGTAACAAAGGGACACGTGATTTTGGAGACACTGATGATGATGGGAACCGGGAGAGGCATGATGGTAACAAAGAGGTTGCGGCGGAGCAGGGATTGGGAGAAGGGGAATTGGTGGGGCCGGAGTATATGTGGCGAGATGGAGGAGGGAAACGGTACCGGAGGAGAAAGCATGGGCGGAGGTGAGTGCAGGAGAACTTGAAAGGCGGTTGGGCTTTAAGGAGTGTAGTGAGTGAGAAAACACTAGCTTCAAGAATGGGTGAGGGGGCGAAAGGAGGATGGATTGGCTGCAGGGAATGAGCAAGTGCTGTCCGTGCAGGAGCAAAGCACGCGTGACGCGTCCATAAGCAATGCAGGTACCGGTAAGGGGGTAAACAAAGTTGGGAAAGTTTAGGGGTGTTCCGGCACCAGCTGATAGGATGTGGTGTGGAATATAAGTATTGGCGGCATACGGCACTTCTGTTCTGTAGCTATGCAACCCACCACTGAACAAGTCGTGGTCGGCTATCATTCTGATGCAGTACTGCACTTTTTGTATTAGCCGAAATTCTACAGTGCAGCCTAGGCTACTTGAACCGTAAGAATCCTAGTGAATGTACACAACACGTCACACAACAACCATCTGCATCAATCCTCAGTGGGACATAGAACAGGAGAGAACCTACAGTCCCATGATTACAGGAGAGGCATGGAGAATAGGCCCTAGAACTACACTGGAACCACAGGACAGGACAGGAGATTCTGTGGGTCGAGACAAGTAGGTAGCTGGCTGGGGTACCCATGTGTCATGAATCCAATCCAATCTTTTATATTGTGAGACATATACATATCAACTGTTCTGTCTTCAGAAGCCATGGGCCTGCACGCTCAATATGCGTCTGCCAGCTCAACATGGGTAAGTCGGTTCCACATGATCCTCATTAAAACCTGCAATAAAAAAAAGGCAGGAAGCAGGTACGTACGATGTGATGGAGGGTGATGCAATGCGATGCGGTGCGCAATGCAGAGTGATGCTGGGTGATGCAGGGTGATGCAGCATGACGCAGGATGATACATGATGATACAGGTTTGTATGCAGGGTGATGCGGGGTGATGCAGGGAAGGCAGTAATCAGAGTAGGGTGTGCACGATTGAAGCTGGCGAGTTAACAACGTAGTCTGAGCTGAAAACACACATGTGGAATAGGAAAACAGTAATTTCTCAATTGTTACCAGTCTCTCGTGTCACCTATTTGTTGCAAACGGGTCTCGTTTACCAATCTCGTTTACGTCACCGTTACTAACCGGTGTCATGCGCGTTACTGGCTGGCGGCGACGGTGAGCTCGCCCTTGTCCAGCGCGTTGTACAGCTCCTCCGTCTTGCGCTTCTCGTTGATGTGACCCATCTTCCACAGCGACCCGCCTGCCACGCAGCGAGCGTCATTTTATGGAGCACTTAATAAGGAGCATTACTTCAATATATTCTGCAGGTGTCTGATGATTAGCTTGGCGTCGATGTCGATGTGAACCATCGTCCACAGCGACCCGCCTGCCACGCAGCATTGCAAACTTAGGCAGGGGTATTACACGAGGATGCTTTATAGGCGCCTCATGAATAGATTCGAGTTTATGTGGCCCATTTTTCGCAGCGACCTGCCTGTCGCGCAGCAACGTCATCTCAGCAGTATCTAGATTCGCGAGGAGTTTCCACGCGTGTCAAGACGCCTCATAAATAGCTTCGCGTCGACGTGGCCCAACTTCCTCAGGGACCCTCATCGAGTGCCATTTTACAACTATTACAGGAGTACTCCATGAAAACTCCTCAAGAATCTTCAAGGGTCGCGTCTCCATGCTTCAGCAACATTTCACACGAGGAAACCGAGAGGCTTCATGAATAGAAAACGAGACAGTTGATCGATTCGGGAGCAGCGTCAGGAAGCCACGGTGGAAATGTTGTGGAAATGCCAGGGAAGGGCTTGGTACAGGGACGGCGACATCAAGGAGGAACAAGCGACGCTGATGTAGAAAACGATAAGCGACGCTGATATAGAAAGTGATAAGCTGATGTAGAAAGCAAAAAGCGACGCTGATGGACGGACCTACGGCACCGAGGCTAAGGCCAGCGGCGATCTCGAAAATAACGCTCGGGCCGCCCTTCTTGGCGACAGCCGCCCCGTGAGCCGCGATCTTGTGAGCAGCACCCATCTCGGCGAGGAACGCGGCGATATCTGTAGTGGAGAAAGGCGGATCGGACGTGAAAGGTGGCGGGATTCGCGGCGAGCGTGGCGGAAAGAAACGGCGACGGAGCTGGGTGAGGATGGGAGCTGAACTTTGCGTTGTGACAATGGCGGGGGGCTAGGGTGAGCTAAGAGCAAGGTCGGTCGGAATCTCCGAAGCAAGAGTTCCCGAGGGTGGGAGTTCCCCATGGGGGAAGTTCCCAAGGCGGGGAGATTCCAGGGCAAGGGTTTGAACGAGGGATTGGTTGAAGTTGCCCCTTCTGGTGGTTCCTCCTTGCGCAGCCGCGCCCGTGGGGTGGAAAGTTCTCATATCCTGAACGGTCTCCTTTGATTTAATACGGTTTGGTAAGGTTGATATGGTACACAAATGCCAAGAGGCAACTTCAACCACTCGCTGATGTCGGGCGGGAGGTACGTCCCTGGAATACTCGCGCTCACCATTTGTGCCCCTGGATGGTCACAAAGCACCAATCACGGTGAAGGGGAACGAGGGCCACGCTCGTCACTGCGTTCTCGCTATCGTGTCAATAACATTTCAAAGCTAGCATCTTTAAATCATAAGCAAAAGCGCGTTTGACCTCTCCAATCTAATAATATATCACCATGCGTTAGTGATCTAAAATATATCAAATATAATTATATACTTCTACAAATATTGGTATGTGTTATTTGTAACATATAGAAACGTTAAAAAAAAAGGACCATGGTGACACCTACAACGACCCTTTTGGAGAGTCATCAGGAGAGGCCCCTTTGCTCCTTGACCTAGCAGAACCTCCAGAAAGAGATTTCTTCTTTGAATAGTGCTTCCGCATGTGTCCCCCTAGAGCCTGGCCTGTTGAGAACGCCCTGTCACACCTGCTGCACTTGAACTTCTTCTCACTCACTCCAACCCCTTGCCAAGACCTATCCATCCCTTGGCTCTCACTCCAGGGAGCCAGCAAGCCACTTTCATCAGGCCCGCTTACAGAAAACGACCTATTTTCAAGCAGTTCTGCCACTTTCTGAGCGAGCGGACTGACATCCCCTGGCTGTGGGTATTCATGCTGCTCTGGAAGCTTGTCAAGTGAATTCCCAACACTTGGGATCCTGGTCATGGAATCATCTGCTGCAACGCCTGCTGCAATGTCTCCTGTGATCCCTGCTGCAGCATCAGCATTGGCGTCGGCAGCAGCAAGTGCTGCAATCTGAGCGCTAAGCTCGTCACCACTGACAGGCGCCAGGCGATTCCACCTCCTTCCCATGCCATGCCCCGAATAAGGTTCCGTGATGAAGCTTCCGCCTTGCTGAGCTGGCAGTGCCACGTCAGCAGCAGCATACTCCATGGGTCCGGCCAAGGAGTCGAAAACGTTTAGGGAGTACGGCGGCGTGTGAGGTGAAGGAAGGAGCGAGTCGTAGCCTCGCCCACCCCACGTCTTGGACCGTTTCCTGCTGTCAAAACGAGCCCCATCTACTGCAGAGCCGGCAGCAGCAGCAGCAGCAGTGGAAGCCGCAGCAGCTGCAGCAGCTGTTGCAGCGGCAGTCGCAGCGGCAGCAGCAGCAACAGCAGCAGCAGGATGAGCAGTAGCAGCAGCAGTAGGAAATGCTGCCCACGAGCGGGAGCGCATCTGAGGGAATAGAGAGGCGCTCAGCGAGTCACACCCACCTTGAGAGTACGCTTGGAAATCTGTCCCCCAGGCTCGGGAATCTGTCCCCCAGGCTCGGGAATCTGTCCCCCAGGCTCGGGAATCTGCTCCCCAGGCTTGGAAACCTGATCCCAGGGCTTTGGAGCTTGCACCCTTCTCCTCCTCCATCTGCTGCTGCCACAAGCAAATCTCTGACAGCAGATCCCTCCGCACACTAGTCTGCTGCGACTGTTCCTGAGCCCGCTCAGAAGTCTCTGAAAGGAGGCTTCTTCCGGCAGTGACTTGCTGCTGTGCTGGCAGAATCACGCCTAGTTCCTTACTTGATAAGCTGAGGCGCTGCTGGGAGTGCAGCTCTTGTGGATTTCTCTGCTCTGTTGCTGAGTCAGCAACATGCTGTTGACCAGGTTGACCAGATTGACCAAATTGACCAGGTTGTACGCGTTGACCAGGTTCACCAGGCTGACCACCTTGACCAGGGTGACCACGTTGACCACCTTGACCAGGGTGACCCCGTTGACCAGGCTGGTCATAACTTTGACCGAATCGGAGTGGTTGATCCGCTTGGTAGGGCATCAGACTTCCAAGTACTGTCGACCTCTGCTGACCAACGTCAAGCCGACGCTGCACTCCAACAAAAGCAGGCTCATTCAGGTCCAGCCCCCCCTCCCCAACCCCTCTTTCCACAACCCAGCTTGTCCTAAGCCCCCCCTCCGGACCTGCCTCCTCCGCAGGGTCGTTAAGGTCCGGGAGTTCACGCCGTGCTGACTTGACCCCAACTTTCCCACTCCACCCACCCCTCCAGCTCCGTCCACTCATACCACTCACGGCACTGCTCCCACTCCTCCCCTTGGTCCTACTCATCCCCCATTCAGGCAGCGCCCTCCAGCCCCGATCAGGCGCCAGTTCCTCAGGCGATGCTTCATCTTCACCCAAAGCTTGGGCAGCCCCAGCAGCCCTAGCCGCCCCAGAAGCCGCACCAGCCGCAGCCGGCCCAGCCGCCTCAGCAGCCGCCCAGGCTGGCCCACCTGGTACAATCAGGCCCAAAGCCGCCCGTCCCTGCTGAGCTAATCCAGCCGCATATGCCTCTCCAGAGGCAGCAGCAGCAGCAGCAGCAGCAGCAGCAGCAGCAGAGCTGGCGGAGATCCCAAGGGACGCTCGCGCCTGCGTGCCCGTGGAAAAGAGGCTGCTGCTGCTCCACCCGTGCCTGGGACGCAGGACAGACTCTGGCATAGGAGCCGCAGCAGGGTCCGTAGCAGGAGTGGGGATGGGAGTGGGGGTGGGAGACAGAGGGGAGTGGGCGCTGCTGCTCCACCCCATGCTGGTTAGAATCCCCATTGGCGCAGGAGGAGCCACAGAGCGGAGCAGGTGGTTCTGAGCAGCAGCGGAGGGTACCTCCCCAGGGGAGGAATGCGCGAGCTGGGCGGCAGAGCTGGTGAACAGGCCGCTGCCCGTGGTGGACAGGGTGGCGGTTGGCGGCAGCATTGCACCGAACGTTTTCTGTGGCTGCCCGCCAAAATTGCCGGTCAGATCGACGGTGTGTGAGACTGGGTTGGTCATCCCAGCACCTTCGTCAGCAGCAGCAGTGGCTGCGGCAGCAACGAAGTGTTGTCCTGTAGGGTTTGGACGATCAACTTGTGAAGGTTGCGGCTCGCAGCAGGGATGAAACCCCGGGTTCCTCTCGCGACTATTAAAGACCACCACACGCGGCACATTCAGAATTCTCTCTGCATGGGAGTATGCTGCGGCAGGTGCGGCGACGACGGTTCTCCGAGCGCAACTTGTAGCGGCCGCAGCCTGTGGGTGCATCGATCCAGCGTGGCTCGTGCTGCTGTCTACAGCAACCGTAGTAGCGGCCTGATGCTCAAGGGACCATTTTATGAGCGCAGAAGCAGCAGCTGAAGCAGTAGCAGGTGAGGTTTGAGCCGATTCAATACTAGCCGCTGCCATGGCTTCCATACAGTGGACTGCTTCTGACGTCACATTGGCGGCATGTGACGTCAAACTCAGAAAAAGGGGGGACGAATTACTGCCGCCGCCGGCTGCTGCTGCTCCGAATAAGAACTCCGCCAGGCTGCTCGCGTCGCTGCCGCCGCCGGCGCTGGAACCCATTCTGACGCGACCCGTGCCGGCGTTGACCACGTTTACCTCCGCGTTGACCGCGTTGACGATGGTGCCACGCGCAACGGAATGCATGTGCGAGAAGGGGCCGAATGAGTGGTAGGAATAGGAAGGGATTCTGAGGAGCGGGTCGTCGCTGCGCTGCTTGGAGTTATCCGAGTGCAAAACCAGTTGGAAACGTGCTCGTCACAACCACAAAAACGCGGAGAATTCCAAGGATAGTAAGCATATGTCTGAACGCGTGTTGAGACGCGGTAAGAGGTTTGAACGCGTTTTGAGACGTCGGCTCTGAACGCAGCTATCCTAAGAAAGGACTGCGACATGTGATGACACTTGGACAGCATGGAAGTGTGCGGCTTTGACGGCCGCGGGGCTCGAACGGAAAGATGAACTCTCAAACCCCCCCAACCCCCCCCTTCTCTCCCCGCCCCTCGCTACCACCACACTCTTCTCGAGCCAGCTTTCTGAAATGCTGAATTTGGACCGTCGTGATGTTCAGAACTCACGGCGGTGATCGCGCGGATCTTCAAGATGCTAAGGCCTTGGCGGCCAAGGCGAACGCACACATGATGATGATGATGATGATGATGATACTAACTGCTCATGATGCGCACGTGACGAGACGGTGAGTTGAGGTTTGGTTTGGACTATTCTCGGAGCCAATACCAGCCAAGAAGCCACTATTTTCAGCAGTCACTGCGTGCATGAACTGTTTAGCAAGCACAGAGCCATGCGAGGAGAGAGGGGGAGTCATTCGTCTTATTTCGTCTCACCGCGTTGTCGATGGGCCTACACTACCGCAAGTGTCAGTGTCATAATTCACATCCACGCGGACGAATCCGATCAGATACTACGTATCCCGTGCCCACTAGGAGGGAGTCCATGGCTCTAAACGCGGCGGCAAGAACGGAAGAGTTTTGCGAAGCAGCAGAAGATGCCACTGCTGTTTCAGCTTCTCTGCCCACTGTACAGCTCTGTCACAAGAACTGTACTATCTAAGCGGCGAGTGGTCGCACACAACACACAACGCGGTAGGAACCCGTACGTTCCCACACTGCGGGGGTGGCGTTACATCGGGGCTGTACGACGGATAAACAAGTCTAGCCAAAAATCGTACTGCGAGCTGCACCACCCGCGGTCGCGATGCGACAGCTTGGGAGTTGAGCAAGGCATGGCGACAGGCAAACGTCACTCGGCTCGGACCGAGCCGAGATTAGAAGTGCTCCCTCCCGATGATGCCGAATGTTCGAAGTGATGATGCCCGTAAGATATAATCGCGTGGCGTCGCGCCGCGACGGAGAAAGTTATTATAACAGTGTGGCGACGCGACGATGACACCCTGGACTAATCGACGAGGCTGTGCACTTGCGAAGACAACTGATGAGCTAAACAAGCACGAGCTATGAATAGACGCAGTGACAAAAAACCACCACCATATCCACGAGATACGCAGTCTGAACATGGCAGCTGTGTCAAATTCCTGTCCGTAAATAATTCCCCCTCGCCGCGCAGTGACGAAAATTAGTCTGGCTACACTATAGCCTTGAAGCACTCGTTAGGCTCCCTCACGCCAACTTTTACAGCCTGAACAGTTTGCGCGACATAACCGCCACGAGGTCCACGACCCCACTCGCATTCACTCCGGTGGTGGCGGTGGGTGGGATAGAGAGTGATTGGGTAGGGTACGGGCAGCACACACCCAGCCAGTGTCAACAGGCAGCCAAGCAGGCTGGCAGTCAGTCATGTGCGTCGAAGAGGGCAGGAGATCACCGACGTGCTTTCGGGAAGTCCGGGGTGCGAAGCAGGAGTTGATCATTCCCGTCACGTGGTTGCAAGTGCCATCGAATTCCGAACCATCATAGAGGGCAGATGGCGGTGGGACAGCGCCGGGCCAAGTTGCAAACTTACATCAATACCATCATAGCTGTACGATCTCGACGGTCTGTACGGTTTAGATTAGTTTGGGCAGCAGATATGGTCCCAGCCAGAAGCATAACCTCCAGCTTCCATAGGCAGGTGTCCCAAAGCTATGAAGTGAAGAGGCTCGGTGGAGGCTTGGTATGGCGGGGCAAGTGTGTATATTTCTGCAAGGAAATTTCATTTTCCTTACTTCGCCCCTGCTTACCGCATACACGATTGTTGTTGTGATTTGTACTAAACAGAGTGCGCGGAAGACTTTATAAAAAGAATGAATTACAGAATGACGAGATAATGAAAAGAACGAGCATTTATAGGGTCGAAACCGTGCTTGGCGAGGACCTCGGGACGTGCATGGGTTGGATGTGTCGCGATTGGTGCGGAGCGACTCGGTAGTGGTTCGAGCCGAAATGTAGGCCGAACCTGAAACTGACGCGAAGTACTCGGAGCTGTACGCCCTAAGAACAAACTCAGTAATGAATAGCTATATTCATTACAGCTGTTCCCACCAACAGCACCCAAAAGTAAAACGTTACCACTAGCGACACTCGCCTCGACCACTATTTCCGCCACTCTTCACATCGCGGCCCAACCGCACGGTTCGGTTGGTAAACCGCGCTCCGGTCCTCCACCTCGACATTTCCCAACCTCGGCGCCCGGCCCGCCGCGCACCCCACAGCTCGCGTGTTACTATTACCACGCTAGGCTTCGCTATGTAATGTTCGCTTATTCCTTCGCTCAATGTCCTTGATTCGACCGTGCAACCTTCGTTCGCTCACTCGATTGCACTCGTAACACTTGGTATTCAGAGCTACGATCCTTCTCGGACCGCGCCCATACCTTCGCTTCCCACATTATCTCAAATTTTGGAGGGGGTAGACGCCCCTCAGCGACCAAGCACCGCTGCTCGTGTGCTCTCTCGTAAGCACACTCAGCCACGACTTAGGCTCTCGCTGAGCTCGTCCGACAACCCCGCCATGGCTGAATTCCAGCTCGCGACTTTGACGCAAGAGCGCCTCGTCGAACTTCTGCGCAACTCGAAAAATCGGCGCTCGAAATTGCGACTCACGGCGGAACGCGACTCCGCACGACAACAATCTACGGCAAATGCGCCAGCACCAGCACCAGTAAATGCACCTGCACAATCAGACGAGCCGATTGCCATCTCATCGGGAACACCATCGCAACACGACAGCGTGGGAGAACGCTCAGGCGCAATCAGCGATGGCGTTGCCCAATCGATGCCAGGCATGGAGAGAACTAGGACCGCACCGGGCGTAAACGAACCACGCGAGGCTCGTTGTTACGTCAGCATCATCGCACCTGCCGGCAACAACGACATTGATGAGCCGATGCCACTCAAGCCGCAACGCCCGACTTGCTTCGATCCTAGCCAGCGTGGAGGTCCGACGGTTCAATCGTGGATTTTCACGATGAACGCGTTTTTTTACGCGAACTATGTTATGTCGGATGCAGCGAAGATTCGGGTACGTCATGTCATTGCTGGGGCCCCGCCATGGACTGGTGGGGAGTCATCGTGACGTCGCCAAGCGCCTACGAGCCACTGTCGCAAGAGGAAAGGCCCGCGGGCCCTGCCGTAACCTAGAATTCGTTCTGCGAAACCGCCCAATACAGCACGTGGGACGCGTGGTGCGCAGGACTACGTGCGCGCTTCAGTCGATCGCGGCTTCGATTTTGGCACGCCAGAAGCTGCGCACTTGGCGACAGCTTGGGTCGGTCCAAGATTACACCGGCGGTTTTCTCGTGTTGTGCGAGCAGGTCGGCTACATGCACGAAGCAGAGCGAGTGGATCGCTACGTCGGCGGCTTGAAGCCAGAAATTTCGCAGGAGATTCTTCTCAGCGAGATTTCTAATTTCAATGAAATCCTAGCGCTCGCCGAGAATATCGACATCCTACGCCGTCCGAGGCCGGGGTCCTACCACTACGGACATCGTACTCGGGGGCCGACCGAGCACGCCACTGTACACGCCGTTGCGACGAATGCAGGTGCCGCGCCATTTAAGAGGCACTGCTTCGCGTGCAACAGGCCGGGCCATCGCACAAACGAATGCCCAGAGGAGCTAAGGCGTCGTGGAGCGGAGCAAGGGAGGGAGTCTGGAAGGCAGGGAAACGCCAGCAGTCAGTAGAGAACGGGCCCGCTACTGACGAGACTCACTGCTCGTCCGACCTCACTGACCCTTACCGAGTTACAATACCAATTCACGCAATCAATCGGGCTCGGTTGAATAAGGAGGGTATAGCGACAGGTTGCCAATACTGATTCACGGGAAAATACAGGGGGTAGCATTGAATATTTTTTTTTACGGAGGAGCAAGTCAGAGTTTAGTTAATACCGCGACGGCAAAGAAGCTGCAACTGACACTTAGCCGCTGTTTACCGGAGATTGACGCACGCTTAGTGGACGGCACGCCGCTGGCTATACGGAGAAGGTGGAGAGAGTGAAGGTCCTCTGCGGGGGGGATTTCGGGTTTACACAGGAAATGCTCGCGACGACACTGGATGGGCACGACATTTTACTGGGATGTGATTGGCTGCGACGCTTCAACCTGCGAATCGGCTGGACGACAGGCAGCTACACGGTACGAAGTCGCGGTAACTGGGTCGTGCTACCTCGCTGGCAACTTCAACGGTCCACGTCAACGCCATCACGGTGAAATGGGTAGTCGCTACTGGAGCTCACGTGTATGCAGTGGATATCACAAAAGTGGAAGAGACAGACGAACCGAGCGATTTTCAGAAACTGCTGGCAGCCGTACCGCCCGAACTACAGGAACTACTGAAACGGTACCCCGGGATCTTTCCCGACGACTTACCGGAGGGACTGCCACCTCACCGAGCACAAGACCACCGCATAGAGTTAGAACCGGGGGTACAGCCAACCGTATAGCGAGAGTTCCGATTAACACAGCCAACTCGACGAACTGAGGAAGCAGCTTGATTATCTACTGGAAAAAAAAAAAAAAACAATCCGACCGAGTTCATCACTCTCGCCGCACCGATACTATTCACACCGAAAAAAAGAATGGTACAAGAAGGAAACCCTAAGGGGTTATACCCCACACAATCTACCCCACTATAGCCTAACCATAAATATAACATATACATTTGACACACCCCCATCGGCAAAGTGGGGGAG